GGGGTGGGGGCTACGGTGGCAATAATTAATCAGCACGTGAGCGCTTTCTTCGGCCTCGGGAAAATCGCCGAACGCAACTCTGCCCCGCCTAGCCACAACAACGCAAATCCAAGGGGAACCCCGTTATAGGTGTGCGGTTCTAGTGCGGAGCGAGCAGGAATGCCGGCGGAACAAAATCCGACTGGATCATGGCTTCATGCTCGGTCGATCGACGCACAGTTGAATGAGCCGTTCTGATTGGTCGGACGTACGTTTTTACTAAAACTGCACGATTTTATGTATATTTCGTTACATTGTTAATTGTAAGGGGTGATTTTGGAAGGAAATGTCACGAGGAAGTCGATGAGAACCCTTGTGTAAACCCCTACGTTCTCAGGGTGTCCAGCATCAGTTCCGGATTTCATCAGGATTTGAGGAAAAATCGGTCGTAAAATCAGGATTTGAGAAAAGTCGGCTGTCCGATCGGATTTTTTTTGTGCTTTCGCATACGCTTATGCAGAAACTTTAATTTTCCCCCGTAAAAAGTCAGGATTTGGAAAAATTATGAAATCAGGATAGATCAGGATTTCATCAGGATTTCCCAAAATGAAAGAAAACAGACACCCTGGTTCTGTATTAGCACAATGGAGAGTTTGCAGGTGTTTAAATTTTGTAAATTCCATGTTTAAAATTAAATTACCGAAAAAGCTGAGCATGAGGATATCCTTGGTTTCTAAATTGAACAATGGAGAATTTGCAGGTGTCTGAAATTCGGTGACTTTCATGTTTTAGATGAAACTACTGAGAGAATTGAGCCCGAGGATATCCTTCGTTTCTGAATTGAATAATTACTAGAGGAGGTACGACAAAATGATATACTCTGCCAAAATACATGTGTTTAAATGGGAAATGCTGCTAGATTACGTCACAAGGCGGTTTATTTCCTCACTTATAAATCTATTTTTCTGCAATTTTCCATACTGGCTAAAAGTAACGAAAAATTCTGCGAACTCAGCCCGTTGAGCACTTTCAGATGAAGCAATGAAATATTTCGTGCAAACTCTTTATTATTCGAGAAAATGCGACAAAATAACCTACTCTACCAAAATACGTAATTTTATAGAATCGGGGAAAACCGGGAAATGTCAGGGAAAATAACGAAAATGTCAGGGAAAATTCGTTAAATCACCTTTATTAGCTCCCTAGAATGGGTTTGAGATTTCAAACAACAAATTTTGCCTGAAAACCATTTTCATTTATGTCTTCTTAACCACCTGTCATATCTTCAATTGTCAGGGACTTTCCCCAAAATGTGTCAGGGAATTTCATTCTCTAAATTCTGTGACAACCCTGTACGAACTCAGCTCATTACGCACTCTTAGATGAAGCAATTAAATTTTGATTTGCAAATTCTCCGTTATAAGCTTTTAATTTCCACATTTTTCTGGCCTCAGAGTGCGACTCACGGTGGATCGAATCAATGGGAGAGGCCGAACAAAATTTGAAAACTTGAAGAGCTTATAACTCCTCCTTTACTAAAATTTGAGGTTTAACGGTGGTTCTATTGGTTTCTTCGTTAGATTTCTTCCCGAAGCACCCATTGAAATTTGAATTGTGATGAAATCAGTGGCGTGGCGTGCTTTGCGATCTATCGATATTCCCCCATACGAAGCTGGGGTGAATAATCGATTATTAAGGTGTTCGCTGCGAACACCCTGTTTATCGATACTTTTCCATAGGTTTAAATGGCCGATCAATCGGTATATCGCTAAGCACGCCACGCCACTGGATGAAATAAACCTGAAAATTTGCAGTCTTAGTCAAAAATTTCATGTGCGACCTCTCCAGTTAACTGGATCCACTGTGCGACGGTTCGACGGCGGAAACCGCGCAAGTCCAAGGCGGACCGCGCGTGGGAGCCGCGGTTCTAGCGTTGATTATCGAGCGTGTTGGCGCCTGCCCGGCTCCGGCGATTGCCGCCCGTCGACCGCCCTGAAAATACGGATACGCGTCCGGAATTCGGTCGGTGGGTCGGCCAAATTCTGTCCGATAGCGAGTTGAACTCATAATTTTTGACCAAGGTCAGCTTTGGTCAAAAATTATTTTTTTTATATTATTCTGGCAATGTTTTTTTAGGCCGTCTTTGAGTGACGCCATGTTGTGGAAGAATGGTAAACCGGGGAAAGTCAGGTAAAACCTGGAAATGTCAGGAAAAATGACGAAAGTGCTAGGAAAAAATTCGTGATTTACCTTTAAGGTGATTCGTCAAGCTTAAGTAACGTGGTCGAACTGGCATGCGATGTATCGCATCTTTTAGGTAAAAAATCTCGGCAGATTTTGAATTTTCAGCAAAAAAAAGGACGATAGGCCCTGCGCATGAGCCTAAAGAATCATGCTAAACCCACAAATCGGCGAAATTCAGAGAAACGAAAGCAGGATAGTGTTTGGAAAAAAAACTCGCATTCGATACAGAAATCGATAGCCGAATCGAATAAGGAGTTTTTTTCCCGAACACTATCCTGCTTTCATTTCTCTGAATTTCGTCGATCTGTGGGTTTAGCATGATTCTTTAGGCTCATGCGCAGGGGCTATCGTCCTTTTTTTTGCTGAAAATTCAAAATCTGCCGAGATTTTGTACCTAAAAGATGCGATATATCGCATGCCAGTTCGACCACTTCTTTTGAGCTTGACGAATCACCTTAATAGCTCTCTCGAGTGGATTTGACGTCTAGAGCAACAAATCTTATCTGGAAACCTTTTCAAATTATGTCTTCTAGGCAAAATGGTATATCCTCAATTGTCCGGAAATTTTACTGAAAAGTGTCAGGGAAATGTCAGGTACTTTAATTTCCTATATTCTGTGGCAGCCCTGAATTGGTAAACCGCGGGGAAAGTCATGGAAAGTAACACTGGTTCAACGCCTGGAGCTCCGATGGTAAAACTTCCGTCGTACCTATAGACAGTTTATGAAATGAAGAACTGCTGAACACCAAATCTTAAAGACATCCGTGATTTATCCTCTCTACTCGAAGTAAATTCTGAAAATCTCGGAGGAGTAATGTTGATCTGTTCTTCTTCAAAAAAATAACTTAGGAACGGAGATTTTCAAACTCCGCAAATGAGAAACTTGGTTTGGAAGTTTCACCGTCGACTTTCAAAACGTAAGGAAAACATTTTTTGATCGTCATTCAAGTAGGAAATGATTCTGGAAAGATATTTGAAGACGTCTATAAATCGCCAGAGTGAAGTTGAGGCTCAATTTCCTCGCCTCTTGGTTCTGTACAGCGCAGTCCAAATAGTCGACCGGACAGACGTCATGCTCGAGAAAAACACTAATTGCACCTGTGATCTATCGCCAAAGCCGTGGGCAGATCTCATGTTTCGCCCGCAAAATCGAGCGTATGCAACCTGGCCCACCGCGGAGTTAAAATAGTTGCATGTTTGGTTTGAACCCAACTTGGAATAATCTCCCACTGTACTGTTTTACACTCTGCGCATGATTCAAATGCATATTAGTTGTTTTTCATAGCGGTTTTTTGTTCGTAATGTTTTTTTCTGTTTTAACTGACTAGCCTAGAGGAAGCTCCACAGGATATTCTCGGTTGATTCTAATTTCAAAGGGGATAATTAAAAACGACGAAATGATATCTAACAGTTTCGTATTACTTAATTCAACTTTTTTCATGGAGAGTGACTGGAATAATATTTCGATTCACGGAAGTTAAAAAAGCTTGGGAATGACGTACAATCCCCCCTATCCCCACCGAAATTTCAAAAATGAAGATTTTACCGTCTCTGCATATGGATTTCATTGCAGAATTCTTGAAAAATTTCATGGAATTGCACCAAATTGCAAGAAATGCTTAAAATTTCATTTTTTAAAGTTTCATGCAATTTTGCATCTTTGCATCCAAGTTTATTGTTGGTGAGTTGGTTTCAGAGTCTTTCCTCGGTTTGCTGTTCTGTCGTCCTAAGATAGATTGCCGTATGATCCTTGAGGCGTTGCCAAATCTTTCTCGACAAATCACGAATTTTCCGGAAAATATAACAATTTATTTTCCTCCGATTTTTCAGAAAATTGTGCTCGTAATTCAATCTGAAGTATATGAAAACTATTTCAATAAAAAATATTCCTAACTTTCTTCCAAAATAAATAGTTTCTGATAGGCAATTTGGCAACATTCGAATGCTCGTATGACGTTTTTTCTTAACCCGGCAGTGTTAGTCCATCGTATTCTCATCCCAAAATCGCCTAGCAACGGCGCAAAATTCTGCCGTTCTGTAGAAAAATGTCGGATGAACATTCGAGAGCTGCCAAATTTACTCCGATAAAATGTTTTCTGAGAGGAAGTTATGCATATTTTTCTTTAAAATTTTCCGATATTTTAGATACATGTGCGTACGTTGTTTCAATAATTGGAAGAGAAATATTCGCAACTTCCTCAGTAATTTTTTACTTTATTGGAGGAAATTCAGCAACTCCTGAAGGTCCATACGCTGTTTTTTCTTAGCACGGCAGAATTTCTCCCCGCCTCTCTCACCTCGCTGAGCCGGGTTGTCAAGTTTAAGCCGTAATCGAAATAATAATTGTCGTCTATTGACAGCTGATGCTACGAGGCTTGTGTGAGGAATCGGCAAAGCACTCAGGTTTCGTCCTGCCCTTACAGGAATCCGAAGCCTTGCCGGTGGGTGATGAAACATCCCGCTCGCGTTTTGAAAATAAAGTTTTCTGAATCCGTTTTTGGTTTCGATCGTAACATTGTGCTAACAGTGTCTTCTTTTTTTGTTGCAGAAACATTATCATTATCAAGAGGAAAGTTTCGGAGTTTAGACACGACAGTAGAGCCAATTCGTGGCTGTGTCTCTGAGTGTATGACTCCATTGAAGCACCAGTGGCCTATCAGTTATAGGTATGTGTAACCTTTAATCGTGTTGTTATTTTGATTTTTTTGTTTCTTGTCAAAATTTTCGAAGTTTGTACCACATAAATTTTCTCGAGACTATACTCAAGAGAGTCCTAATTTCTTGCGAGCAGGATTTTCTTTCTTTTTTTGCAGCATTTACCGTTATCTTCCTCTTTTTTTCTGAATTATTATCTCTCTCATGTCCACATTATCCATGCTCATTTCTGTGAAGTCTAACCTCCTCAAACAGCCTCTCAAAATCTCAAGGTAGCCTCTCCCCACTCGTCTTTTATGACCAATAACCATTCTTGTGAGGCTGATTATCCAAATTCAACCAATTACTGTTAGTGTAGTTTGTTGTTATACTCATTTCATCCAATGCACCGAAAAAATTAAATTGCTGATTTAACAATTAAATTGCTAAAAAAAAAAAAAAAAAAATATTCCAGCGTAGATTTCACAACACAAAAATGCTACTTTAACCACTATTTTAAGCTAATTTAAACACAGGGGTGGTTAAAAGAGCATTTTTGTGTTGTGAAATCTACGTTGAAATATTGCAGCCACTTTTTTTAGCGATTGAATTGTTAAATCAACAATTTAATTTTCTCTTTGTGGGGTAGAAATACGTGCATGTCAGCAGCTAAACTGGATAATCGAATACCTCGATATTTGCTACATTGCTGATCCCTTGAATCCTTTAGCTGTATAACTAATCAGCATTATTTCTTGAAATTTCCCGTAATTTTTTTTCTACAGTCGAAAAGGCAGTTTTAGTTAAAATATGAGCATCTGCATCACAACACTAAAATCCCTGATTCTGTGCAATAGCAAATTATTTTCAGATATATCTACGTTCTCTGTGAATATGTTTGAATGAAGCAAAATAATTTGCAGAAAATTTCAAGGAAAAAAAAGAATTTAGTATTTTTTTTTAAAAAAAGATAACATGTAGGAAGATCTGCAACATTGCAATCAAAGTTACTTATTTTTTCAATATAGTCACAGATATCCCGTAAAAAGTTCAAGGAATGAAGTTGGCTTGATTTTCCTTGAAAAAATGAGTAGAACGAAAAATTTCAAAAACTCAAAACTCAGAATACCTTTTTTCGAGTATGAGCATCTATCTTTTCAATGAAGCCCATCCCAACAGTTCATCGGAGACATGGCCCGATATTCCTTCGGGGAACAAATTGTCAGGGAATTTCATCAGGTCAAAGAATTTTTTGTAAAAGACGAGAAATTTAAAAAATCTAAAAGGTTGAAATACATCAGCAATGTCCACACAAGCAAACTCAGTCTTAGTTTTCTGTGGGGTTCTATGCCCTGAGCTAACACGCTGAATAGTGAATAAGAGAATGAGTCTCAATATTATTCGAGTTTTCATTATTTGGAAGATCAAGACCTGTCGGAGAAAAGTTCACATGTTATTGTCACAGGCAGTGAGGTTAATGCCAAAAATTGTTCTCTTTCTATTCTATGTATTTTAAGCAAATTGTTGATATGAAAATTCAAAGAGTTTTGAATATCTTGGTCAAGGAAAACCTGAAAAAGTCAGGGAATTTTATTTTGCTGAGTCTGTAAATACTCTGTTGCAGTTATGGTGACCCCGCAAGCAAATGAACATGGTTAACTTATCTGACTTAAGATATACCTGATGATGATTTATTTTTCTTTTGCAGGATATCAAAATTTTCCAGTAATCGGCATCGCCATAGGAAATCACAACCATTTAGGGAGACGTGACTGTATTTACTCCCGTCTCTGCCTTTTGATGAGAGAAAAAATTCACTCTACAAGTTAGATCGGCTAGCGTCATCATTGCTTCTGGACTGTCAACCTCCCACAACATCTCCCCTCATTCATCATTTGCGCGCCACGATAAGTTAAAGCAGCTCCATCATGGGTACCGTCAACGTCAATCGAAATGTGTCCGATGCCTTTTACCGTTACAAGATGCCGCGCCTCATGGCCAAGGTCGAGGGAAAGGGTAACGGCATCAAAACTGTCATTGTCAACATGGCTGATGTCGCAAAAGCTCTTGGTCGTCCAGCAACTTGTAAGTACTAAAGTCTTGAGTCTTAGTCTCTGACATTTGTTTTCCATCACCTTTAGACAAGCCAGCAAAAGGAGGCGTTTTTTTCTTCTTTGGTAGAATAATACTGCCAATAATATGTACGAGCAGTTTTCAAACTATTTGGGACTCTCAGAATTGAGAGATGGAAGTCGTAAGTGTAGATTTGGAATGCTCTGTATGTACTGACTGACCCTGCTGATTTCTCACTTAATCCCAGATAAGGTGTCTTCATTTGAGGTATGTTAATCAGAGCTTGAGAAGAGAGGACTTAATTTGACGTTGAATCTGTTTTTATCGGGATTCATTGTAACTGATAATTTTACCTTGGTTTTCCCCGGTGACATTGATTTTTTAGACTTGGACAATAACTATTTCAATCTTTCTACGATCATCATCAGGTCACTACATTAAACCTTGGATGTGTGACATCTGCAAAACTAACATTACATGGTAAAACACTAATATTAAAAAACTTATTAAAAACATTTGTAGGACGCACCCGGCCTGCCAAAAATGTTTTTAATAAGTTTTTTAATATCAGTGTTTTACCATGTTATGTTCGTTTTACGGATATCGCACATCCAAGTTTTAGTGTAGTGACCTGATGATGATCGTGAAAAGATCAAAATAGCTATCGTCTAAGTCTAAAAAATCAACGCGATCGGGGAAAACCAAGGTAAAATTATTAAGAGAGAATTTATTCCTCTTTTTTGAATGTGGAAGGGATGAGAGCTTGGTCATTTTCTTATTGCTGAAGTCCTCAAGTAAGAAACAGGGAAAACCAAAGGTGCAGAGTGTTACTAGGGAATCAAGTCAAAGAACCCACTAAACACCCTAACCTACTTACCCAAATGGAATGGAGAATTGTACCAAACAATGGGCCATTATATGCCAAGGAAGAACGCTGCATGAACTTTCATGCGTTGCCATATTTCCTCCAATATGAAACGACTTTATCAGGAAAATTATGAATATATTTTTTCAAATTTTTCAGACAAATTTGCTCGCATTGTGATCTTTATCATCTAAAAAATTCAAGCGAAGATATGCATAAATTTCCTCAAAAATACATGTTCTATCCGGGGAAATTTGGCAACTCTTGAATGTTCATAAGGCGTTCTTCCTTAGCACAGCAGTGTACAAGGTCTGAACCAGAAGAAAAGGTGGCATGTTTTCTTTCCATGTAGAAAACGAATCACAAAACGAGTACTTTGAAAATCAACCCCCAAACAAGATATTTATAACTTATTTCAACACATATCAAATGGAAGTTAGATAATACAAATGATGTCACTTTTATTTTTGCCATTTACTTAATCAATGTTCATTGTAAACACTTGTATCTTACTCAGGAGTCAATTCCTTGACTTCCTGTCGTGTGATTCTTCTTCCTCGTGAAATTTTGAAGAGATAGCATGTTGGGTAGTGCTTTATTTCATACCTTGCCTAGAAGCCCACAAAGCCACCATGTGAAAAAACGGAACAGATTTTGCTCTGTTCTGAGCCTTCAGGAAGAAACCTTACTACTCTCTTTTAGAGCTCTGATGGTACCTAATGATCAAATGCATTTATCATTGCAGTAGAATTTCTTTCAGAATACCAACTTTTTATTCCTCTTATTCCTTTCTTAGATCCGACAAAGTACTTTGGCTGTGAGTTGGGAGCGCAAACGCAATTCGATTTCAAAAACGATCGATTCATTGTAAATGGTTCTCATGAGGCCTCCAAGCTTCAAGATTTGCTCGATGGATTCATTCGCAAGTTTGTTCTGTGTCCTGAATGCGATAACCCAGAAACGGACCTCAATGTCTCTACCAAACGCAATATCATCAATCAGTCTTGCAAAGCTTGTGGGTATCATGGTTTGATCGAGAGCAATCATAAGCTCATAACTTTCATCTTGAAGAATCCTCCAAGTAAGTATATGATTTTAGTCCATTACTCCTGGTTTTGCTATGACAAAAATTTTTACAGTAAATATCCGGTCTGTCAGAAACAAAAAAATAAGAAAATAGAGGTCAGTGAGCTTGTAGTAATAACCTCCACGTTTATTAGTTGTCAATGGAGTCAAAGTAATTCAGGAATGATTTCATAGCTTAGAAACTTGAATTAATAATTTGAGATTATCAGATCTCAGTCTTGGTACCTTTTGCCTAAGACTAGATACTAATGCAAATTTCACCACGGATCCAAGGTGAAAGGATCATGGTAGGCGAAAATAATGTTGTTTGACTAAGCTTAGCTGCTAGATCTCTGAAACACGTCAAATGCATTCTCAACAGTTTTAGAAGACTACATCAGTGACCATAGTGTAAAACCATGTATCTCTGTTTGCAATGTTTTGACATTACTGTCATACTTTATTTTATCTTCAGGTAACTGGTGAATGTAATTTCTTGAAAACTTCCTCGATTTTTCCTTGCTCCTAGCAAAATATTCTGTTTAAATCTCAAGCTATAAAGACTTCTTTTTCTCTTGGGAAGAACAAGATAGTAGCGGGTATTTGGAAACACTGCAATAAAATTACTTGGTTTTACAATTTGGTCATCAATATCATTCCCATCCTTTGCTACCTCCATATGTAGCTACCTTGTGACTTTCACAACAAGAACATGGAGCTCATTGTTTCAAACTCTAAATAAATAAATTTAATACGAACTCGCAAAAGCCATTTGGCTCATTACAAGAACATTTTTTCAGTGAAAATTTTTATCTGTAATGGCTGAGTATATCTTTTTTAATTCATCGTTTGTGTTCCAGCGGTGAACCATGCTATCCAGGGTGCCTCTTTGACTGAAGGTAAGCGTCAAAAACGCCTCAAGAAGCAGAACGGTGACGTAACAAATGGTGACATGAATCGATCAAGCTCTCCAAAATCTGATGAAGAACCAGATATCATTGTGGAAGCTCCGGAGAAAAGAGTAAGTTCTCAAGTTGGGGTTTTCTAGATTTTTCGTAAGTGAAATTCAAGAACCTAGAGAGATGCCAGTACTCTTCTATTTCTGGATACTCTTTATGACAGCACCAGAGGGATGAAGGGTAAAAAACTGACTAAACTTATGAATCGGGGGCATTCCTCTACCATTTGTTCTCACTTAGCATTTTACTGATTAGTTATTTGTCGTTAATATGTGTTAGAAACCAGGGTGTGTACATAATGCTTCAGGGCCCCAGAACAGCTGTGCCCCCCCCCCCCCNCCCTCCATCTCTCCATCTCTTCATCATCATTTGAGCTGATCATAGCTTGCATAGCTCAATTTCATCATTCTGTGATAGTGTACAGTTAAAATATCAGCCTGTGGTAAACTGAAACACAATAAGGTATCTGCATCAAAAGTGGTAACTCCAAAGCATTCAGAGGAAAACTGAAGGAAATCTTGAGTTTTAATCCAAAATGTTACCTTACTATTCAGGAATTATGAAGACTTATGAATTCTTCAGTTATTTGGCACCCCGATTTTGGCCTTTAAACAGACGGTCTAATTTTATTAACTCATGATAAGGGCAAGTTAAAGTTAGTCCATACTAACAACGTTAGCAAGATTAAGGTCAGAGTCATTTTTTACAAAGGACTGAATAAATCCAGATTTATCCTGGGAGTGTTTGAAGGTGTGAAATGTATTATTAAGTCCAAAACTCACTCAATTTTGTTTATGTTGTGCAGGCTGACGATGAAGACGATGCAGATTGGGTTGTTGATTGTAGCGAAGAAGCAGTAAGAGCGCGACTCCAAGATCTAACAGAAGGAGCAAAGGGGTTGACCATCACAGATGATTTGGAGAAAACCGAAGCGGAACGTATCGATATCTTCTACAATGCTGTCAAGAAGGGGCTCGAGGACAATAAGCTGGATGCTAAGGAACTTGTTTCACTAGCAGATCGTCTGGAAATCAAGAGCAAGGCGCCTGTTGTTCTTGCTGAGCTACTTTTCGACGACAAGATACATGTTCAGGTAATCAATGATGCTTTTTTCGCAAAGGGATATGCTTATCAGAGACACAGAAAATATTCGCTAATAGTAAAACTACCTTAAATTTTTTTAAGAGTATCAGGAAAATCCAAAATAAAATTTTAGTAGACACTCTGCTCATAAATTAAAAAGAAAATTAACTTGCATTTTAAAATTCTTTTCAAAAAAAATTTACTTCCATACTACATACTACATACCACTTCTATACTATGCACTGCATTCTACTTACATAATATTCTAGTTTATGAAAAAGAGTTACAATGGCAATGAATACATCACTCCAGATTGAACAGTTCAGCCATCTGCTAGAAGCTTCTCAAACTGTTACCTGTATTGCCGAAGATGAGTTCTTGCTTGAAACCGGCATAAAATAAAAATTGTTTTGAAAAAAATATCAGTGTGTAAGTGAGTCGCAAATTATATTTTATCTATTTAATTCATCTACATCTTGTGCAGTCCGTACATTACGTTTTTACATTCCTTGTCTTTGAAAGTAGAGTTGTAGATTATTGTTGGAGATGGAAATGACACGATGCTCCTCTACACTGAGAGAATTTTGAAAATATTTTTAGGTTGAAAGATTTGAAAAAATATGTCGGTCAAAAACTGAAAATTTAGGGGATCAGAGAGCTTAAAGTGCATTAATAATAATGATGTTAAATAATTTTCTGTCTGAGAAATGAAGTATGACTGGAAAATTCTTGGTTCCTGAAAATAACTTTATAATCCTAGGAATTTTATGGCTCCAGGGCTGTAAAGTATTAAGGTGATTCGATGGACGCTATATTTTGTGTTAGAACGGCATGCGATATATCGCATCAATTGGTTCCATTTTTTCAGCTACTCATCATTTTTCTCCAATTTTGAGATGGCAATTCTGTTGTCAGGAGACTAAAGCACTCACGTACCAATTTTAACAAAGAAATTCAATGCAATGAAGGCGTGGTTTTTTTAGGGAGAACACATCGCATTCAATACTGATATTGAAATTGCACTCGAATGCGATATTTTGTCTCTAAAAAAACGACGTCTTTATTACGTGGAATTTCTTTGTTAAAATTGGTAAGTGAGTGCTTCAGTCTCCTGACAATAGAGTTGCGACCTCAAAATTGGAGAAAAATGACGAGTAGCTGAAAAAATGGAACCAATTGATGCGATCTATCGCATGCCGTTCTGACACAAAATATGGCGTCCATCGAATCACCTTAAGTCTTCAGACAGAGTCTACTGAAGTAAAAGGCCATATGTCACTAGAACAAGTTCCTGAATTATGAGTGGTTCGATATTTTGTTACAATCTGACCCTTGTGAAATGTTCAAGTGAAGTCAATGAATTCTCCTTAATCTGTGGTTCTCTTTATTTCCAGATGAAGAAACATAGAGTTTTGTTGCTGCGTTTCACTCATGAAAATACAAAGGCTCAAAAGTATCTGCTGGGCGGTATTGAGCAAGTGATCGGCTTGAACAAAGACACTTTGTTGCCGAAGGTTTCTGCAATTTTGAAGGTAGGCTTTATTCAATCACAAATGAATACAGTTTTCGTAATCATTTCATGACCAAGACTTGCTTTGAATCGTCACTAACTGAAATTAGGGATAGAAACAGTACTCTGAACAGAACATCCAAGGCAGACACTATTGCACAGTGAAAGCTCGCCAAGTCAAATTGTTTAGGGACCGACAAAAAATTCGACTTAAGCGGAAATTCATCTTAACCGGTTCTCAATTTCATTTATGAACGTGTCTAGGGACCGAAAAAAAATTTGACTTAATCGACATGTCGTCTTAACCGTAGTTTGACTTAGCGAGCTTTTACTGTATCATCGTATTGAAATGACGTCAGTCTTAACTTTCGGAAACTGGTCCTAATTCAGGGTCTCTGGCAGTCTGGAAAACTTCTAAGTCAGGAAAATTATGGCTACCTGAAAAAGTTGAGAAGCTCATAGGAAAAGTCAAGACGTAGTAAAATGAAGAAATTATGGAAACCTTGTATTTCTATACAGCACTGGGCTCAAACCCCCAATTTAAACCACTTTGGCTGAATTATCAAGGAAATGTCTCGAAACTTATTTTTTAGTTTATTATTATGTGTTTTTCTGTATGGAATTCAAACTTCAAATATTTGAAATTGACTGAACCACTCTGAAAAGTCAGTTTCTGTAAAATGAATTCCCTTTTCCCATGGTTCATCACAAATTAGTAGTTCCATTAACCTGATAACAAAAAAAAAGTTGTTTGTCCAACTCCTAGAAGTATTTACCTGAACCAATCAGTGTCTTTTTTATGAAGAAACTCTGTTCCCTCTCATCTCTTTCTTATTGTTAGAAGAAAAAATGTGCAGTTCAGTAAAAGTGAATTTTTTTTATCCTCATTGTAAGCTTTCAGAACATAAATACATAAGATCGGTGCAGCAAATTGTAACCCTCCATATTCTATGGAATCTGGAGGAGAAGTTAGAAAATACCCTCATCCGGCAATTTGAAAAACGACAAAAAATGCCTAAAAATATGAAATAACACCAACATTTTTTTACGAAGCTGGTGTTACTCAAGTTTTCCCCGATGTTTACAAGAGTGTTCCTTAACCCTGCTTTTTCCCGGTCTTTTCTCTTTTTTGCAACCATGAAATCGTCAGAGGAGGATATAGTAAAACTTGAAACGTAAGTGTGTTAAATTGTTCTACAAAATAATTTTTAACTGATAAAGTTTCTTTTTGTTTTCTGGTAGCTGTTCTACGACAATGATATCCTGGAAGAGAAAGTGCTGCTTGAATGGGGATCCCACGTGAGTAAGAAGTTCGTCAGTAAGGAGCTGTCGCAGGAAATACACAATCAAGCTGAGCCGTTCTTGAAGTGGTTGAAGGAAGCGGAGGAGGAAGAATCAGACACTGATTCTGAAGATGATCTGGAGGTAAGGATGCTTTCAGTAACTAATATTTCTCAGTATTGACCAGTGTCAAACCAATATTTAACTATTGATCGGTTAGCTGCAAATGCACACATAATGTGTGTTATTTATTTTGAAAGTCAGAAAAACGGTTCCTTCTCGAAGGATTCAGCTTTTAGTGGAGCCACTGCAGCCCTAGATCATCAAAACTTTCAGATTGTGTGGGATTGTTGTTTTAGTTTGTTTTGTTTCATCCTAGAAAGCTTGTACGTGAACTTGAGTAGAAACGAAGGACAGAGAGTTTCAAAACCCTAGCCCTCCAAATAATATGTATTATCTTATGTAACGTTTTTTCTTGATATATTTTTGTTAATTAATTTCATGTAGATAGATATAAGATATATGGTCCCTGCAATAATTACGATATTTCTCAAGGAATGGGAGGGAAGTTATTTTATAAATTTTTATATTTTCGTTTTATCTTCTCTATCTTTCAATGTTGCTAAATTTTCCCTCCCAAATTACATTTTTACAAAGAGAATGTTGGTCATTTCTAACTTTAAAGTTCATTAATTTTTCTTCTTATCTCATGCAAAAATCAGAAATATTTCGGAAAATTATCGCATAGGTATATTCTTGTAAAAAATTACATTGTTTGAGTCAGTTTTGCAAATTTGCAGTGGAGTTACATCGTTTTTCTTGGGAACGACGATAAGTGATCTTATTTGTTAAAAGGGACCTTGAAAAAAATTTTCTGCAAGCAAATTTCCTCATCTCTTTGCAATGCTCAGAGAAAGAAAATCTGAAAATTTTGATGCAAGTTTGACCCTTAAATCTCAAAAACAGAAAGAAATCTTAGTCCTGAAGTTCTTAGGTTGCAGGAACATGTGGTTGAAGTGTTCGTAAAAAGTTGAGGGAAGTGTAAGTCCCGTTTCTCATATCTGGTCATGTATTAATTTAACTATTTCATTCTTATTCTGACTCTGTTTCGTCTTTTTTTCTTTCAGATTGAATATAATGATAGAGCTAAAGCATCACCCTTGAAGGAGCAAGCCAAAACTGTGCTTAAACCAGCAGTCCACGAAAGCGATGATGAAAACGATGTTGACATTGACGCAATCTAGACATACGCAATCCAATCACCCTCATTTTATATATGTTTATATCTACGTATAATTTTTCCAGTTATTTTTATAATTTGATATGAGATCTTTCCACCTAATTATATTTTAGAATTCTCTCCCCCCCCCTCTTTCCACTGCGGTTTAGAGGATCCGTACCGCTTCCTTCTGGAAGTTCATCTAAGTATGCACAAAAAAAGCCTCTGAATTTTTTTAATCAATATTTTTTAAGTTGTCTTAAAAGTACCTAAGCAGATTTTGGCTTTAAAGTGAACAAACGGTCACTACTGTACTCTCTGGATGTGCAGCAATCGGTATTTTAACCTCTTCCGCTACAGGTTTCAATACACCACTAAATTAATGCAATCTTGAAGCTTGTTAATTAACTATTGTTAATTTTCAGCGCAATTTATTTTGTGCAACAAATCCGATGATGTTTTCTTAATCTCTTTTTTATACTTTGTAATTTTTATTTAAGTACTCCTAGTGTCTGCAAAACGGTTTTCAGTTAGATTGTCGTAGTACTTTTTCTCTCTCTCTATATCCAGTTTTTTTTTATTCGGTGAAATGAATTGTGATTAAATAATCAAGATCGAAATGTCTAAGACTAGTAGAAGCAATGATTGATGTGTCACATATTCCTGCAGGCTGCTGCATTGTTGTCAGAATATCTGAAGAGCATAAATGTTAACTCCACAGTGCGATGTTTGATTTTCAATCAGCAGCAACAATGAGCAGTCCTGGCTATCATCTCCTTATTCCCGGAATAGCTTGATCCAGTAGATTATTTATGTTGTTTTTACTATTAATTCTTATCATGTATTTATTATTTACTGTTATTTTAATAAATATTGTAGGCATTAATAAATAAAGAACTTGCTCATTTGATGGACATGCACACTGACCCAGCCCAGTGAATGTCACTCGCAAGTAATCAAATGTGCTAAAAACGCAACTTTGTAAGTGAGGCCTCAAGCTGTTTGCGTTGAAATTAAATTGTGTAGAATTTTCTGGAAATTAATCTGTTCACTGTTGGTTGAAATTAATGTTCACAATCATCCAGAGGATTTTTTCAGTGTTACAAATTCTAGTGAATGTTTCATTTAATTTTTATCCCTTCCTACTTTGCTGGAAAATAAATTCAATGTTTTGCTTAGTTTCAAGTGGCTTTTTAATTATATCCGTTCCTTAATTTTATGGTTCAAATTTAAGTGAAAGTAGTTGTCGAAATAATCTTGTTTGTAAAGAGTATGTATTTATTCATGCTTCGCTGAGATCTCGCATCCTTTTGTGGTTGTTGAAAGCAAGAACTTTAAAATGATTTTTAGTTAAAAATTCCTTATCACCACAGTAATTTTTGGATCAGTAATATTTATCCTTAGTGGTGCATTTAAACAGCATTGCTACAGTCAGGGAAAACTGTGAAATGTCAAGGAGGTGACAAAAGCGCCTAAGAAAAATTGCTACCCTAATTTCTTGTCTGGAATGTATGTTGACGTTATGTACAACTGTTCAGTGGAAACTGTTTCAAATTATGTCCTCTTAACCATGTCGCATACTCTCAAATGTCAGGGAATTTCATTTTCCAGATTCTGTAGCAATCCTGTTTAAAAGAAGTTTGGACCAAACTTTAGGGTTCCCAAACACCAGGGTTCCCAGCGATCTGGAAAAGTCAGGGGGAAAAAAATGGCCTGGAAAACCTGGAAAAGTCAGGGAATATGCTCGAAAAGTCTTGAATTTTTTCAAGTACTGAAAAAAAATTAATAAATAAACAAATAAAAATAAATAATTAAAATTGAAATTGCAATTCCTTTGTTGTATTTTGAATTTTCTGCCAACTCATCCTCTTTATCGGCATTCAGAACGAATCGGAACTACTCGGAAGTGTTCGGTGGCTCTCCCTACAGGGCAAGATTTCCATGAACCTTAGCCCTCTTAATTATTTAATTGGATTATAAAAGTTTCAAGTATACTCACTAGGATATCTTACGCTTAGCTGAGAACTATGTCTGCATGCTAAGGTAGAGGTTACTTTTTTGTAACTCTGCCTTCTTTTCCTCGACAATACGCTCATTTAAAAAAATATATATGTGTGCATTTCTCAGTTTTTTTAAGAATAGTTCTTAAAAGTATGCAGAACGAAGACTGCAGGTTGGGTTATTTTTTAAAAGAATCTGTTCAGTGCTTTCCTCCTTAGCATAGCAGCAACACCGGGATGGGATTTATTTTTCAAAACCAATACTACTATGAGTAAATGAAACAAAATGAAAAATCATTTGCTTTCATGGATGCAGGTATCGTTTAAGAAGGCATTTATATTTCGCCATTTTTTTTCCCAACATATTTTAACTTTTTTTGTAATTTCATTCGTGTTATGATACTATCCTAGCCGGGTTCTTATAAAAAAAAAGCTAAACCAGATCAAAAATTGTTGAAAACAGAGTTTTTACAAGAATCGGGAAATGTGCGAGCGCGCTGTCTCTTTTAAGGCAACTTATTTGAGTTTTTTCCGCGGAAAAAGGCCTGAAAGTCAGGGATTTTTTCCCCAAAATTGGCTGGGAACCCTGTTAGTCATATTGCTTGGTTACTCTCAGATATGAAAAAGCATCCCTACAGTGAGTGAAAGCAATTTCAGGAATTTCTTGAATGATAAGTTCTCAACGATTTGATATCAATGGTTATATTTTTCGAAAATGACAGAAACCATCTTGCTGTGCCATGATCACATACTTTGTTTCCTCTTCATTACAGCAATGCACAGCTAACAGCCAGCATAGCCGAGCTCATGTGCCTTGCTGTGCAACCATTTCTTACAAGAAAGCCTCTGTTGGAGTACACAGGGGAAATGGCTGATAAAAGTAAATTACTACTTTGTTGGTGCGTTTATTTAAATTGATAATTAACATTAATCATGCTTCATACTATAATTAGTCATAAGCACCAGAGAGTATCTTGCAAAGCTAACAGAGAAAATCATTTAGGAAAATAAAATATAGAAAAACAAGGAAAAGCAAAAAACATAAAAAAAATAAAAGCAACAGCTGAAGGTGCATGCATACATCTCGAACTTATTGTGTACAGACAAATCGATTTAAGAAATCAAGATTGCAAATACAGAGTGCTTAAATTATATCGATGATTGGAAAAGAAGGGCCGAGTGGGGTCAACCTAATAATTATAGAATCAACTTACATATTGGAGAAGCAAATCACAATTTTAAAAAAAGAAGGAAAAAATACAAATAAAATAGAGGGTCAAATGATGAAAGGAGGACAACAATTGGGAAATAGGAAAAAAAGACGGAGAAAACTTAAATATGTATCACATTTCTACTTCACTAACACCAAGACAACATGTCAGTGACTATTTTCAAAGGTTGTCATCTTGGTCCATACTGGTACCACAAGACAAGGGATCTGCTGGATTTTGATCGGTGGTGTTAGTTTCTTCATCACTACAAGTGGCACCATCATCATGATTGAGAAAAAAAACTTGATTGGAATATATGGATGAATTGAAGGAGGATAGAAAATGTTGATTGACAGAGAGGTCTTTGGCTCTCGACTGAAGTTCACTTAAGCGGGCTTCACATGACAATAAATGCATTTTCAAATCTATTTCCTTCCATATGACCAATTTACAATACTGGCAGGACAATTTTCCAGGCAGTTGACCATGCAATTTTAAATGGCACTTTAAATTTGAGCTTTGAGTGAACGGTTTAGTGCAAATAGGGCACTTGTACTTTTTTTCACCACTGTGAATTTCCATGTGACATTTCAGGTTGGACTGTTGAGCAAAAGACTTCTCACATAATGTGCACTTGAACTTTTTCTCACCTGTGTGCAAGGCTAAATGAGACTTGAGATTAGATTTTTGCGTGAAGGATTTATCACAGTATGCGCATGGGAAATTTCGAACGCGAACGCTGGAATGAATCTCCAAGTGAGTTTTGTAATTGGAGTGTTGAACGAAACCTTTGTTACAATAACTGCAGACATACTTTTTCTGCCCTGTATGTATGGCGATGTGCGTTTTAAGGTTAGAGCTCTGGGTGAAGCTCTTGTTGCAAAATTGACAGGTGTACTTGCGCTCACCTGTGTGGATTGCCATATGTGTCTTCAAATTTGAATTCTGGTAAAATTTTTTACCACAAAAATCGCAGGCGTAATTTTTTTCCCCCGTGTGAATCACAGCATGACTTTTTAAATTATAACTTTGTGAAAATGTTTTATTGCATACATGACAGGCATATTTTTTTGAGTCTCCAGCATGGCAGGTGGACTTCCTTACATCATTGAGGGATTCAAGAAAGGACAGTGGCTTAGCCATTATTAACTTAAATTTCGCTACAAATAGAAAAAATGAGCTCTGTTTTAAGACAACGTATTTATGTAACTAGGGAAATTCGTTCGACTTAAACAAAAAGCACTTCCTGCATTGTAGAAATTACAGGCCTGAAAAGAAAAGAACATTTAAAATTTTAAATGTTTTGGATTACTATATTCAAAGGGCTGCAAGATAAATATTTCCATTTGCCTCCACTGAGATTGCACTGAGGGTGGCAGGTGATAAAACTGAGTTTGAAAAAAGGAACAGTTAATGATCCGCACAAACTGAGGATGATTGATTGAGTTCATACATTAAGGACAACTTCATCGCCAATGCCGGAATGCAATTGAACCCCATTCATTTTCCTGAAAAACCAAAACGATTCTATCATTAAATTCAACATATTTGGGAGGAAAAATGAGAAGGCTTTAATTCGCAATACCTATCTCTGGTGTGCAAGTGCTGGTAACTCAACACAGCGTTGTTAAAGAAATTCAGCATTGAAATCTTTTTCTTCTTGTAAGTATGTCTGTTCTGTGTTTCAGGCGACAGCGATCATGATCAACAAGGTTATTACTGAGGAAACATACTGATTGGAGCCTGGTCACATACGCATAGCACTTTCGTTCTTTTTATCCACCAGCTAATACACTTGGTCCTTCACTTGTTGACTGCCGCTGTGTTTTAGGCACTTATTTCCCCCAGCACCACAGCCTTTTTTTCAAAGTATCTTTAAAGAAAGAAAACGAACGTTCAATAGTGCATTCTCTTGCTGGGGCTAGGCTGTTCGTGAGCCATAAGCATACCTATGGATGTCTCCGATAGCAGCAGGCCTCATGGAAGCCTAGCAACGCGAGCGACCGCATTCCGGTCGAACCAATCGGCGTGGCCCTGGCAGAACCCTTCAAGGCCAGTTGATACAAGTGGCGCGGCAGTCAACATATTAATCTGTCCGCTGATCCAGAATACACACCCTAAAGCTGCCCTTAAAAACTAATCCTTATGCTGGCTAATCCTCACTGCTGTTATGACTGAAATTGTGAAACAATGCAATTTATTTGACAGAATATAGAACTTGATTCTCTGGAGGACAGAAAAAAGGACACTCCCTGCGAGGAACTAAGTTTGAGTCAGCGCCTCATCTCTCTAATATCCTTGCAGACTTGACCTTCCACAGCCCTCACTTAGTTTGGAAATGAGGGTCTACAAAAAAATAATTGGAGGGAGTTACAACAGCACATGATATAAGCTCATCTTGACGCTTTTGATTGGCCGTCATGCAATTCTGCAAAAGTAAGTATCTACCAACAAAATTTCAGACTCATGACTACTCTGCAACCTCCTCTTCACTCTGGGATTTATAGATTTGTTAATAACGGATAGAACCGAATCCCAAACGAACCCTCTCCTCAGATTCTTGTATATTTGTCTCTGACGTGCTTAGGTACAGACCTAAGGTAATCGTGTTGACGAAGGCACTGTTTACCTGAAGATTCAACTGTAATCCTTGAAAAAATTGAAAGCTGGAGCTGAGGCTGAATAGAGCCACAGCTACAGAGGCAATTCACATAAAATAATTATTGATATGCAAAATGAAAAAAAAAAAAAAAACTACTTATTCCACACTATCCAAAATTTTAGATTTTCATTGATAAGTTGTGATAAGCCACTAAAAAAACAACAAATGACGTCATGGTATTATTTTTGATGACTAAATCCAAAGATTATTTCATAGTGAAATAGTCAGGCCAGGCTCAGGTTATTATTTATGATGGCTATGTAATCTTTGGTTTTGAACAAAAAAAAAACAAACAAGACATCCAATGAAGGAAGTTTGCCAAATATGTGAGTGACTAAATCTCTTTATTTTTCCGTTATTTCACTCCTAATTACATACTTTTCCCCATTTTCATTCAGTATGTAACGTATTCATCCTCCATTTCAAAGTTTTTCCCTTTTCTTGTTACAATTTGCTTCTGTTTTGAAGTCGCAGATACCTGCCTGTAAATGATACCTTCACTTTTACTTTTTTACCAACGGATGGAAACAATTCTGATCTTATTCTCTGAAAATTCTATTCACAACTGAACCAGGTAATCCTGCCCTTCTTGTCGCTTTACTCAGCTTTCGTGGGTCAGCTATTGCAATGTCCACAAACCAGTTTGTATTCATATCACTACATTTTAAGTAGGTCAATTTTAATTTTGCAAACAACTTCTGCGGCAAAACTTGGAAGAAATTATCGATTCCCATTCAAAACATTACCTCTACATTATGTTCTATTACTCTCTTTCTTTGCTTGTTTTTTGTGATCTTCACATGCTCCGTAATGATTTTTCCCCTGGCCATCTCAACCGCAATAGTCCTAGAGAACCATTCCTTCAAGTGAGTTCATCATGCTGGCTGCAAGTCCATTTTTCCAAACAAGCCCAGTTGTTTCCGCAATTCGTAGGTGCATCATCAATTGACGTTTTGTGTTCCATCTTGCGCTTGATTAATCCCCTGTTCTGTATTTCAGGTAGAACTTAGAAGGCAATTCCCACGCAGCTACCAGCGTACTATGGCAGATGAGCCTTTTGATTTGCCAGTCTTTGCTGAAAAAAAGAATTTATGGTTGTCCTGATGTTTGACTCTTGAGGTATGAAAACTCCCACGCCTGTTTGACCTTAGCTAGGTCAAACTGTAATCCCAATTGATAACAACTTTCAGATTGGATCACTAACAGTTCATTGTTCCTAGGTCAACCCAGTTACCTATCAAGAGCTGCTAAGTATGAAATTATATCTATAATTCTATCCAATTCTTCTGCCAAGATTTCTTTTTGCTGGAAGTAATTCCTCTGATGAATTCTGACGATCTACTCGATGAGTTATATTTACATTAGTTTTAAGCGCTTTTTAGTGATGAACTTTCTTATGCTCTGACCTGATATATTAACAGAGAGGGCAGCATTCATAAAATTCTTGGCTCTAAAGCAACGGTCCCTTGACCAAAGTCATTCTGCGTCAGCACTATCGCGGGTGAGGGTCCAACAAATGCATGAATTGGAACATGAGCAGACCATGGCCAGGCTCTGTTCACCAAGTGGCTAGTACTTGAGCACCCTTGACACTAGAGGCTGCAGTCCACTCATGCTAGCATTCTGATCTGAATTCAGTCCACCAAGTTGGCTTTCCAGAAGAGTAGTTTTTAGAGTAGAAACCATTTTTACGATGACCTTTCTACAAAACTGTCATCAGCTCAGTACAACAATGCAATAAAATTGATTTATAGTAAAATAACTCACTTAATCCAAATCGTACAAATTGATGAACATTTTAGCTATGTCTGTAAATATTGTGATCGTTTCTTTTCATGAGGGGCTTGAGTTGATAATCAAAATAAAAAATAGGTCTTCAGAGATCATGGAAAAAAATTTGGTTTTAAAACTGAAAAAGATTACCACTAACAAGAGCCTGACATGGATTGGTATAATGAAACCAATGGCAGAACTTATATCATCTCTACCAAAACCAAGGGTTTAAGTTTTATTACCTATTTTGCTGGAATATAAATCTTGTGAAGATAAAGTTTTATCGTTGTTTTTGAAGTGCATGTTGCATCTGTAATTATTTAATGAAAAAATTGTAAAAAGTAACAAAATGTTCCCAGATGCAGTTGTTCATACAACTACTAAATTGATATCTACATCTGGGTATGTTTAGTCATTTTTTACAGTTGTTTTATTAGATAAATGTCCACTTCTGCGGCACTGATTTTTCAATAAGTTGCAGTTAGAACTTCCTAACAATTGTGTGAAAAAAATAGAAACTCTTTGTCATTACTTTTTTGCACCATAATTGACTTACCATAACATATATTTTCAGGTTTCTAGAATTACTTCTGTAGCTTCGTGAAAGTTTTCAGTTACAATGGCGACACCTGCAGAAATCGAAGACTTCATGCATGGGCCCTTAGTCACGTGGGTAAGGCTTTCCTTTGTACTCAAAATTTCTGTAGGAGCCCTCCAAGTACTACATAAAGCTAGATAAGGGGTGAAGTCATTGATATTTTTTACCATTCTGAATTTATCTGAAGTGCTCTAGATGAGTAAATTCAGTAGAATCATATTGAATCATATTGCAAATTAATTTTCTAAAGTAAATGAATAAAAGAAATGCAATTACCTCAAAAAATGCAGGAAGTGAAGACATTTTGTGAATTTTAAGTTAGGAAAAAAACTCACAATGGGCCTGTTGCAAACTTTTGCTAGAGCAAACAAGTATATGAGTTGTTCGTTATAGATAGTGTCTCAAAAATAACAATGAGAGCATCGGCAAACTCTGAAATACACTCCTAACTTCACAATCTGTGTAAGAAATTTGCATTTTTTTAAGCTCCCTGCTTCAAAAAGGATGCTACAGCACAGGTGAATATTTCGTCATAGGAGTCATTCCATTCAATCCCTGCTCAACATGGCCAATGCTTCCGCCCAAGTTGAGGAGAGCACAAAGTCAACCAAGATGGATATCCATCAAAGCGAGAAAAATGTGAATGTAAACTTACCAATTGTTATCAGGTGGTTAGAATTATCGTCCTATCACATGTGTTTTGGCGGATTGGCGTCAGCTATGTTGAATATTGCATGGTATCCTTGTGAGCAGGGGTTGGATGGAATGACTCCTCTAACGAAATGTTCACCTGTGCTGTGGTATCGTTTTTGAAGTGGGAAGCTCTAAAAAACGCAAATTTCTTATGTAAATTGTGAAGTAGGGAGTGAATTTCAGACTTTGCCTCTGCCCTAATCGTGATTCTTGAGACACTTTCTATGAGTAACAACTCTTATTTTTGCTCTAGCTGAAGTTTGCAACAGGCCCGTTGCCTGATGGATTCTTTATGATTGGAAACCCTGCAAAATGGCATATAATGACTCAATTCAACCAGATGGATTTTTAGCACTAGTTACCATTATCATAATTCGGTCATAAATACCTACTGTTAATAGCATATCGATAGTGAAACTGCAAAAATGCATATTTCGGTTTGCGGCATTGCAGACTTCCTATCATACTTTATTTTCTACATGGAAAACTATTGAATGTCATTTCTTGAAAATTTCAGTGATTTTTCTTCTCTTCATAAAGAATATTCTGTGAAAACTTCAAGACATGCATAGAGAAAAAAAAGGAGGTGTTTGCATCTTGAGGTTTGTTTACCCTGTGACGTAGGTCGGTACAACCTGGCCAGCAAAATCCGGAATGCGAATTATGAAAAATGGGCCATAATGATCGATTTTTTTTATTTAAATGAACTCATGATATAATTTCAAGCACTTTTTATAACTTTTAGCACTTTTTTCCATGAATTACACCATTTCCAAGAAAATCGATGATAAACATCGCTGTACCGACCTACGTCATCAAAAAAATTCCAAGATGCCCGAAATGCGAATACCTCCTTTTTTTTCTCTGTGCAAGACATGACGTTGGTTCTGTCACTTTATAAACAATAAAATAGGGGCAGAGATTTCGAAACAGTGCAACCAAGGTACGCTTTTTGCAGTTTCTCTGTCAATATTGCACTCTAGTGCTGTTTAAAGATGTGTACTCATGCATTTTTTTTTTATTTTTCAGCTACGGTCATGTCTGGAAAACCCAGAAAAGTTGCATGATTATGAAGATCTTGTGGATGGACCATTAGTTCATGAAGTTTATCTTCTTATGTAAGTATAGATACCGAAGCCGTGAATCATAATTGCAAGTCTTTTCTTAAGATTTTTTTTTTTCCAAAACTTGTGTCACCAGAATTCATGTTTATGATCAAGGTCAATATTTGTCACTTCTGAAACAAAGAAATGTATCTCCATGTGCTGTTTTAGTATTCCTCACTGGCATTTTCTTTTTTTCTTTTTTATATATATATATATATATAGAATTGTCACATGAATTTGCCTGACATTTTCAGTGATTTTTCTTAACACTTGTGATAAAAAACATGAAAACTTTTGAGAAAATTCATGGGATGGTTCTTTCATGAAAAAATATAATGTTTGTATAATTACTGAAACTGCACTGACAAGATATGTTCCTTTGTGAAGGAAATGGCATATTTCAAGCTGCTCCTTTCAACTACTGTGAACTGAAATTTTTTCCTATTCTATTAAAGATTAAACAATGGCACCTAGTCCTGATAAATCTTTTGATTTCATCACTGTGTGAAAACATTTTTCATGCATGAGGCAATCTTAAGGCTTGGATTGTGATGAACATTTTCCGATGAACTTTCTGCACCCCTGCCTACAGGAAGGCGTCATGAAAGGGAAGACTATTACCTGATACAAGGTATGATCCATTAGAAACCGAACTTTGGCCATTGTGGGCCAACAGATGATCGGATCAACGTTTTCTTGGGTTTATCTGATTGCTGATAAACTGACAAACACGTTGGTTTTTACAGATTTCAATTATCTTAACTAGTTCGAATTTTACAGCTGTTTGATTCAGGTGTGTTCAAGTGCGTGTTGCGATTTTGAGAAATGTGTGAGCTTTTAGAACATTGGTGTAACATTAAATTTTGTTCTAAGTTGGGTAAAACGTTTTCCGAAACTTTTGCACTGTTGCACTGTTGCACTGTTGCAAGCATTTGAGCGGTCCAGCGGCTGTTGGCAGATGAAAACGCGCTTTTCTTTTTGCGCTTGGGTTAACAACTTGGGAATCCACTTTGCAGAAACTCTACACATGTTCAAATTTTGGGTTAAAATACTCTGAACGGACCCAAAAGAAATATGCAGTTCCTCTGGAAGCTCACGAATGGTTAAACGGCCATCGGTTTGCACTTTTTCGTGAACTTGATTCACGTGAATCTCGTCAGTTGACGTCCTGGGCTTGCCACCATGAACTTCATCTTCCACCGATTCCTGACCATATTTAAATCTCTTAAACCATTCGTAACACTGACAAGGGGAACTTCCCAAGCTGCCGCCTCCGATCGGGCTGAAAAAATTCATACGAACTCTTTGGATGAATTTATTTGACCCGTATTTTTTTGTTTTTTCCAACGCCCCCTAGAAACCCCCCAAAAAAATTCCGAAAAGTCTTGCTTTGAGCGCTCTAGTCTATATACGTAGCTATAGCACCCAGTCCTTATCAATTGTCGGTGGCTCTGCGGTAGCGCGCTCGCCCGGTGTTCCAGCGGTTCCGAGTTCGCATCCCGGTCGCCACGCCTACTTTTTACGACCGAATGTTTTATTCTCACATTCATTTTTATTATTTTATATTCTTTTTTTTTTTTATTTTAGTGATTGGCGAGGTAATCGCGCGCGTGACCCCCCTCCCCCCCTCCCAAAAAAAAATCTATACTTCAAATTGAAGAAATTATTGATCGTAGATCAATTTGTGTTTGAGGATGGTTGTAAATTAATTGATGTTTTAAGTTCCACTGTATTAAATGGGATTCGATGTGAAAATGTGTGAGAATATAAAATTCGGTCGTAAAACGTAATCGCGGCGACCGGGATTCGAACCCGGGACCGCTGTAACACCGGGCGAGCGCGCTACCGCACAGCTACCGCCATTTGATAAGGGCTTGGTGCTATAGCTACGTATATAGACTAGAGCGCTCAAAGCAAGACTTTTCGGAATTTTTTTGGGGGGTTTCTAGGGGGCGTTGGAAAAAACAAAAAAATACGGGTCAAATAAATTCATCCAAAGAGTTCGTATGAATTTTTTCAGCCCGATCGGAGGCGGCAGCTTGGGAAGTTCCCCTTGTGAGTCCGACTTAGACACTTATCACCATAAACTCTCGTTAACACTCTGCAAAAGTTTCGGAAAACGTTTTACCCAACTTAGAACAAAATTTAATGTTAAACCGTTGTTCTTTTGCTCACACATTTCTCAAAATTGCACCACGCACTTGAAAACACCTGAATCAAACGGCTGTAAAATTCGAACCAGTTAAGATAATTAAAATCCGTAAAAACCAACGTGTTTGCCAGTTTATCAGCAATCAGATAAACCCAAGAAAACGTTGATCCGATCATCCGTTGGCCCACAATGGCCAAAGTTCGGTTTCCAATGGATCATACTTGGTACTGTTTGAAGTTACAGTAGATACCTTGACTTCTTTAAATTTTTGTATATTTTTTTTCACTCTTGAGAATAATATTTTTCACCATTGGGCCCAGTTACATATCAAGAAAACAATCATTTCAAGGATAGAGGAGAAAAGTTTTTTCTATATGATAAAATTGCAGGCTCAACTGCTATCTCAGTGTTGCAGGCTTAGCCTGGGTCACATAAACAAACTAAAACTATCAAACTAGCAGGGTCACTGCACCACAGGTTTTCGCATGCCAATTAGATATCAGTGTGCCATCAAATTCCTGCAGCCTGCAGTAATTTGATGACATAGAGGCCTCTAATTGGTATTTGCAAAACCAATCAGAACTCTGACCTTGTCAGATTGATAGATCAGTTTGATTCTGTGACCTAGGCTTTTGAATTTCGAGGGTTTTTTTTTTTTTTTTTTTTTTTTTTTTTTTTTTTTTTTTTTTGGTCTTACAAGGAATCGTTAAAATTTGTGCTTTTCTTTGACGCAAATCCTAACTCAAATTTTTAGGGAACTGCAAGTTAATTCCTTTCTGCTGAACTTTAGTCCTCTTTGTTGTCTTTATAAATTGTCTAATTTTCATCAGAAAACAATTTTTTGAATGAGGAGAGAATGCGTTATGACAGTAGAAGAAGATGAAATGAAAAAAGGTCAAGGACATTTCTCTCAAAGAGGAATTGATTTTCACTTTTGCCCTAGCCCCTATTTGTAGTCAAAGGAAAATCGGAGACCAAGAGAAAAAGCATAGTGTGTCGCATGACACATCATCAAAATTTTAAAGTTCAATTTTTTCAAGGAAATACTTCAATTGAAACTTTCATGAAACTTTTACTCGCAATTTTTTCCCTATTTCAAACCTACCCATAAAACAGTAATAGCCGATTTACCTCTACAAGGAAACTCATAAGCCTACACAGTTTTTTGCAAAGTGTAATGTGACATATTGAGCCTCTCTTGTAAATTTCCTAATTTTCCTTTCTCCTACTCATAACATGATAGCATTATTCATTGACCTACCTCTCTATTCTGAGATGAAATATGGCGTGAATAATAAATTTGTTCTCCTTCCACAGAGATCCAGAACCCCTGTATCACGGAGTTGTGCCAAGTGTGAGGAATGTTGCACAGAGGATAAAGAACATGAGTTTTATTGTCAAGAACATCAAAGCGCTGTACAAGGTAAATTTTTTTGTTCAACGGGTGTAAACAGTAAATGATGAGTCTGAGATTTCAAAAACATTGAGCCATAGATTTCCTTGAGTCAAGTATTCTTAACTTTCCACAAATTGGAGTCATGAAGATTTTCGGTGCTTGTTAATTTTCCTATGAAAAAATAAAACATAATTGGTGACTTAAAACTTTGCAATCCGAGGTATGCATTTTTTGTCATCGATTTCTGTATCTGAAGTGGATACAAAACTTCTTTTTGATCTTATCCTGTTGCAAAATGGATCCCAGAATTCCACCTTTGAACTCTCATTCACAATTTTGGAGTTCACTACGTTTTACGACTACATTATGCAATTAGAAACTAAAATTTCTGCCTCATCTGTAAAACTCATGAGCATAAGAAAACTAATGGTAGGTATATATGTTGTTTCTAAACTAAACCAGAAATTGTAGTTTCGAATTGCAAAATGTAGTATAATCGATCAAAAGTGAAATTAAACAATGAATGAATCTAAGTTATGTATTGAACATTGCAGGAGGAGTTTGGTCAGATAGTTGTTGCTCTCCCTGATGTGATTCGACTAGGGCGTGAACCAGAGAGTAAAGGGGGGCTGGAGGACATGCAGCTTCTTCTTCTTCTTCTAATTGGTTGTGCTGTCCAGGGTCCAAACAAAGAAAAATTCATTGAAGCAATACAAACAATGCCTCCTGACACTCAGATGGGTCTTGTTGCATGTATTTCTAAAGTAAGTGAATCATTTCTGTGTCTCTTTTCACTGTGAATCCCTATGTGAAAGCCGGGATTAAGGTGATTCGTTCAGCTATTTGACGTCGTCTATCAAGTATGCGATTTATCTCATCGATTAGGTAAAGAATCTCGGAAGGTTTTGAATTTTTAGCCAAAGAAAGGAGGATAGCCCCTGCGCTTGAGCCCTAAAAATCATTTTAAGTAAAATATTGGCAAAATTCAGAGAAATGAAAGCAGAATCCTGTGTAGAAAAAACCTCGCATTCAATACAGTTATCGATATCTGTATCTGTTATCGATATCTGTATTGAATGCAAGGTTTTTTTTTTTCCAAACAGGATTCTGCTTTCATTTCTCTGAATTTTGCCAATGTTTTGGTTTAAAGTGAACCTTCAGAATCATGCTCAGGGGTTTTGTCCTTTACTCCTTTTCTAGGTTAAAATTAAAAATCTGGCGAGATTTTTGACCTAATCGATTGGATATATCACAAGCCAGTTTGACCACGTTTGAGAGCTTGATGAATCACCTTAAGGTGACTCTTTTTTTTCTCACTGATTTCAAAAATACTATATACAACCAGTAGATCAGTTGCACACTTTTTTTAAATCCATTCATTGAAAGTTCGGATTGAACTAAGCATCTAGGTATTTCTTAAGATTTTTTCAATCCATAACGGCAATAAAACACCATTTTGAAAATGCCGATAATGAGACCTGTTTGAAAGGATATTTCTGGCAGGCTCTGATGACATAGCCAGGCAGGGAAGACAGTGTTTGCCGATTGGCTGAATTCAACTTCAGTTATCGCTTTACAGTGTCATCTTGACTGTCGGCTTTCCATGCTTTTTCTCCCCCCAGAAATAATTCTTTGAACTTTTTGATTACAAACTTTTATGTACGGAAAACAATTTTACAACCCTGCAAAAATTCTGTAGCACTGCCCCACTTGTCATTTTATTACACAATGCCCACCATTCATTCCACTGTACCAAATAGAATGGTCAACATGAAGAACCTCAGTGCCCATCAGCTTCACCGTTGTGTAAACAGCGCCTAAAAATCAAGCTTTTGGTTCCCAATAATAAGGGATGCCAGTCTAAAGTGGTGCCCAATAACTCAATTTCTCTGCTTTGTCGAATGTTCAGTCTTATGAAATTGGATTCCCTCTGATCATTAGCAGTAATTTTAGCTGTCTTTTCTCTTTCCATCTTGCCTCTGTAACAGAGCCTGTCCCATCTTTCTTCTTCATTTTTATTCACAGTCCATGGCGAATTCCGTCACATGAATAACATTAGTGAAATCTGATGTTTCAATGACAGCCAATTGACTCAGCGACGTTTTTAACTGCAATACCAAATAGTACGTTTTGTTGTATGTTATTGATGTATTTTTGTCGCTTTCAGTCTCTTATTATGTCGATGTCGTGATTTTGATGTACTTTTGGTAGCTGCAGAGTCAGCAGTCATCTTAGGCAGTCACCTCCAGTTCTGTGTTCATTGCCAAAATATTGACTTACAAATTATAAGTCGAATAATTTACAACATTTCTCCTCAGTTGCAATTTCTGCTATTTCTTTCAAACTTCTTGATTGCCGAGCCAACCACATGTGTAGCCCATTAGGCAACATTGGCTACATATGATTACTACGCATGTTGTGCTTCAGCGATAAAATTATTCTCATATTGTGCTATCAGGTTACATGATTGCAGAACTGCATGTTTTTATACTCTTCTGACTGGCGTATAAAATACAACCATAAGCGTAGAAATGCAGCATTTTTTTCACCTAGAATTCTTATTGTTTTGAGAGTGTTATCGAAAAAAATGTGTTGGCCTTTTGAGATAAATTCGCAAAAATTGAGTGGCAATCACCAAATTAATACTTGAACATACGGGAATCAACCCCAAGTTAATATTAAAGTCTATCAGCACGCATTTTACCATTTTTGTGACATTGTTTTTTCATTTTTTGGTCGCATGTTACTCACTGTATTTCTTGTCGTGTGAACTGTACCAGTACTTTTCATTCATTAAAAAACAAAATAAATAAGTATAACAGGATATGCACTTCTTCTACGTAAACTGCAAAAGTTTCTACCGTATGAACGACCAAACTGAAAAGATAGAAAATCAATAAGAGGCAATTTTGAAAATTTTAAAATCTGATAATGCAGTGGCACAGAGAGTTGAATAGATTAGTTGAATTGAAATAATGATAATCGGGCATATTTATTTATCCGAAATCAGCCTAACTACTTCGGACATTGTCTAATTTTTTCTGATTTTTTATTTTTTGAACAGAAAATAAGCAACATTGACACTTGAAATTTTGGGAGAATATTTCTGTATAATTTAGGATAAATTCACAGAACGTTTAAAGACGTCAAATAATTTAGTTTTCTGTTCATCCAGACATCTGCAACCTCTGCACAAGCTAAAGCGGAATCTTTCCTCCAAGCCAAAGTAAAGGGAGGTTAATACTCTGTAGGTTCTCTCTCAACATTCATTTTCATGCTAGAATTGTAACTCCAGGCTTTAGGACTGGCATCTGTCTTTGCTAGTTCCAAATTGTAATTTTCTTGTTGAGAGGAAATGATGAAAAAGTTTTGCCATCTGCCTCACTCGTTTAGATTGACATATGATATGGTTCTAAGCATCCGTATTTGCTTTATCATCTTTTCAGGTCACTGAAACCCAAGAAATAGTAATATCCGACGAGGAGGTCCTGAAATCTGAAGGTCTTTTAATTTCCCATATTAAGAAGCTTGCCGATGATAGAGACAGGTATCTAACACTCTGGTCGGAGCATGACGAATCAAGGCATTCATCCTCGTTAGCTGCCAACTCATCCATGAGCAACGCTCTTGATTTGGCAGAGTGTAAAGCCCTCATGCGGAAGCAGCGACTAGAGCTTGATGAGAAAACAGAAAAAATGCTTGAACTCAAGGCGGATCTTGAAAAACATACTGCCACTATTGCCAAACTTAAAGCTAGGGTAAGTCACCTTCTTCCACAATATATTCAGGAGTAGACCCTGGGCTCAGAAAAGAAAACACTTACTCGTTGAACAATCCCATTTTTTCTCCTTTTTTTTTCAATACTTCGAAATCCTTTAATTTGTTGCAACTAACAACTAAAAATAGGCTGAAAAAATATCGGACTTTACAAAAATAAGGCTGTGGATTTATCTAAACTGGTTTTTTTCTTTTCTTTTTCTTTTTTTGTTTTGTTCAGAATCAAAATACATAACATTTACTGTTTTTTGTCTTGTTTTTCAGAAGTGTCTAAGTGAGCTTAAATGGTCCAATCTTTAATGAGTAAATCTTTCTAAAGAAATCTACATGTCAGCTCCTCTAGCGAGTTGTAAGATGCATGTTCTCACATTACACTGACCTGGCATACCCCCAACTGGACTCAAAGCAGAATTGATGATTATAGAAATTAGAAGTCTGGAGCATTTTAAGAGTTGATTTTTAAACTTGGTAAATTGTAAAATGAAATATGAATGCTCTAGCTCAAAGTTGCTATCTTGTTTATGATAGTAAGAAGTTAGTTAACTTTTTCTCGCACTCTGAGCACAGTTAATACAAGTAAAGCAAAGCAAGAATTGAAAGGGAATAAGAAAAGTCAATTCAATTTGGTTGCGGAGTTGAAGAAACTAATTGACCACTTGACCCAGGTTGCATGGCAAGTTGCACGAAAAATAGGAAGGTCAGCGCTTTAGAGTTTGAAATTGTGTTTTTCGCCTAGTTACTGTGGAAATTGTGTGTATTAACTAACAAATACACGATGTAAACACAAAACTACCATTTTGAAAATTTTGGGGAAAAGGGGTTTCAAGTTCTAAAGTGGAAGGGCTAGTAACTTTCTGCATTTGTGTTCTGGTATGCTGCTTTGGTTGCATTCTAACTGAATCGCTCGTTATGAATTTGTAATGATTTGAACCTTCTTTGTGTTTCAGGAACGAGAATTGACGCAGCAGGCAAGGGAGCTGAAAGCTTATCGCGATGAAGTGGATGCATTACGAGAAAAAGCAGAAAAATGTAATAGACTAGAAAATGATGTGACCAATTACAGAGACAAACTCATCGATTTACAATACTTGAAAGACAGAGTAGAAGGCACGCTTAAAGAAAATAGAATTTTAGAGGAAAAAATCGAGCTTCTAGAAGATCAATTAGATAAAGCGCGAAAAAAATGTGATAAAACGCTGGAGTTAGAAAGGACAAACATTAAAATGCATCAAAAAATCAATGAACTAGATTTGGTAAGTTAGTTTGTAAAAATTTTGATCAGCTTCCTAAGAAAAAATATTTGTAGGCTTTCCTCCCCTTCTGTGTTGTAGAATACGCAAAAAATTGGAAGGAAGTGGAGTTGAGCGCTGGGGAAAGTAGTCAGAAAACTTGACTTTTTCAAATGTCAGGATTCAGCTCAAATAGTAACAAAACGTATTCATGTCGCTGAAGATAAATTATTTATGCGCCATACGTGCACTTACAAAGAGCCAAGATTAAGTGCAATGCATCTATGATTGCAACAAATGAATTTTTGCATGTAACAACTCAGAATTATCCAGTGTAATTTATAAATGATGTCCTGATGGTCTAACTGCAAAAATGCACTTCTTGTTTTATGGCATCGCAGTCGTCCTGGCCTACTCTATTTTTTACATGGAAAACTACTTTCATTTACGGAACTAAGTCATTTATTGAAAACCTTAGTGATCTCTTCTCGATGTAAAAAAATACCCCTTTCAAGTCATGATATTGGTTCGGTCTCTTTTAAAAAATAAGATAGGAGCTAGCTGAAGTTATGTGAACATAAAATTTTTTAATGTTTCAATGTATGTTGTCTTTTGCAGGAATTAGAAGCGCAGGCGGAAAAGATTCATCAACTCCAAGACGAGAACGTGCAGTTAACTCTTCTCTACAAATCAAACTTAATTAATAGTTCCTCTAGTAATAATATGGACGATAGTGATATTTTTCCAGGTATGTTCTTGGTTTCATTGATCAAAGTTTTCAGCATTGTTTATCAGAAATCAGTTGGGTAAATCAAAAAGTGAGAGAATTAATGGGAAGAATCAGGAAATTTGGCAGGTAGCGCGTTGGCTCAGCAACTTCAGCAAGTGGGTTTGAGAGAGCAAGATCAACTTTAGAGTGCCTTTTTCCTTAATCTGATTCTTTGGAAATGAAAATTTTGTCCATTATCTAGTCAAAGTCAACGCACTTAATCAAAAGAAAAAAAATCTAAGTAGAGATTTGGACTGAAGGTTGGGAAAAGTCGGGATAATTTGGAAACTCGCAAATTTTAGGGTTGGGAGAAAGCAAAAAAAGTAAGGAAACTGGAAAATGAAGAAATAATGGAAATCCTGTGTTTTCAAAAGGGGGGAAAATTTGTAAATATGACCGTTTCTTTATTAATTTTTGCCCTCAGTTCTGTAATGAGTATAGTCATTGTAGTTATCTTTGTTTGAAATGAAAATTTTTAGTGTCCCAGCTTAATTTAAATCTTTTGGTACGAACCTATTTTATCAGTCAGTTTGTAAGCTCTTAAATTATTTCAGCCAATGCTATGTCAGAATATTCATTACTGTTTCTGTGTGCTTTATGTTTAGGTACTTTAGACAACAGCTTATCAGAGCAGTTGACAAACACCGCTCAGACAAGAGCACTTGAGCTAGATCTGGAAAATAGGAGACTTCTCACTGAGATCGAATCCCTGCAAGAATCTTTGAGAGGTCAAACCAATGAAAAAATCCTAGAATTAGAGAAAGAGAAGAAAAGATTATCTCTTCAGGTACTCTATTTTTTATGTATTTATAAACTCTCATCATCAAGTGATAAATTTTGGAGGAATGTTGAAGTAAATGATCCTCACTTGCATGAAAGAAAGTTCACTTTTAGAATATCTGGGCAAACTCGGTAGTTTCCCGTTAAGCTAACAACTGTAGCAGATGCTATCGATGCAAGATTAGACCCATTTGTATTTAACCCAAGATAGTGGAGGCATTTTGGCTGCACCCTCACTACTGCGGGCAGTATTTTTTCAATTGCCCACCAATAGGTAACGCTGGTTAAAATGCGCACGACAAGTGATCTATGATTTTATCCCAGCACAATCATACTATGGGATGGACAACTACCAGATAGCCACACTCTCCCTCAGAGCACTGCCTTGCAGATACAGCAAAGTAATTGGAGAAGCATGGCCGTTGATAGCCATGATAAATTGATCTTTAAGTGTCTTTAAAAACGCATCATCACTGGAGATTGAACTCAGGACTTCAGTGCTTGCAGTGTGTTATTTTAATCATTAAACTTCCAAAGCTGGCCAGAATTGATAGATTTATCTCTTTAGGGTCATATTTCAGCACTAGCGCAGACAGTTTAACAGTCATTCCTTAAACAGCTCCTTTCCTGAGGAGACCCCATATGCTTTACATTTTGATAAAGGAAGGTTCAAGGAGATCCTAAACGTAGTGTCATTAAAAGGTCAAGTTTTCCAAACCTTTGTTAAATTCAGCTGTATAACTTTGGAAATGGGTCTTTGCAAGGGATTACAATTATTATAAAATTATACTGCTACAAAAAATATAAAACTTGGAAGAAAATACACTGCAAGTTTCAATTTTATTTCGATCTCTGATAAACTATGAAGAATGTACTCTTAAAATTTCAAGTTTTAGCGTTGAATCCATTTTAAAATTAAAAAAAAATCAGAGAAAATCAGGCAGCGTCTGATACTGTTAACCTGATTCTGGCTAATCCAACCAACTTGTCTAAAGAACTGGTGAAGGGTGAACTCATAGTTAACATTAAAAATATATGTCCTGAAACATCCTGAGATGTTTGTGTAATTTTAGCCTTGTTTTCTACCAATTTTTTTCAGTTTTTTGTGTCCTATATGTCGGGCTACCATAGTCTCAAAGTTTGATTTATTACAAATATAATACATAAAATTAAACAAATATATTAAAAATATATATAAAGTATGGAATATATATATTAAAAAAACCTCTTTATTCAATGATGAACATTTTTTTCCCCTCAGGTTGACAGTTTGGAATCATCAAAGAAAAAACTAGCGCAGACCAATTCTGAGTACGAAAAAAGTTTAAACGAATACAAACTTGAAATTAAAAAAACACACGAATCAAAAGAATTACTTCGAAACCAACTGCTTGTAAGTAATGAGTCCTCAATGTACTTTTCAAATTTTATAATGTTTCAATTTTTTCCTGACATTTCCCCATTGAAGGGATGCTATAAAATAATCTTATTGGTATCCTGTAAAAATGGTCAAATGTAACTGGCAGTAGTGGAGTCCCTCTCTTCTTTCAACCCTGTCATACGGTCTACATAAAAGAAATAGACAATAAGCTCTAGGAAATGTAGGGTCTTGGATGGTATGAAAAGCATTGATAAAAATCCTTCTGTGATTTTCTCCCTTCTAAATAGAATTTGACTGCTCACAGAAAAAAGACATAAGCCAAATCGTCAGTTGAGAGATTTTTATTCAGTCAGATAGAAAGATAGGAATAGAAAGCTTGGTAAATCAAATAAATTTAATTTGTTTAATCATAACATTTTTTATAATCTCAGGAAAGATACATTTTCTACAGATAAATAAAGTTAAAAAATTTACACTTATTAAAATTATTTTTTCCCCAATAAATATTGAGTGAATAATTAAAGTTCTGGCAAAGACAAATTGGACACCTTTTGATTCTCATGAGGAAAATTAAAGCTAACTTTAAGGTTGAATATTGAATACAGGAGAGAAACTTTTATAATACTATTGTTATCGTAATACTTTAGAATCTTATCGATAAGTTTCTTAACAGGTTTTTTTTTTATACATTCCAAAAAATTAGCTGCAAGCAGTTTACTTCATATTTAAACCGCATTTTTGTCATACTATTTTGGGCTTTGTTCCAAAGTTTGTCTGCTCTTTCAAATGAACTTGAACGACAAGATTCGGATCCTCATGATTGCTGCAATCAGTTGTCAAAGATTCGTTTCAAATGAGCTCATTTGTTTGAAAAATGTTTATTTTTTGTTAAATCTGTACTCATTATGTGAAATATTTCCCTGTAATTGTAGGCTCGCAGCAAGGAAATAGATGACCTGAACAATGAGAGGCAAAAATTAGAACGAAAAATTGAAGAGCTGGAACAGAGCTTAGAGTTGGTACGACAACAAGCTGACAGTATTACTGAGGTGCAAGAATTGAAACACAAGATCTCATCCTTGGAAAAGAACGTTCTCAAGCTGCGAGAAACGAATGAGGTATGCATGGGAGTCCTCCCTTCCTCCAGTCGGTTCTTTCTTACTTTGATTTAAGTGCGATCGAGTCCTTATCAAGGAAACTGATCACTGGTTTAACAGGAACAATAGCAGTTTTTGCAAAAGCAATTTTTGGTCAATGAGCAGAGCATGTCAAGAGATACTGAGTTTCAAGAAGAACAGACGCGTTAATTTAAATTCTCCTTGCCTGAAAGTTATAGATCCTTCAAAAGTAAAGTTTCAAGTATTCTAGACCAACATTTAGTGATTTCTGTACAAAATCGCAAAACTCCAGTACAAATAGCTGTAAATGAACTTTGAAAATGCAGAGTTATGCACCTCTCTGTCTGTTTTTATTATGAAGGTGATCATTTAGGTTTGCGCTAAAGTAAGCACTCCTGAAAACTTACTCTCGTGTTCCCTCTCTTTAGTTCCATATTTGGAATTGACGATGTAGCTGTGGTGTCACGCTCATATTTGTTCATTTATGCATTCAATATATTTCACTATATTTTCACATTCGTCTTTTTGTTGTAGTATTTTAACTATGACGAAGATATATACATACACAAAGATACTTCCAATAATATGTTTGAAATCCTGGTCTCAAACACCCAGAAACAATCTATGATAAAAAAAGATTCGTAAAAAATCATCATTATGACACATCTAGGAAAAAGACATGTCTATTAAAAAATTCCATTGATTTACTTTTTTCCCCCTCAGCTAGTCTTTCTTTTTTCTTTCTTTTTTTTTCATTAATGCTCATTATTTACCGTTGAAACGAACCTTTAAAATTTTTTTTGAAAAACTCACGCTTTCCCTAATTGGAAATCTCGGTTATTTCATTCAAATTTGAAACGAACTTTTTGTCCATGTAAGTAAAATTTTTTTCAAAAATCAATACAGCTTTTTCAATAGTACTTCCAATTAAAAAGGTTTCATGAAGAATGGAAAGTAATTTTTTCCCTCGTTTTAATCATAATTATTCTACAAATGATAATACATCTTTTCGTAAAATTAACTCTTTTCTAGTTCAGAAACCTATCAAATAGTGATTTTAATGCATTAGTTTAATTCCCTCCCTTATTTCGTAATCAGGAACAGGCTGTGGAAATGGACAAACTAATTTCAGAAGCAGAAGTGAATTTACGGGAGAAAACCCAATTTAAGAAACAAGTAGAGGAACTTCAACAACAGCTTACAAGGTTTGTCTTTTTTTTCCTCCTATTTTTTTCTTCTCCATTTTTCTCTACCTATCATCGACAGGACCTCAGTAGTCGCTCAAGCTGTCTGTGAAACCTATATTTTTGGTACAATGTTTCTTTGCCCCTTTATTTTGAAAATCATCAAAGTTTATCAAAGGCTATCTCAATACACTGAGCCTAGTTTTTATGGTCTTCCAAAATTTATATGTTAAATAGGTTTCGTATTAATTTTTAGTTGAAGAATGCCTCAACATAATTAGATGTACAAATGAAAGTCAAGTAAATTTTTCCTGCAATTATGACCTATGGTTTTTTTTTATATAGGTTACATGAAGTAGAGCAAGAGTACAGAGAACTGAAAAGCAAGTACAACATTGATAAGCAAACTCTAGCAACCCTACAACAAGACCTTGTGAATGAGAAGATGGATCGGCAGCGAATGGCTGAGAACACCGTAGATTCAAACGTAACAAATTTGAGCAACGCAAAATTAGAAGTCAGTATCAAGACATTACAAACGCAGATTACATCTTTGAAGGCAGAACATCTTGCTTTGCAGTTAGCCAATTCACAGCTTGCAGCAGAAAAGGAAGAGGTAGTGTTTTTCATTTATTTAATTTTTTTTAATTCTGTTTACATAAGTGGGTAAGATGTTTGTTATGAGTTCAAAAAAGACAGCAGATTTAAGGATTTCATGTTGTTTTCTCCCTTTATTCTATGATCAACAAGTTGCAAAGTACATATTTGGAGATTCTGTGTGCGGAAATTTCACTGTTTTTTTAGCAACTGTAGTCTAATTTAAAAAAATGCAGCTTAACATAGTGCTTATACTAGTGTCAGTTTAATTACCTCAAGAATTCACACTTTTTAATGTTATAAATAGATAAATCCTAGTAAAACTTGAATCTCCCTTTTTATCCACCCAGACAATAGGATGGCTTCCCGTAGAACCTCAGAGTACTTTTAAATAGCGCGGAAATCCCTTTCTAACAAGCCACTAAGCAATTTATATGTACTTTTCTTTGCAGATAAGTAAGGAATGCGAAAGATTGAAGGAAAACCATGAAAGGCTGTCGAAAGATCAGCTTAGTTTGCAAAAGCTTCACGAACAGTTAACAGCAGACAATGACGAGCTTTTAGAAGCACTCCAAACTGCGAAGAATTCTATCAACGATTATAGAACAGATAACAGGAATCTCGAAGATGAAGTCGCAGCACTTAAGTGTACGCAGCAAATACTCCAAGCAGAAAAGGAAACACTGGGCCTAGAATCAAAATCACTCACTAATTTAAGACACGAGCACTCGAATTTGAAAGAAGACTTCAGACATCTGTATGCAATCAACGAAAAGACGAAGGCAGACTATCAAAGGCTACAGGATAAGTTAACGCTTTATACAGCAGATAATGGAAAATTAAGATTGTCCTTGACTGAGTTGGAGGGGCAGGTAGCAAGTTTCAAAGACATAATAACATCTTTGGAGGTGGAGAAAACCAAGCTGAAAAACAAATGTGAAGTGCTGATACAAAGTAACGAGGGTCTCGAGGTAGACAAGAGGACTCTGATGGAGCACGTTTCTCTGATTCTAGGCCAGTATAATGACTTGTTGAACCATTCGTTAGAGGACAAGGAACATCATCATTCAGAGGAGAAGCAGTACGCAGACAAAGTCAATAACCTGCGGAGGCAAAAGGAGAAATTAGAAGAAAAGATTATGGAAAATTATAGGCAGATGAATAGTGTCTCTAGTAACAAAAATAGGTGAGTGTTTCTAATGAACCACTAGATCTAAAACATCTCATTGTATCTCAGGGTTGCCATGGTCAGGGAATATTGGGAACCCCGGAAATGTCAGGGAAAATGACGAAAGTGCCGGAGAAAAATTGTTAAGTCACCTCAATTTGCTTTCCAGAAAGGGTTTGACAATTCAAACAATAGATTTTGCGTGGAAAATTTCAAACTACATCTTTTAAATCATTTGGCATATCAATAATTGTCGGAGAATTTTACCAAAATGTGTTAGAGGAATCAGGGAAAGTCAGGGCATTTAATTTTCTAAATTCTGTGGCAGCTCTGATCTACAAAATTCCATACCGAACCTATTTAAGTGATGGAAAAACCCAAAATCAAATGAAACATGAGAAATGGACTCCAGACAGGGTGCAATATGGAATCAGCCATTCTCAAAAAACTTAAGCGCAACCTGTGAAAATCGCTTTAATTGGCCTGTTCTAAACATCAAAGCTCTATAATATTAAGATTATTAATCAATCAATAAATCACATTATCAATTAATTGAAGTCTTAAAATGGGTTAATTAAGCAGTTTCTACCGTTTTTCTTGTATTCTCATTTCTGGTGCTTGAGTCTTTTGGAGAATGACAAATTCAATTACAACCATAGTATATGTTACCTAAATGACATTTTGCATAGAACTCGATGGACACATTAAAACTTTTGAAATTCAGCTCATAAGTTAAAAAATAATACAATTAGACCTTGATTTATCGGATTTCTCTGGGTTGACAAATTGATCTGGTAAATCGCAGAATTCATTAAATCTTGATCCAAAAAATTGAGGTCTTACTGCACCTTGTATCAGAAGAGGAAGAACATTTGGTTGATTTGAACTCTAGTTATTTGCATAATGTGCCTACTTTGCAAACTGCATTTTGTCTGGAAAAGGCACATGTGTAAGGCATTTAGGTAGATTTTATACACTAGAAACCAAAAAGAAAAAGGATGTAAGCATTCTTGAATTATTCAGATAGGTAAAAATATCTTATGAAAGTAAGTTCGAAGTCCATTTTGATGATGTGCTTCTTCCTTTTTTTGTACCTTCATCAGAATTCTTCGGTATTTTTTGTCAGATACCTGATCAAATCATAACCAAAAACCTTTAATTTGTGCTCTATTCATTTATTTTTCTTTTTACCAGGAAAAGTTTTACCGGCTTAGTTCGAAGCATTAGAAAAGTTGGCTCCGACTTAATTAACAAGGTAATACAATTTTCATTCTGCTTAACAAATTATAGTAAGTAGTATTATTAGGTGATTCAAAAAAATATACTGAATAAAATAAATATATAAAGAAAAATCGAAATTTCGCTGGCGAAAATCAAAATTTTTTTACTGAATCTTGCTAAAGATATTGACCACTCTGAAAGTTATAAAAACTAAGGTGAAATTAACAGATAGAAAATGCAGTCTCAAGGGGTTTCAGCCCTTGTGACAAAATTCATCAAATTGTAGACAAATTTTGTAATGCAAAGTAATTTTAAAGTAGTAAGGAAGAATCTTGGATAATTATTCTCAAAAATTCATACTCAGGATAGGGTGAATACATAAATATTGTTTCAATTTTGTATGAACTATTTCATCGCAAGAAACTGATATGCTGTTGAATTTACTCATTTTTGCTGAAAATTATCAGCTTGTGATAGAACAAGTAATTAAAATTTTTTTATTTCGTTGCTTAGAGTCGGAAGTCTGCACATGATGATGGTGCTAAGCGAGGGACAGACTCAGATACAAGCCTGGAAGATGTCCGTTCACGGCAAGGTATGCAATATCTTCTCTTTAATTGTACGAATACTGAGTGACCAAAAACCAGAGACAAATCTATATTATCTAGAGAGAGGTAGATATCTATATTATCTATATACCTAGAGAGAGAGAGTCTTGGTATTTTAGCAAAGGTGGAAGCTTTTACTTCCTGGACTGCATCATTTAAATGTCGACCTACTGTCTTCTATACTATAAGCTCCAAGACCTCCTAATTTTGCGAAACTGGTAACGCTTAGTTCCAGCGTTCTACCGGGCCGATTTTCATGTTTTTTGCGGCTATCGACGGGCAATTGCCTCTAGATAAGCCAACTCTTTTCAGATTTTCAAAATATGGCCCAGGTTTTTTTATATTACGTGGTAAAGTTGCGAATTCTCCCATTTAAACAATGTAAATTTATACTTTTTGTCATAGTTTGTTTGAGCGTTCTACCGGGACGATTTCCATGATTTTTGCGTAAATCGACAGGTAATAGGCCCTAGATGAGCCCGCTGCAATCAGATTTTGGAAAAAGGACCCAGGTTTTTTTAAAATCACGTTATTAAAGTGAGTGAGTTTACAGAATGCTCCGGTACTGCTACCGCTATGCGCGGGAGGATGCGCAGTGGTCGAGGAGGTTGCGCAGAAGCTGTGTAGCCTGCGCATCAGCTCTACACTTATCTACACAAGATTCGCACTTGCTTCCCCACGTCGAGCGGTGGCCGAGTCGTCTGAGACGTCGAATGCGACCACTTGGAAGTAGATGTGGGTTCGATCCCCGATTTATAAATTCTTAAATTTTACCTGACTATCATTGTTCAATGTTTTACTGCAATATTTCATCAGGCAGTCATTCCAAAACGCGTCCTTTTAATTTTAAAGTAATTTTAAGTAAAGTTTAAAATTAAAGTATACCTCATATCGTAATTTTTTAGGGGAAAAATAAAACTATCACTGATAGGAGGGTAAAAGTAGGGCCGCGAAGCGGCCCATTGATGGCGCGGAGCGCCTTCAGGGGGTTGGGCCGCGTAGCGGCCAGGGGGCGTAGCCCCCTAGTTTTGTCTGTCGAGCAATTTGTTCTGCAAACAAGTCAATGTTTACTTATTAATGTTAGTCAAGTAAACTTGTTGGCTACACTGCAGTACCCAAAGAATTCGCCAGCTAAGGATGTAGTAGTATAGTTGGCAGACTAGTTAAACATAGCGGTAATTCAAAATGCTATGTATTCTTATGGCGAAATCCCGTTTTTCTTTGTATAAGATCTCTTTGTGAGAGTGAAATTTAAAAATACTCATGGATGAAATAAATTGAAAGCGTTTTGAAAAATGTGCTCTGAGATTTGCATCCGAAATTGTTTCTTTTTGATGGAATAATTAAGCTTAAAGTGAATCTCAAATGGTGGGAAAACCTACCGTCGTTACGACTGTACCATATTTATATTCTACCATCGATGATAGTAGTGCTATTTGTGGATGGACCACTGAACTAAAGAACTCTTCCAAGAGGTGGTATAAGACGATACCAAATGTGGCAATTTTTTAAAATGACAATTATTTCAGTGATTTTTGAAAATGTGGAGGATACTGTGTCTTGTTTTTTTTTAGTACCGAAAATTATTTTTTTCTTTCCCAGGAGATACCCTTAGTTGCCTCGGCACGCCCGGTACGCGGCGAGCTGTTTATTACTCAGCTGATGAGAACAACTCAGGCTCAAATGTAAGTAATCAGAGTAAATTCGAGACGTTAAATAGGACTGTTGCATGACCTTGAAATTTTTGTACGAATGTCCGAATTATCCCGTACCAAACTTGGCAAAAAATGAATCTACCTACTGTCACAGTTTACGGGACGGGATGTACTGCCAAGTTTAAGAAAGATATGCGAAGTCTGCTTTTTTTTCTTTAAAAAAAAACAAAGGAATTCAAATCTGTTGTACAAGACAAAACTTTTTTTATTGCTTGCATATTTCAAACATCATTAGTAACTTTAATCTACAACTTTAATCTCATGGATTGTAACAAAGAAACCAGTTACTAATTTGGCTGTCATCCTAAAGTATAGAATCTCTTCGTCCAGATATGGTTGTACCTTCCAGAGGATTTCTAATGTGTCTTAAGATTGTATTCTTCAATGAGCATGTTCAGTAATTCGTAATTCTTGCATTTTTGAAAAATAGAGAGTGCACATAGTTCACAGGAATTTTCCCTGATTTTTTTGAACAATATGAACCCACTAAATATGAGTTCAAAGTTCCGTATTTTAAGCTCCCATTTAAATGCGCGTTGCTCGGGTTATCCAACATGGCGTCCACTCTATCCGTCCGACGATGCCCACACCTTTGACTTCGCGAGCCGGTGAGGTACCTTAGCTGCGTGTGGTAGTCCAAGAAGTAAACAAACAAACAACAGGCTGAATCTATCCGACTCAAAGAGGAAATAAGAGCCTGCATTGAATAGGAAGAAAGCATGGTTGCCTGCTGCTGCCCTGAGCTTTCCACGCTTGCTTTTCGAAAGTAGTCGTCGGGTGTCTGATTGGCTGAAAAGCAAGCGCAGGAAGCTTACTAAAGCAAATTATAAAGGAGCAACCTTTTTCCAAATTTTATATTTTTCCAAAAATGGAGTCAGTTGCCTATTTTTCTTTAATATTTTGTTTTTCTATGCATATTTTAGGAGCCAGATGATAGCACAAAACCTAGTAAAAATGAGAATGATAATCAAAGAACAGATACACCTCAACAAGATCAAGGGTGAGTTCATTCAACTCTCTTATCCTTTTAGTCCTTCCCAGTTCGCTATTCAGAAGTTATTTTGATGTTAAAAATACCTTATTCAGGGTCATGAAACTTATCAAGTTTCGTTACATTTTTGCTTTAACTATATCAGCTGCCTCTCAGGTTTTACTGGGGTATCAATATCTAAATGTGAAAAAGTGTATTTCAAGTGCAATGCTTAAAATTCTTTGAATATGTTTCATTTCCTTCAAGGAAATCAAACCAAAATGCTTCCTTGCGATATTGTATGGTGTCTTTAGAATGAGTGACGAAAATTAACAGAGTTCAATCAAAACTTTTATCTATTTTTCTTTTAAAAAACAAAAAGTAACCAGAGACGTATAACGTTGCAACCTGAGGTGTGCGTTTTCCAACATTAGCATCTATATAATCCTAATGCGCCTTACTTACGAAAGGGGGTGTGAACAAATGTTGATAGATGTCTTTAAGGGTATATGACAAGAGGAGGTAGAAAATGTGACTCGAATTGTTAGTAACAGGATGGCAGAATAGTGCTGATAACTTTTCTGTGGAGAAGTCAAGGCAAAATAATTCCAAAAATGTTCATTAGTTTAAACATTTTGAATTCTATTGAGTATCAGTGCAAGATCAGAGGGGAAGAGTGTTCAGCTCAGGCAGTTGCATTTGAACACCTAAACTTGTCAGGAAAATAACAGTTGTAAGATTCAAATCTTATATGCTGTAGAAATAATCAGTCCTGCTCACTATATTTACAGCAAGACACAAATCAAAAGTATGAAACTCCTGCGTCAGCTCCCATTTGGTGGGGTTTTTTCTTTCTTTTTTAAATACAAACCAGGTAATGATTTCATTTAACCATGATGATGAGAGTGCCTGTATGAGCAAGTTGTGCATCATACTGAATCGTGAACACTTGTCCTGTCCTTAAAATTATAGCATCTTTGCAAGTTTTGTTGAACGTTGTTTCATTTTTTTTTTTTTTATTAAGGATTGCTAAAATTGTTTGAGAATGAATTTTGCTACTTTTATACAAAGATTGTCAATGTCAAATAACAGGTCCATTTATATAACATTGATAACTGGAGGTTAATATTTCCGGGGGGTGTTCAGGTGTTAGCATTGAGGTACCTGATTCCTCCCAATAGGGCTGTTGCAAGGTCCTGGAATTGCTTCATAGAAAGGTGTAATGTATGTAAATTTTAGCAAGGAACATGTCTCTGAGCTTATTAAAGCTCGAAACAGTTTCTTTGACAGACAAGAAGGAGCTTAAAGTTATGGTAATGAGAAGAACGTTTCTCGTTGGCTTTCTTTTCATGATGTCATAAAAGGTGACCCATGGCTTCAACCTTGTTGAAGTGAGTTGAATTTTCGAAAACTTTGGAAGTCGTTTTCCCACCTAAAATTAGATTAAATGAAAAAAGGTACGGTACGGGCCTCCTAATTTTTTATATACCTTACGAAAATGAATATTAAAAAAATGTGCAACAGCCCCAATTGAGGAGGAGGAGGGGTTAGAAGCTATGACACTGTGCTTCACAAGGGAAAATGAGCGTTGAGTGTAGCTCAGTAGTACGTTAAGGTCCAAAATAACAAAGAATCTTGGTCTTCATTGTGCTGAAAAATTATGAAGACAGGTTAATACTACCCTGCACTGTCAATTGCTCAGGTTTACATTTTAGGAAGGTAAGAAGGGCAAGGGGACAGAAAAAGCGTGTTTTATAATTCCGGAATGTTATTTTGATTAAATCGCAGATCAGCTTTTGCTCTCATCTCTCTGTACTCTGATAAATGACTAATTTATGTTCTGTTTGACAGTTTGTTTGTGTACAATCACGTCTCTGTAATTAACCAGTCTCCATCGCACAGTCCGAATTTATCGCAGCAGAATTCGAAAAAGTCATCTCCGGCGGAAGATAAAAACTCGCCCCTGTGGTATGAATACGGATGCGTGTAAACCCCTCTTAATCAAAGTTAACAGCCAAAAATTTTGTATCATTTAATTTGCCTTGTTCTTTACTTTAAGATGATAAATGAGGCACTTTGAAGCAAATGGTCACTTGCAGAAGCATTTATCATTCCTCGTGATCAATTGAAAATTAAGTATCTCTGATTCCAGCGTTGTTTGTGAATTTGGTGCTGTTTCAAATACGTTTGAACTGACAGTTTTAATTTTTTCCTCCCTGAAGTTTTCGTCTCCCCACTGTTAGCTTTTTAAGATTTTTCCCTGTCGATCTCTTGTCCTGTTAAGTAAGTAAATAGCACATTTGTTTCCGTCTGTTTTTCAGTGCCTCATTTATCATCGATTTCCTGATCCAGCGGAATACCTGATATTTGAAGCACCTGAAACTTAATTAGTTTTCTAATCGTGGGACAAAAGTTAGTGACAGCAACTAGGTAAAATAATCTGGAATAGATGTTGATACTTCATTTCAACTTACCAGTGAAGGAAGGTCATTCTCCCTGTATCTTTTCCTTATGAAACTGCAAGAATGAATTGCTTGAACACAAAAAAAAAAACTGTTGTTCCTGTTTTGATACTGCATGCCAATACCGTTCTACTTACCTTATTTATTACTTCGGAAGGTTGCAAAATTGTTATGCAAATCGTCGAAATTTGACATCGAAAAATTGGTAGTTCCAGTATTAGGTATTCTGCTGTGATCTCTCTTGTTTGGTTGACGAAAATTCCTTCCTGCATTTTCTCTTTGTATGCCTTTTTTTACCATGTTTATTTATCCCTGTGAAGTTCATTGACTTTTTACCCTTTTTTACATGTGCACTTATGTATATACGAGCATTTACCTCACGTTGTTTCAATCAATGCCTGAATTCACTCCCTTATTTTAGTGTTTTTATACTTGTCCCATACCTAATAAATGCTCCCCAATACCGCAACAGTACTTTTTCAAAATAACTTGTTTAAAATTAGATGCCTTTTTTTTCGAAGTATCATTTTTTCTATTTTAATATTTATTTACCTAGGCGTGTTGCGTTGTTATCGTCAAAAGTTTAGAGCTTAGTTTCGATTAGTCTTTAGTGATTGCCTATTGATGAGCTTCTGTCTTTTTGATTCCTACTGTGACTTTTTTATTTTTAAAAAGTGCAGGTTTCTCCTAGATATTTTTAATTATACTTAATCTTCAGTGTTACTTCACTGAAACTAGACTTTATTTAAGTCCTAACAAAGACTTGGAAGACAAACGCTTGGTCTCTATCTCCCGGTGTTCGGTTAGTGCAGTTAAGGTTTTACATAATGAGCACTGCTCACTTCCCCTTTTCGTGTTTCTTAGCTTCCTTCACTTTTCCTTCATTAACTTTATCGTTAACTAATTTTTTCTCTGAGAATCCTCAAGTATTGAATCAACGAATTTATGTATTCCTTTTTAAATTGGTACTTAACGCACAACTCACTCTTTCATTGTTTATTTTTTCAAGAATCATGTTATGAACTTTTTACTCTAAGTTTTTTTGTCGTATGCTTCTCCAAGATTTGAGGTTTTAAAATTAGATTTTAAGGTCAGGGGTTTCCTCATGTCTTACCACTTTTGGTTTGACTTCCGTTACAAGATGAATAACTGATTGAAATTTTTTATACTTTGCTGTATTGTGCCTGTAAATTATTTTTTAAGATCTGCTTTAAATTTGCTTTAAGAACGTTTAGTACCATTTAGCCCTCTCAATAGGGCAATACCCCGGTAATTTACAATAACTGGCTACAACTGCTGCTGCGTTATTCTGCTCTATAGTCTTGTCATCATCAGAGGGAGCTGATATTGGACCGGTAGGGAGTAATTAATGGTGCTCTGAATATTTTGCTAAACTACCGCTCTAATTGTTGAGGTTTTAAACCAGAGATTAGTAACTGCACCGTCATTGTGTGAATGGTTTAAGTAAACCAGGTTAAACAAGCATTCCCTCTCATACAAAAAAATAACTGGAAACGTGGCCCACAAATTTTAGTTAAAATTAAAATGCTGAAAACTTCACTCATGTATACGTCAAATTTTAAAAGCGGATGTGTTTCATCTATACAGGAAGAACATCATTAGGTAATGATCATGCCACGGCTGATGATTTCCGTTCTGCGTTGGAAGAAATGCGTTTGATTGTATTTGACGAAGATGTGAATGAAATAATTAGCATCTTAATTTTATAGTCCTTCTATGTTTTTAAACCTCCAAAAGTAAACGTTTCATTCAACACAAAGCTTAGAAATTCACATCTGAGCCAAGAGCTAATGTTTACAACCAACACTAAGAAAACGCAGAATGTGAGGAACTGATTGAATTTGTCTGTCTCAATGGGTACAACTCGTAAGCCCCTGTATTTAAATTTCTTTTCCTCTTAAATTTTTGGTCTAAAAACTAAACTCTGAAGATGCTAAAACTGTTCGGTGCTTAATGCTAAAAATACTCTTGTTAATAAATCACAGATTATTGAATCCAGACCGTAAATACAGTCTATGTTATTACTTTTTTTGGATGTTATGTGGTACCCTTTCTTGAGTGGAACGTATTCATAGTCTCGTAGATTCTGAAATTTTTATGTTATCTTTTGAATATTAATGAAGATGCATCTAATGTAAAAAGGTCAAAACATTGTCGATTTCTTTTGACTGTGTTAAAAAACACGAATGGCTTTCATAATATCATTTCTTTCAGACTGGCACGATTGATAGGTGCATTTGGTGTGTTTTTTTCGGAAAAGAAAGTATTTTAAGAACCTTTTTAAAATTGGATTTCAAAATCATTTAGAAATAACATATTTCTTGTTCCTAAATTTTCTGTTTCTCTTTAAGAATGTTTTGAAATGACTGTAATACTAAATATGCCAAATGTAAGTGTTTTTTGCAGTTTTTCATTTTCTTTTCAGTATCAATGACCATTCTTTATAGTATTCCAAAAATTGTTTCCTGGTCTCCAAAGCAACTGCGATTTTGTAAGTTTTACGTTTTTTATTAGTTTCAATAGTCAAATCTTTCTTTTTTGTGTACTTCCAGTGAAGAAATCTCTTGTCAATAACAATCAATAGGTATTGCTCACATTGAAGTATCATTCATCAGCTTTTTTTAAAGATAATTAAGAAGATAACATGTTATCGCAAATGTTGTTTCCGTCAACTTGTGAACTCTCTTCTTAGTTTTTCCAAGAAAATTCAACCATTATATAGAATTCTTTCTTAGTTAACAACTGGATTTTTCATTCCTTACGCTTTTTTTTCTTGCATAATGTCACAAAACAGATGTACAAATAATAACTTTGGTGACATGAGAAATGTTACTTGTAATTTTTACAAATAAACTCTTTCAAAAATAATAAAACAAATTCAAAACATACCCAATTTATTCAATACTTCCTAAAAATATTTTAAGTAAGTGAATACCTGAAAAATCGTGGCGTAGCAGGACGAGGAATTGACACAACTGCTATTTCACACCAGTTCTTGAACATTACAGCAGCAAATTACATAAATAATAGGTGCCTGGATGTTGAAAGTGATGACTCTTTTTTTTCTTTTAATTTTGAAGAAAGAGAGGTAATCTTTTTCGAAATCTAGGGGTGGCAAAAAAAAAAGATGTCTTCCAAGCATAACAGTTTCATGACCATCGTCACAAGTTTTGGGACTTAAAAGTTTTCATACCCGAGAAAATACCTTTGAATTCTTTATTCATATTTGTTGTCGTGAAACAAGTTTCACTCTGGCACCATTTAAGCAGCAGTCTTATGAGAGTTAACTCTCATACAACCATCAAGCACTTAATTGGTCTTGCCGTCACGAATTCGCACTACCAGCGCGGCTAAAATGCGAGACAGAGCCTGTATTTTTCCGAACGTGTATGTGCGCTAGGCGTCACTTTTACAAGCTGAAGAACACTCCCCTTCTGATTAATAAGTGCGAGACAGAGAGAAACGAAAAACAAGCGTAAAGACTAATCTAAGTTGAGCCTTATAATTATTATCATTCACGGCTGTGCTTTCGAGGGCTAATGGTCAAAAGAAAATCAAATGGTTTTGCCGCGAGGGAATTTGCACTACATCCGCAGCCTAAATACAAGGAAGAGCCTTAATTTTTCGAGTGTGTGTGCACCCCATTCGTCCTTAGACAAGCCGCAACTGATAAATGAGTGCGAGCGATATAGACGTGAAAACACAATATGGACCAATCCTCGCTAGGTCTTACTCTCCGTGCTTTCGGGGGCTTATGGTTGAAAAGCAATCAAGTAGTTAGGCCGCGAAGGAATTCGCGAATCACCGAGACTGAAATATAAGAAGAGATTGGCTGTATTTTTGCGAGTGTGTGTGTTTGCCAGGTAGCCCTTTAACGAACCGAAGAATGCTGCATGTGATCAATGAGTGCAAGAGAGATAGACGACAAAAGAGCGTATGGACCAAGGTAAGTTTGGGAGCCTTGCTCAACATCTTGGCCTCGCTCCTCTGCAGCGTTAGCGGCGCCGTGAGGGGGCTCTCCCCCCCCCCCCCCCCCGTTTGAGTTACCTGGAAGCTTGAATCCAGTCTAAATTATAAAGAGGTCTGAACCTCCCTGTAAATGGAAGACTACAATGATATAGGATGCGTGGGTCCGCTAAAATATTTTCAGCCAAAGAAGTAGTAATTTTAAATTATGGGCTTCTCTAAAATAACCACCCGTTAGCTGAATTAGCAAAAAAGTTACAGAGGTGGTAGTCTGCTCACATGCGCACAGGAATAACGTTGCCGGAAATTTGAATTGCGCGCTTTTAAATTTGAATAGCCCGCTTTCCTTTTGTAGATTTTTCCCGCCGAAGTCATCCAAGGTTGCCGGTTTTCAATCTATTGACTTTCACAATCACAACGAAAACTTTGTTGCGGCACGTGCTGTTATCGTAATTTTCAGTCAATTTCAGCGAATTTTCCGTTCTTAATCATTAACGATAATACCCTCCAAATGATTGCTCTGAACGATTCTTAGAATTAAATATCAAGTCGTCAAGTGTCATTCTTTCCTATTTAGGTATGTATTTTTCTCCTAACATTGAGCACCATGCCTTCGACTCCCTCTCGCTGCCTCTTGTGTTCACTTTTGCTCTTATACCTAACTCCAGTTTAATCTGGACCATTCTACATTTCTGTATATTTTCTGTTCGAAGTTAAGTAAAGTGTCCACTCATTGTTTCAGCTGCTTTGTAATCACCACTCAATTCTCGGACATCCTTCTCAAGGACATCATGAATGCGCTCTTCAGTCGCTGATCAGGTACCTATCCCATGCCCATCATTCATCAGATATGTGAACTTGTTTGTCCTGAACGTAAATTTGACAGGTGCACCCGATTTTTGCACGAAATTTTTAGAGAACGTTCATGACAAAACAGGAATTGTCACAGGTCGCAACATTTTTCGTCATTGCATGCCATCCCCAAATTGGATCCTGAAATCTGAACCTGCGAGCCCGTGAGGTAACCTGCTGTGGTTAAATTTGGCATTCATTTTACTTTTTCTTGTGAGGCAAAGGTTAACTAACGGTTATAGAAGGTAAGCATTACAAGCTGGGTAGTCTTTATGAAGTTCGCAAAGTCATTCTCTAGAAATGTTTCAAAGGTCTGCCGAAGGTGCAATTATTTTGAAAAAGCCCTAAGCTTGTCACTCATAACAGAATTCTGTGAAATGAGAATTCAAGGCAAGGAAGTCTTAGCTAACCTTAGGTGTGTCCTTAAAGCAATTATGTATCCGACACCATTTGGCTCTTTTGTTTACTCTTTGCTATAACTGGGGCCGATGGAAAAGATAGGATAAATGCCACATCCAAAAATGACCCTACCCTACAGAAATGTAGGTATGTGCTAACATAAGTCAACTGATGATGCCAGCAAGTTGATGTGGCTTTTGTCTAATCTTTTCTTTCCCCACTTCTGGATGAAACCCAACGGTCCGATTGATCTCAGGCGATTGTTGTGCGTGATTGAAACATAGGTAAGAAATTTATTTACAGGCGTGCAAAATTTTCACGAACAAGCGTTCTTTTCGTTGCCGGTGAAGGGTGTCTACTGGAAAACCTGGTGCACACTGCAGGAGAAGCTGCCCTGATTTTTTTTTAAATGACTTCGATCAATGAAAAATCTGCTGTGGAAGCGTGCACTGACAAATTTTCTGCACCCCTGTTTATATGTAAACATTGGTCAACGGTCCTACAGTCACTGTATCATTCCATCGAAGTTTCACAACAAAGGCCATTTGACATTGGTTAATTGCGTTTGCAAGCAGTTCCGAACAGTTTGGTTTAACAACATACCTTTATGCTTTTCCTAAATTTCAACATGTGAGCTGAAAAGAATTATTTTTGTAACTTGTTGAGATCATGGTTCAAATCGGACCATATTAGTATCAGTATGTTGTCAACGTTGTATCAGAGAGAGACCACCATCAAACCAGTATGTTTCTGTGAGATGCTTGATGGAGAGAATGGGGGCCTATAACTACCGGGTGGTCCAGACCACCTCTCCTGTATCTCTATCCGGAGAACCACTGAAAATGGAGTCTTTAGGGCCAGGCCTGCCACAAGGGTAGGGATACTGGGTCCATCGTACCGGGGCCCAGGCCTTGGGCCCGGTATCCCCACCCATGCGGCGGGCCTGGTCCTCACAACTCGATTTTCAGTGGTTCTCAGGATGGAGATAGTGGGACGGGTAGTCTGGATCACCCGGTATGTTGCATCACTCCAAAATCATTATGTGCCAACACTCTTGGGAATTTTTCCATAGGTTTAAAGGAAATATTATCACTAATTCTGACTGTATAAAAGTTGTGAGGCATATCGAGGTAAGGGTCAAGTTAATCTTGAGAGGAGTTCGACCTGCATGACAAGAAAAAGGGTCTTCAGCAATGCTGTCAAAAATTGGCAGATTCCTGCAGTGTGCTAATGGCTCAAATCCAAGCTTGTCCACTTTACCAAGAGACAGTTTTTGTTGTGTTTTTTTTTTTTGGTCCAACTTAATTGTTGATTCTCCTACCCTTCTAAAGCAGAGATCTTGGATTTGATCCATGAACCATTCTAAACATTTAAAATTTAAATATTTCTTGACATTTTAAACTTTACGCATCCAGATTTTAAATTAGTTAATTGTCATTACAGCAGATTTGAATCTACTGAAAAGGTTACCAAGAAGGAAGAGATTTGACAATAAATACATAAGACCCCTACTCAGGCAAATGAGAAGGACTGAACACAAATAACCAGCTTTGGAAAATTCTGGACATTTCTTCTGAATAAAGTAGGTAAGTTCTCGACCTTAGAAATGATACTTTAATTGATGTGGCACCTACCAACAGTAGAACTTCCACACCATGTACTTCAGTTTATAACTTTGCAGACATCCTGTCATACTTTATTTTTTAAGTCGAAAATAATCAGTCAGTTTTTCAAAACTTCGGTGATTTTTCCTCTCTATGCCAAAAAAATTCTGTGAAACTTCAAGGAATGATGTTGATTTGTTCTCCTTTATGAACATAAAATGAGAGTTGAGATTTTAAAACACCACAAACGATGTGTGTAGTTTGGGAGCTCCACCGTTGATGAACTATTTTTTCAATTTCTCATTATTAAAGCCATGTTTCCACTCTTGCTTTTCAAAAAATAATTCTAATGATGTAGATGAAAAAATTGATTCAAAATGAGGAATTATAATTCTACTAGATGAAAAAATTGATACCGAATGAGGAAACAGAAAGTTCTGAGTATGCACATCTCAGTGCTGATTTGATTTTTTCTCAAGCATGATAGTTCTCTAGAAAAAAAATAGGTAAACTTGCTTTGAAATCCACCCTCGTAACACAAAAATGAAATCAGAAAGACATGAATCCAGAGGGGGAAAAAAAGGTGGCCTGAGTAATCATTCGTGAGAAGAAGACCAAATTACAGGGTGATCCGTGATGATCGATTGTCTGCTGATAGACAATCTTTATTGGGGACAGGGTATAGCAGTGAATGAGAGAAATTGAAGTTGGCATTAAAATTAGACCGAGTGAAAAATTATACAGAAAAGATTTTTCATCACTCAGAAAAGATTTTCAGCAGCCTCATTGGATATAAAAAATAGCAGGAGCAAGAGGAAAATTTCAAATTTTTATCAACTTGTGTGGAATTAAATGATCTTTTCATGGTTTCAAAGTATGAACACGACAGTCTTCTAATCTCCATGTTTTTTTCTCTTTTTGTTTTAGAATCGAAATAAGGAAAATTAAAAAATATTTTTTTAGACTTTCACTTCTAAGGAGTACTCAGGTGAGCATTGAATTTTTGACGTTTGAATATTTTTGTAAAATGCAGGATCAAACCGATAAAAAAGGAGGTGCCTGCAAGGAATTTTCTGCGGAAGACGTCTCATCAGAAGAGGACTCATCATATGAGGACTCATTTGATGATGATTGTTTTGAAGATTCATCTGATGAAGACATGTCAGATGAGGATTTACCACAGGAATTACGCGACCTGGGAAGCAGTTCAAGAGCCGATTTGCTTGCCAAGGCAACGGAGAGCAAAATACAGCTCATCAAATCGCGAATACAAGCAGGGGAAGATTTAAACACAAAAATGGAGGGAGGTATGACTTTGATCTTTTGTGCAATTGCCATGAAAAATATTCCTCTTATAGAAGAAATGGTCAGCCATGGTGCAGACTTGAATATAAGAGCTGATGATGGATCGACCCCTTTGTCTGCTGCCATTCAGAGCCGCCGGTTCGACATGGTCAGTCGCTTACTAGACCTAGGTGCTGACATCCAATTGAGGATTTCCGACCTTCACCCTGAAGATACTTGGGTGAATTCAAATAAGGGTCTAATTTCAGGTCCCATTTCATCCCAAAAATTTTTTGTGAATTTTTGGGTAAACCGAACTTTATTTTGACTATCATTAGGTGTGGAATCAGGAAATATAGCTCGTCAAGCTCAATGGTTGGGCTTAAACCCGAATTTTGACCGTCAAGTGTATCACTTCCATCAATTTGCTCTAATTTTGTCTGACTTCTCCGATTTTCGTCTTAAAAATCAAATATAACATCTCTCATTGAAAATTGTCTTAAATTTTCATTGAAACATTGTTGAACACTATACCAAAACATGATTTTTTAAATTGAATCATTATACATCTTGCGGAATAGAGAAAATAAGAGAAAAATTGATTAATCGCATGATGGAGTTTGCTACTTTGGGACATTTCTTCCGGTCTGAGTGCGCACTGACCTTCCTCGACAGGGAAGAAAGCCCAAGTTTAGAGAAAATTGCAATATGAAGTGGATAAAAAATTGAAGTTTTTTTCTACCTCAAGCAACAAAAATTAAAATTCCCCGGAGACCATTTAGCATACCCCGCGAAATGAAGGAGTTTTTATAATGGAACCAGTAATCCTAGCTTCAACAGTTTAGAGCCTGGTCTCCTTTGGACGCCACAGCTTTCGGAACGCAATCCACTCCAGTCTTGTAGCTTGATGCAAACATTTGAAAACTGTCCAAATTTTGCTGATTTTGTCGCATTCGTAACATCTTTGTAAGAAAACATCGCTACGCTCTAGCAAACGCAAGCCGTGTTGCATCCCTCAGAAATCAGGCTAGCTGAGGGTGCCGCGTGCGCTGCGCAGCTGTCACAAGTTTTCTTTTACCTCAAGGAACTTTTTTAACTCTCAAGAGATGAAATTGCATACTCAACGAACTGAAGGAATTCCGAGTGAGGCCTCTGATTCCATGATTTACCTTTACCCTCACAATCTAGTTCAGAATGCTGCGTGCCGATGCCTGCAGTTTTATTTGACGTCCAGCAACTATTTACCTGTCAAGGGATAAAATTTCATTCCAATAATATAAAAAAAAAACTGTTTGTGTTAGTTTACTGATTAGCCATCCATTGTCTGATTGGTGAGCAATTGCGAATAATGCCAAAGAAAATGAAAGAAATAAAAATGAACCTAAATACCAAGATAAATAAATAAGATAAGGGAAACAAAAGCTTCGACCAACTATAATTTTTCTCCTTTTTCGTCTCAATTAGGAAGGAGTTATAGTTAGTATTAGGACAGTTGTTACTTCATAAAAAAATATTTTGGAGAGAGGATTTCCTTCTCCTTAAAATAGCTGGCAAATTTTAGTGGGTGGAGGCATTCCAATGAGAAACGTGCTTGCTCTCTTAGTTCTCCTTGCAGCAGCCCTGATGACACCTCCTCTCCTGGTATGACTTTTGAATGCAGTAATATTTCAGCTCCGCATTTCAGGATTTTCTGAATTGTGTCTATTAAATAAAGTTAAATCGTATCTTGGTCTTGAACGAATTGGGAAAGAAATAAATGTAGTGCAAAGACTACAGAGGAGAAAAAAAGAAATGAAACCATAAGAAATTTGGGAACATGAAACTTTGAAATTATTTAATTTTCATTTGATTTTTACATGGTTTATGACAGTATATAAAATATTACAAACTAAAATAAAAAAGGCATCCGGACTTCATGATAATTTCAACATAAGCATGAGATGTTAACACTTTCGACGAAGCGCCTTTAACTGGAAGGAATCTGCACTCCAAATCTTCTGAAACCAAAAATATAGAATTAATTAAATGAGGTTTCAGATAAATGCAAATTGTAATTCAATTATAATAATGATTTATTATCATTCAACATGTCCATTTTTTAAGGTATTCCAAGAGGAGAAAAAGATAGATGGAGATAAAGAGAAGCACAGAAAAAGAGAGAGATGAAGGGAGATTTGTCTCGTAAAAATATTAAATTATATTATTTAAACTTTCAAGTTCAGTTCAAGTTCAGACAAACAAAGTTCTATATAAAATTTTAGGCAATACTTTTGTATTAATTAAAGTTGTTAGGTGTAATTCTGACACTTAGTTGTGAAGAGAGAAAAATAAACCAAAAATGTTGTTTTTTGTTGATATTTGTCTCAAAATTATAGAAAATTAAAAAAAAAACAAGGAAAAGCCCCAATTATTGTAAGATGTCTTATGATAACGCATTACCCCCTTCTTAGGTTGAATCTTTTTGAAAAATTTTGCTTCCTAGTGATCAATCACAAATTAAAAAATAAAAAAGTATAAAACTAGGTAAACGAAACATTCAGCTCACCTTTTTTGACATAATCAAGCAGCATTATCTATTATCAGCAATATCTGAGTATTTAGGAATGCAGTTATAAACATTTGGGAATTGAAAATGCTAGTAAATCTCATGCCGCTTTACAGTAAGCAGTTGAAATTCTTTTTTTAAAAAAAACCAGTTTTTCTAGAGGAGCTACTTAAAAATCTGATCTGCAATGCTTAGGGCACAGAATTGCTGAAATAAGATGCAGTTGTACGTCCACTAGTATAAAGTTAAACAAACCACTTGTAACTTATTCTGTTTCCACTACAAAGAGTTTTCTGTCAAAATCCTTCAACCGATTGTTTTACCTGACTCGTAAAAACAACCCATCTCCTTAAAATGACGCTACAAAGGGCTCATGATCAGTTCATGTGAGGGATTATTAATAAATAAAATATTCAGCTCACCTCTTATTCTATAATCAAAGTAGAACATGAATTTGTCAGGATTCCTTTAAAATAAATGAACCAGACTGCTCGTAACTTATTATTTAAGACTTGCAGAGAATTTTCAGTCAAAATCACATCCTTAATTTTTTTGCCCGAATCAACTATCCATGTCACACGTCCACAAATGAAAAAAACTGTGGAGTTTGTAACAAACCTTTAGTAGGTCAAAATTTGTTTCAGGTGTAAGAAAGGGTTATGTAATAAAATTGTGTACCTACTTGTTAAAAATTTGAGTAGCCCACCACGATTCTTCTATCAGAAGAGGTGTCAGAGATGCTTCGTTGCAGATATGGCAGCTTTCCTTACTTCTTGAAAATGTAGGTTGAATCTCCAAAATTTCAAATAGGTAAATCACGTCCTTGGCTTCTGCAAATCATGCTAGCTGTAGACTTTTCTGCTATTTCAGGCAACCAAGATATCTTAGGACCTGTTGGAATGCATTAACAGTGAGCTAAATAACTGGGAACTTTTTACGTTTCACACATCCTTCGCATAAAGTTACCTTTGAATGTTCAACTGTGATACTCTCATCATCCCATCTTGCCAGCGGATTCATTGATTGACCAGTGACAGTCAAATGAGAAAGAATATTTTAATTCATGTCATTGCAATAGCATTCCTACAAAATGCATGTTATCATTTCATACCAAAGAAATTAGGTAAAAAAGAGAACAAATCGGGCGTCAGGACTACGGACAAAAAGTGATGAGTCCCAGTGATACATTAGACTAGAAACATGCGTTGGGTCCTTATCGATGAAACTGTGGGATGATTTGTGAAATTTGTTTCAACTCAAATGGAGTTAATATTGCAAACAAATGAGTATGAGGGTATATTGTGTGGGTAACAATAGCTCCATCATGTATGTATCAAGTTCTCAGGGACGTTAATTGTCTCCTTATTACAATTTTCTAAATTTTCCTCTAACTGATAAAAATTCTCGAAAAAAGGATGATTTGTGTAGAGTTTACTTACTCAAATATTTTCAGATTATGCTTCACTTCACACAAACAAACAATTATCGAAACAAAACTTCCGAGAGGCACTTATTTATCAGGGTTCCCCTGATGGTTTGATCAAATGTTGGGTTAGAAATGTTAGGTAAAGAATAAGCTGATATTATCACACATTTATCAGTGTAATTAAGTACAGAATTAATGTAAATCTATCACTAAATGACCTCCATTTCAACTCAAGGCCCCCTTTAAGGATTATTAATTACTTACGAGTTCATTTGAATTAAGCTTCCATCAGACGGACAAGGTGGACATAATGAGCTCTGTTCTACTTTGTCCACTCTGTCCCATTGTGGGACCGAGTGGACACGGGACCGAAGTGGACACGGGACCGAGTGGACATGGGACCGAGTGGACATAAGCTTTATTTTAAACTTGTCTTGGTAATTAAGACAAATATGATGCTTATAACTCGTAAAGTGTGGCTAACCCAACCTCAATAATCAGAAAAATATCAAGGTTTTCATGAATTAACACTTGGAGGGTATTTAAGAGCTGAAACAAATGTGGACATGTATGCTTTACGAGCTGTTACCTACCGTGTTTCACATTAGCTTTAGCACCTTTTCTCCTCTTTAAGGGCACAAAACTTTAAAATCTTCGTCTTTCCAGCAAACTACAACATATTAACAACCTTATCACAACATAAACAGATGACACTGACGAAAGCGCTACGCAGCGGAAATTATTCAAAACCCGTGACACCGTTGCCAAGTCATGCGCACTGTTGCCGGGGACAAAGATTTAAACGCGTGAGAAAAGTTTTTGAAATAGTAAAACGTGTTTTATACTATTCTTTCTCAAATTCAAAATCATTACCTTTCATCTCCGATAAAGTTTTCCCAAGTAATCGCTCTAGCTATGCTGCAATATCGATTTAAAGTCAAGAACCGGGCACGGGGGACACGCAAATTTGGGACAAATGAAGGCAATCTGCACATTAAAAATTGTGCTAAATTTGTATTTTAGTCCAAAGAAAGTGGAAAATAGCATGTAATAGTCAACAATAGTTTGGAAAATGAGAAAAAAATTTACTCTGCTCATGGTTCTCAGATTATGACGATTAAAACAGCTGGGGACACCAGATTAAACGCTTATTTGAAAGCACCCACTTACCTTCATCGTGCAGCTTCATGCGGATGTGTAGACATGATCATATTATTCATCGAAAAAGGTATTGATGTTAATGTGCGAAATGGTTATGCAGAGACACCGTTACATTCAGCTGTTAGATTCGGTGAGGCAGAAGCTGTAAGTGCGCTTTTGGTCAATGGTGCAGATGTCAATGCTGGGGCATGCAGTGTATTCAAAGAGTTGCCTCCTGATGAGAGAAAGCTCGGGTCAAACGTCACACCAATATTTCTGGCTGCCATGTTTAACGAGCCTTCAATTGTCAAAATTTTGATAGAAGCTGGTGCAGATGTAAACGCAACTACAAGCAAGATGTATACCTCATTACATCCAGCAGCCCAAGAAGGGTATTTGGACATAGTTCGAATGCTTTTGGAAAGAAAAATCGACGTCAATGTGAGATCCGAAGTAGACCGCACAGCTTTAAGTCTGGCAGCAAGAAGTGGCCATGTGGAGATCGTCAAAGCCCTCATGGATGTAGAAGATATTGATCTCAATCCAGAAAGCTTCTTTGGTGATACACCTTTAGTTTCTGCAGCAATTTTTGGACATATGGAAATTGCCAAACTTCTCATCGCTAAAGGTGTTTCTATTAATGCTTCTGGGCCGGAGTTGCATTGTTCACCTTTGAAGTCAGCCATTATCCATGGTAGAAAAGAAATGGCTGAATGGTTAGTCTCAAATGGTGCAAAGTGTCAAAATTCAGATCTCCCGCTATTAACTCTTGATTTTCAGATTCCACTTGTCTTGCACCTTGCTGCAAGAAATGGATGGGCAAGAGTTGTGGAAAGCCTCATCTTAGATAGTTTGATAGATGTGAACGAACTAACGGATGATGGTGAAACTGCGCTACTTCTGGCCACCTCCTCTGGTCATCTTGAGGTCGTAACGATTCTCCTGAAAAATGGTGCTGATCCAAACATGGCAGATAAAAAGGGTCAAACACCAATTTGGACGGCAGCCAACCGAGGAGATGATAAAATGATTGAACAGCTCATGATGCATGGTGCCAATGTGAATGTAGTCTACGGAAAAAAGAAGGAAACACCATTGTTCTCTATGGTTCGTATGAACAACATTCCAATGGCAACCCTTATCCTAAAAGGGGTCGTCAATATCAATTTGCAAAACAGCAAGACTCTTGCAGCTCTTCACATTGCCGCTGGAAAAGGTTACTGCGAAATGACAGAGCTGCTTTTGAAGTACAGTGCCGATGTCAATGTTAAAACCAAAGAAGGATACACTCCACTTTTTCTGGCCGTTGAGCTTAAGCATCCAGACACAGCCCAGATTCTACTAAAACATGGTGCTAATGTAAATCTAGCCTGCTGCTCCGGTGTCATGCCAATTCATAGTGCTGCTTGTGAATTGAATAGGGATATGGTGAAATTATTGCTACAATATGGAGCTTATTACAACAAGGAAGCCAAAGCCTTGAACTGCTGTGGGACACCATTAAGATTCGCACATGAGGGTAAAGATACTGAACTAATGGCAGTGTATGAGCTAATTAAGAAACTGTTGAACGCATCTTCAAAAGTGGATGTTGAAGGAATCAAGTCCTGCCTTGAAGCTGGTGCTATCGTGAATGCAAGGAATGCAGAAGGAATGACAGCTTTACATTACGCTGTCAGTTGCAGTAATATAGACGCAACCAACTTGTTACTGGAATACAATGCAGATGTTGAGTTAGAGACCAACAAAGGGAATCGGCCTTTGGACATTGCTGTGGCCAAAAACAACCAGGAACTTGTCGGTATTCTTCTAAGGCATTCTGAAAAACTCGACTTCCGCAAACGCAACCGTATAGTAAATGCAAAGACCCTGGAAGGTATGACAGCCCTGCATATTGCTGCTGAGAAGAATTGTGTGCATATTGTCCAGCTCTTACTTGGAAATGGAGCAGTTTACAACATCAAAAACAATGCTGGGATGACACCTCTTTCTCTTACTAAAAACGAAGTTATCCAAAAGATTTTGCTGTCAGTTGAAAAGTTTTTTGAAGCAGTAGAAAGTGGTGTTGATCACTTAACAGATGCTAGTCAAATGTTAGAAGGGAATGAATCCATTCTGAATGCAAGAGATTGCAAGGGCGGAGGTACACTACTCTATTGGTCATCTGCCAAAGGCCTTACAGCTATTGCAGAGTTTCTTTTAGATCGAGGGGTGGATTGTTCGTTAGTGACAAACAAAGGCACATTGCCATTACATATTGCCGTGTCCAAGGGCCACACAAAAATAGTGAGAGCCATTTTGAACAAAGTGGCAAGTAATGATCCGAAAAAAGCAGCAGAGCTTGTTAATACCGCCACATCTGCTGGCACAGCACCTTTGCATTTGGTGTCAAACACAGAAATTGCTTGTTGTCTTCTTCAACATGGAGCCGTGTATACAGTGCAAAACAAAGAAAATAAATCAACATTAGAACTCACTCAAGATGAAAATGTACAGAAGTTACTCCAAACTACTCACCAGCTATTTCAAGACACAATTAAAAGTGATCTTGCAGTGATGAGTGTGCTAGATAGCCTAAGTCTAGATGAGTTCAAAGCTGTTGCTGGTGCGTGCAATGAAAAAGGTCAAACTCTTTTGCAGCACTTTGTAGTAAATGATCATGCAGAATTAGCGAGCAATATTCAGGAAAAAATAGATAAGTTTCATTAAATCTCAAGATTTTTACCAGGCTAATTTTATTGGGAGTTGGGCATTCCTCAAGATTTTTGTGATTTTACTCTATTTTCAAGACTCGTCTGTTCAAGACTCAAGTACATATAAATATTGTCCTTGTTTTATCACTCACTTCCCTTCTCCCCCCCCTTTTTTTGTGTAATTCACATAATTGTCACCGAATTTTGTATGTCTTCGTTTATGGCTTGGTTATTGGAACCTTAGTATAGGTATACTTTCTTCTTTGAAACACCTCAAATTTCCGTTTCCCAAAGCTGTAAATTGTTTTGTCTCGAAAAAACTTTAATATTTCATTTGCTCATTTTTCCAATGCCTTATTTTTTGCAATTGACTGTATGCGGAAGAAGTTTTGTAAAATGTATACTTTAATTGGTCAGAAAGATGTGAAGAATCATAAGTAAAAAATTCTACCACACACAGTCCATGCTCATTTTTTTTTTAACGATAGGTGCTGCCCTCTTAAAGTGAATTCTTTGATTTTTTCAGCGAGTCTATTATCTCAATTAAATCAGAATTTAATACATTTGCCCCTTTAAACTGACCTGATTTCGGAGTTGAATAGCTGAAAAATTTTAAATTAGGGCTGCAAGTAGACGCTAAAACTTTGGTGTGATCAAATTTCTACACCCTGTTCTCTCCTCCTACCCTCCAAAGTCATTTTAATATTTAAGACAAGTCAATGTTCTTCTTTAATATTTGTGTATAATAGTTTATATTCTAAGAAATTTTTTCTACAGTATTTTCTTTTTCTATAGTTAAGCACCATGCTAGAATGTATAACTGTTTTTACAGACAGACTCATTACTAAATTTTTTTTTTAGTTAGAGGTGAAAAAGAGTGGCAAGAAATGTGCCGTTTCAATTAGAACCTCCAAATTTTCATTTGAATATCTCTGAAATATGCAGCTTCATTGTATTGCATGCGGCTTGAGAATCATTTCTAAGGATAGTTTCCATCAAGATTCTGGATTTTTTAAAAGAAGAACTAGAATACAATAATTTGATCCATTCTAAAATAATAATGAAGTTAAATCATCATATTAATGTCCAAATTAAGATTTATAGTTCTTGCCTCTCAGAGCAGAAGTTGCCTACATGTTTCGTCTCATCATGTGATGGTAATATATCTCTAAGTGCTTACTTGTACTCACTGCGATACTCTTATTGCCAGTAAAATTCAGTGTACATTAGTTAACTTTGCAGCACTATTTTCCCTTTGAGCTTAGCGCTCAGATTAAGGTATCCTTTCATTCCTTTTTTTACTTTCAACTTCTAAGAATTTTCATCTTTATCTGTTAAATTTTCTCTACCAGTCAGAGAATCTATGTATCATCGTTACTTCTCTTTTTTAAAAAGGCTCAGTATTTTTTTAAGACTATTCTCATGTAAATTTTAGTATCAAAAATTTTGAATTCTGAATTTTTTCTGACGCCCAATTCGAATTTTTGAATTTTTTCTTACCATATTTTACTTAAGTTTTTTTTTGATCTGGACCACTGTTAGGTCAAGTGTCTTATTTGTAACTGTTGTCCACTCATTATATTTCGTATTTCTTTACCATATCCTTTTTTTCTCATTTTTATCTTTAGCAGTATCATTAGGAATCCTATTTTTTCATTTAAATGAAATTTTTTCCTGTCTCTTTCGCACTGCTGTGTAGGTTGCTTCACTGCAAGACACCTGTATCCTAAATTTCGTTTTCCCTCTTAAAATTTTTTCTGAAACATATTTTTTCTTTGAACTCCCATTTTAATTGGACCAAAGAATTCAATATCGGCTAAATTTGGTTATTTTTTGATGTGATGTTTTTTATGACCTTATGAGCACAATGAGCTTACAAATCCAAATTATGTGCTAATTAGTGGACTTAAAAGTTAATTTTTCAGAATTTTTACTTGTGGATGTTTCCAGAGATACCTATGGCATTGTTGCTGAGTTGAATCCGTGTAGTCTGTGTCACCAAGTCAATGACATGATGACAGACCTTGCTTCACGGTCATGCTGAGGAATATAGGTTGTTAGTCTATTTTATCTTCTGGATTGGCGAGCAAAGAAGGGCTTTCCTTGATCATCCATTTGATGGTGAATTTTTTCTGAAAGTAAAAATTCTTGAAAACTTACTTTCTAGCCCTATTTTTATTAAAATTGTCACCTAGAAAGATTATCTGCAAAGCTTACTGTGATCAGGACATCATGAAGAACATCATATGAAATAACAGCGACATGTAACTATCTCCATAGTTCTTGGCTTGCAATGTAGGGTGTAGAGTCCTGTAGTGGATTTTGCATAATCTTTTCTTATCAATAGAGGAAACTCAAAGGAATACTTTCATTTTAAGGAGGAAAAGAATGAGACAGGCTTCATTCAATTTCTTTTTGACCAGTAATTGAAAATAGTTGCCTAGAAGGCTTCTATTTAACTGTATGAGAGTGTCTCGACGCTTATTTAATGTCAGACCTTTTCCATTGAAAAACGGCAAATTTAGGTAGTTTAGGTCAGCAACCTGATTTTTACGTTGAGCTTAATAGACACTTCCGTTAAGGACATTTTTAAATTTTTAATTTTGGAAACTTTACTTACTGAATGAAAATTTGTTTTGCACAAACGGTTTCCCTGGAAAATAGAGGTCCAAAGTTTCAGTTAACCTCTTAGATGTTGCCCAAATTTGTATTTTGGAATGCTGAGTCCAAAAATGGCCATGGTTTGTCTCCAACGTTCACCGATTTCTCAGAAAATTTGAAAGGGGAATGCCTGGGAATCCCCCAATTTTTCCTTGGGAAAGCCTGTTTCCAGGAAAATCTTAATTTTCTAGGAAGTAGGTGGATGTAGAGAAAAAACTGAGATCATTTTCGGACTTGCTAAAAATTATACACGAACCAACCATCATATCACCAAAATATTGCAGACTTGTAACCTGTGTAATTTCTAAAGCAAAATATGGTGCAGGAAACGTGTTTCATTAAAAAGAGAAATCCTAAAGTACTCTATGTAGTTTCCTGCTTCCAAATTAGGAGGATGTGAATTTTTTATATAGTCAATGTGAAAATCACCTGAGAGGCCCTGGATGCCCATCCATTAGTTGTTCTCTACCAAGCTTTAATGACACATAGCTTTCTTCATCAAGTTGCTGTGAATTTAAGTATGTGCTGGTAAGTAGAGACAGTAGTTGGCAGCTGCATGCCATTAAAAGAAAGAAGAATAAATCAGTGTAAAATGATATTACATCACAGAAACATACATGCCAAGGCCATACAATTAAAGAACTGAAAATCGCAACAGTTTTAAATTCAATAAGCTGGATGCTCATCAAAGGGAAAAAGTCTTCAAAAAACTCATCAACACTGTAGTAAACCTTACCTCCAAATAGGTGTTTATATGCATGTTAAAATTTTTTTTTTTTTTAATGTGGCTGTATAAAAGTCTTGAAAAACTACCATATTTACATTTTTTTCACTTTAGTAGACAACAAATGAAAGAATTTTCAAGGTTTTTTTTTATTTTCAGATAAGAAATTAGATCACCATGAGCCCTGGACGATCAAGAAACAAAATTCCATCCAGTCAATCAGCTGAAGGTCGGGCATTGTTGAGACGTAAAATATTGTCACTCATTCGATCGGGTGGTGATTTGAATCAGGTGGTTTCACGGGAAGGAGACACTCCACTCCTTTGCGCAGTCTTGTGGGGAGATCTTGGTCTCGTTGAAGAATTAGTCAAAAGTGGAGCGGACATAAACAAAAGAGCAACTGACATTGAAACTTCTCCACTGGCACTAAGCGTAAGTCGGAAAGAATTAGCGATATTTAATTGCTTACTTAATCATGGTGCTGATATTCAAACAAAAGCCGTCAATGGAGCCTCAGTGCTTCATCTGGCAATCCAAAATAATTTTCTAGATGTGATTGAACTAATCCTTGACAGAGGAGTTGACGTCAATGTACAGAATGATCAGGAAGAGACACCTTTGCATTATGCAGCTATGTTCTCAATTGCAAAAATTGCAAGGTTACTCTTGGCGAAAGGTGCCATTATCAATGCCAAAGGACACATGGATTATGGTTTGTATGATGGCAAATCGTCTCCGATCACGAAAAATGTTACCCCGTTGTATTATGCCGCAACTTTTGATAACACCGAGGTTGCCAACGTCTTAATTAAAGCCGGCGCAGATGTGAATGCTTGCACAAGTCATGGATGGACGCCTCTAATATCGGCTGCGCAAGGTGGATATTCGGAAATGGTTCGAATGCTTCTCCGTGCCAACGCCGATGTAAATGCCAAAACTATTGAGGGTCAGCAGGCGGCGATTCATCTTGCAGCCAAAGAAGGTAAAAGAGAGACAGTCGAAACTCTCTTGAGCGTGGAAGGGATTGAAACCAACTCAGCCTCTGCCCTAGGGTTCACTCCACTGTCTCTTGCAATTCACTACAATCGTCCAGAAATTGCGGAACTTCTGATAAGCAAAGGCAAAGCTCCTGTTGATAATCAGACTGGTCCACATCATTCCTGGATGACAACTCTCCAATTAGCCTACGAGCTAGGAAATGAGGATACTGCAGAGTTATTGATAAGAAATGGTGCTGATCTCACAGGGAAAGGCTGTTGTGCTGAGTATTTTAAGCCCTTACATGAAGCTGTTGAGAGAGGTTGGACCCGCGTCGTGGAGTGCCTTGCCTCCAAAGTCGATGTGGACGAAATTTCTGACATTAGGACTTGTTTGACAGAAGGAATTTACCAGGGTAATAAGCATATTGTTGAAATTCTTTTGAGGAACGGTGCCAATCCTGATCTAGAAGACAACGATTTCGATACGCCTCTTGACAAGGCTATAGCATCAGAACAAGAAGACATTTTTGAGTTACTTGTTAAGTATGGTGCTCACGTCATTTCCGGAGACAAGTACAGCAAAAAATATCAGAAAAAATTTCTGCTCCATGCAGTCTCAAACAATCGCATTGAAGTAGTGATTTCACTCTTGCGGCTAGGAGTCAATGTAAATTGTAAAAATCGTGCTGGTGAAACGCCTCTGCATATTGCTGTTGAGTCAAAATTCCAATTACTCGCCACCAAACTGTTGGAGTTAGGTGCTGATGTGAATGCCCCTAATAAAAGTGGTGTTCTGCCAATTCAAGTCGCAGTCCAGGCCGGAGACAGGAACATGGTGAAAATTTTGCTCAGCCATGGAGCCTACTGTAATGTAAGCTCAGAAGCTGCAAAAGGCAGTGTTTTTGGAATGACAGCAACCGATACAACTGTTATTGAAACATTAGAACTGTGTAACAAACTAATAAACTCTGTAGCTAAAAATAACTATCAGCAAACGGAAGAGTGCATCCAAGCAGGGGTTATTTTAAATGCTAGAGATGCGGATGGCGCTACTGCCCTTTTAAAGGCAGTTCAGAGTAAAAGCATTGATACTGTCAATTTATTGTTGAAACACAATGCTGATGTTGAATTGGGAACAAAATCAGGCAACCCTTTGCTCATCGCTGTAGCCAATGGCGACGAGAAACTAACGCACATTCTCCTGGAGTACATCAAGAAACAAAACTTCATCAAGCAGAATTTCATACTGAATGCCACACATCCGATGGTGAAACAGCTTTACATGAGGTAGCACTGAAAAATAATTTGCAAATTGTAAAACTTTTACTTGAAAACGGAGCTGTATATAACCTGGAGAACAAAGCAGGCCAGACACCTCTGCTTGCAACAGAAGATGAAAATATTGAGAATTTATTTGAGGCTGCTGAAAACCTCTTCAATCTAGTGAAATCTTACCCGGATTCAGTAGCGGAAGTTGAACAAATTTTGAGAGCGCATAAATCTGTATTGAATGCCCGAGACTCCTTTGGTGGTGGCACCCCGCTTTACTGGTCAATTTCAAAAGGCCTCACACAGATCGCCTTGTTTCTTTTGAACCAAGGAGCTGATTATTGTCTTGTAACAAACAAAGGTACGTCTCCATTACATATTGCAGCCTCTAAGGGAAACACTCAAGTAGTCAAAGCCATTGTGGCAAAAGCAGCCAGTGTAAGCAAAGAAAAAGCAGTAGATATTGTCAACTCTCTCACAGTAAATGGTTCTGCTCCCTTGCATGTTGCTGTGAACAAAGAAATTGTCTCGTGTCTCCTGCAGTTTGGAGCCAAGTATGATATCCGTAATAGAGAAAGTCGTACGGCTCTTGACTTAATAGACAACGCAGAGGCGAAAAAATTACTCTTGACGACTCAACTACTTTTTGAGAAACTTACTGATGGTGACTCCAGTGTACTGAACTTACTTGACCGTTTGAAAGTGGACGAGTTTAAAGCAGTTGCCGGTGCGCAAAATAAGTCAGGGCAGTCTTTACTCAAAGTAATGCAAGCGAAAGGCAGCACTAAAGTCGCTCAAACTTTCTTACTGAAGTTTAGAATGGTCTAGGAAAAAACGTTGAAATCTTGAATTTGCATCAAATTTTGTTTGATTTAAAACTGAATTTTGGAATGATATTTTTTTTTTATTCTTTACCTGTGATTTTGCTTTGTCTGATAAATGTTTTTTTTTTTTAAATCTTATGAATATAAATTTGAGAGCAGAGAAATGAATCCTAAGATTTAGAGAGCTTATCGAGATGACAATGTATTTACTCAGCTATTTCCTAAAATTAAGATTAAGTCATAAGCAACCCGTAAGGGCACAAATCTTCCATTTTATGAAACTGGAGTTTCTTTCTTGTATTCTCTGGTTGCATTTTTTTTTATATTGAAGTGAAAATTTTTTATTTTGTACATTCCTCTTTGTTGCTGCTTTATGTACTTAATATTTGTTTACTTGATCTCATAAATGTAAGCTTAAATATTAGTTTAGTTGGTGGATCAAAAGATCTAATTATGATGACTCAAGATTTGTTAATTCAATTCTTGAAAGTAAAATTTATATACTCTTAGCTTTTAGGTATGCTATAAGTTATAAAAGTTTTTCTTTTGTTTTTTACCTATATTCTTCGTTATGTTTGTGGAGGAAAGTAATTTTTAATTTCATGTTCCTAATTTTGTTATTATTTTCCAAAGAATTCTATGATTTCTTTCTGTGACTGCAACCATCTATGTTATTTTTATTCTTTATTATTAAATTTCACGAATGAAAGCCTCAATATTGAGTTATTCAAATCTCAAGAATAAAGAATCTTAACATATTGATTCTTTGTTTGTTCAAGGAATTCCTTAAAATGAGAGAATTTCTACATGTATTGAACCAGTTATCCAAGTTATTATTTTGTTTCTCATGACTATTATATTTAAGCCTGTAACAACAGTTCTTTTTGTAAGTTTTAAGGAATTTTGTCTGTAACCACCAGAAAGCTTCCTTTGTTTTTTTCTGTAATTTCATGGACTATTTTGTTTAGAATTGTCACTACTGAGTGGCCCAAATAGAATAGCAAAAACTTTAGCGATTGATTCTTTAGACCAAAATAAGATTATCTATCGTTTTCTTTGACTTTTTATCATTTGAGCCTTTTAAAGGAAGGTTATATTGATAAGGAAGGCCTCTCTAAACTCGCCCCTTCCCATCATGCTTTCAGTTTTTACTTTTTTGTCTCTAGAAAAGTGATAAAGAGGGTAAGAATATGTCCTGTCCAACCAAATTATCAACCAAAATTCATATAAATTCGGTTGATAACCTTCGCTAAAATTTAAAACAAAAAAAATCAATTTTTTCGGAGGGCTACTATTCAAAAATATCAATTTTTTTTAAAGAATTTCAAGAGGCCACATTCCTTCCTCTTTCCTCTAATGGTTCAAACAAAGGAAATGTCATTGAGCAATATAATTTTATTGCAGTCTGAAAAATCGTTCCTTTAAGTTTCCGCCATTTGATTCAGGACATCCCGTATTATTATTTTCTATTGGATTTTTTGAAGGATTCAGTATATTTAGTGATTTTCTTATTTTTTCAAATTATCTTAAAGCCAAGGATGAGCAATTTTTCAGACCCAGGGTATGGAATAGTTCCCTGGTTTTTGTATTTTTTGTGTCCTCAGATTAGGTAATATCAGGGGAAGTTTAACATTGAAATAATTTAAAGTCTATTAAGAAAGAACGTATCAAATAACGTTTTTTTGGCTTGCCTGATTGAGTAGCTAATTACAGACATGAAACAGAAATCTACCAACAAATCCCTTTGAAAGGATATTTAGAAGCAGTAAAGATGAGTTTCAATTAATTTTATCACTTTCTCAAAAAGGAGGAGGCAGTCTCACTGCCAGTAAAATTTGAAATAAAAATCACAAAATAGGTAAGAAATAATTTTATTATTTTGACCAGAGACTGATCCATTTTATAATGTAGTGCCTACTCTTATACCATTTATTTTCAATGTATAAGAAAGTAAATAAAATTTTATTTTTGTTGTAACATTGGTTTACTCACTTACTTGACATTCTCTTTGAAAGTTTTTTAGTCTCTAACATCTATTATTGTTGGCCACTTCAAGTAAATTGACCTCCATTAAAGGGCATCGTGTGTAAAAATGGCTCTCATGCCGAAACTATGTTTTAAGAAAAGTGCATTTGGAGTTTTCAAAAAGAAATCGGTATTTTGTGACCAATTTTATTTGTGATCAAGACTCGTATCCTTAAAAGAAAAAGGCTTGTTATTGTGAAATTTTGCTTTAAGTGCAATTTTGAAAGAGTCTAAATGCATGCAAGGTTGGCTAAGGGCCCTTTATACAAAGAATGGTGGTGTGAGCCAATCTTCCAAAAATCAAACTGTAGGAGTAAAGTTTTTAGAAACCTGCTCTTGAGATATGTATGTGTTTAGTTTCCTTATCATTGATATTTCATAAAAAACCGATCAAACGAGGAGTATATATTGAAAATTGGTTGTGTAGAAACCATTTTCGGCCAATTCTGCCAACAGAGCCCTCTTCTGTTAAATGGCAATTTGGTAAAACAAAAGCAAGTATGAGACTGTGAAATTCCAGTCCAATTAGATAATATATTCATCCCACGTTACTTACATATTTTTTAGAATAGCTGTTGACTTTGAAAATAGTGTTTCGGTACGCAAATTGATTCATTGTAAAAACCTCTTTATATTTCTCTATCTCTCTTACAAGCAGGAAATGAGCAAAAAACTGCTACCATATTTAGTCTGTGGACTTAGCTACACACTGAGCTCCTCAGTTTCAATTTTATAATCCTTTTGAAAGGATGTCATGCAAAGGAGATGTTTATTACATTGTAACAAAGTTTGCCTCTTGGTTTACTCATCCTTGAGGGTTTTGATAATCAGCTCACAACTGGGAACAAAAGTTACAAGTATTTCAAATCAACTGACCGTAGCTAGATCATGTTGCAATACACCGACATATCTTCCACATAAATAAGCTGACCTCTTCTGTTAAATGGCAATTTGTCAAAACAAAAGCATGTACCTAGCCGAGTGGCAAATATTAATTTACTTGAACACGAGACTGTGAAATTCCAGTACAATTAGATAATCTTCTCATACCCTGTTACTTACATATTTTTGAGAAAAGCTGAAATATTAGATAGGAAACCAAACTTCTAACGTAGAGTCTGATGTGATTACTTTGCCTCACTAAGATCAATACTAGTCATTGTTGAAAATTATCCAGGCAAGGGGACTCACTCAGGAGGGGGTTTAATCTTTATCTATCCTCCCTCTTCTCCCAGAAATGTTCAATATTTTCCATAGCTTAAGGTTTCGGATGACCCTGTTGAGTGAGATTGAAAACCAGCCGGTGGAGGGAGAGGAGGTGTTAGAGACGGGAAGGAGGGGCAGAGTAAAGAAATTTCGTGAAACATTACTAAAAGAAATTTCATGAGGAAATTTCAAGAAATATCATGAAATTTCAAGAAATATCATGAAATTTCAGGAAATTTCATTTAACACTCAGAATTCAGGATTAAACCCTAAAAAACTTAGGAATCTCCTTAAGTCTCTTTATACGCACGTGGTAAACTGTTAAAGGGAACTTTAGAAATACCCAGGAAGTTGAGTAAAAGAGCAAAAACATAATTTTGAATTTTTTTTCTCTTTTGGTTGAACACACAGCCGTACCGGTTGAACACCAAAATAAATTTTACGGATAAAGTACCCCCTCATATATCCTTCTTTTTTGGTATAAAAGGGAGGAAAGGATCTTAAACTATCCTTGAAACAATTTAAATGATTTTTCAGAAATTAACAGTTTCCTTCGCTAACGTATTTCTTTTTTTGAAATAGGAAATATTTGAAAAATAAGTAGAGTACCTGTTTTTTGAGCTTTGAAGTGATAGATTTTGACATCAGTAAGTAGGTAGGTATTTTACTTTTTCTTGAATCTGAGAGAAAATGTTTCAAAATGAAAGAGTAAGCATTTTTTAAGTGTAAGAGAAGACGAGAAGAGAAGAACTAAGAAGAGATAGCGCTCCACTTCGTCTAATTGACGAATATCATTCTCTTTAAAAATAAAAACAAATTTTGTTAGAAAAAACAAGCATTTTTTATATATTGTCGGTCGAAAGAAATTTCATGGGGAAAAAAGAAATTTCATGAAATTTCTTGTGAAATTTCACGAAATTTCATTCGATGAAATTTCTTTTAGCAACTCTGGGGAGGGGTCTCCCATTGACCGGAAGCGCTCCAAAAAATCAAGAGCGTGAATTTAAATTACGCGCGACCAATTAGTTCTTGCCATATACCGCTAGAGAGCAGAGTTGTCTGTTTACTTTTTTTAGCCTTTCTATTGGTCAATGGCCGGAACGATCGTTTTCCGGTTTTCGAAGGATAAGGATAAGGAAACTTTTTTCCGCTGCACGTGTTTTCCTTTCGGGAAATTCATCAAAGTGACCAAGATATTGAGAAAGTTGCAAACTGCGCTCATTCTACGCTAGATGGTCAGTTATTTCATCCTCTTTTCTCAACTGAAGTTCTTTGGAAAGACTCTAAGTACTCCTGGATCCCTCCAATTTTCAAATCTTTCATCCATATTTTGGTACGTATCCTTCCCTCATTCTTTAGAAATTAGCTGCGTGAGGACAATGCACTTGCTTTAATTAAATGCTGCCAGGTTCTATCACCTGGGTCATATTTGCCATAATTGCTTGATCTATGGAAGAAGCCAGGTACCAACTGGGACCTAGTGCGTAGCCCTATTTCTCACACACCTGTATGAATACCCTTCAGAGAAATGGGCGCAGCGAGATTAGAAGATATAAAGGTACGAACCTTGATGGATTGACAAGCCAAAGTAATAGCTTCAAATGCATACATCCCATCAATAGAACATCCGCATCCTGGTCAGGGGTCATTCCATACCTAATCAGGCCCTGGTTTTGACCTGATTTGCTCGGAATGTTCAGAAATTTTGACACTAGCCCTTTACATAAGATAACCGTCACCTGTTGACTTCAGACAACGGAGTGCCAGGAATTGCCTGAGGCAGATAAGTTGAAAGGTTTTTCAATTTTTACCATTGTGCGTTGTTGACAGATCTTTGTAGGCACTTGTGCGCTGCAGTTTCATTTTACCTTTGATTGCTATTATAGTTGATGACAACACAGCCGTCTGTAAGTGCCAAGTGAACAAGTGCCAACTTAAATAATACAAGCTTCAAATACTCCATCATCCTACGTAGGATTGTGTCCATAAACTAAGAGGCTCATGTCTAATCGATTGAATTATTTTTCACTATCAGAATCATGCTATGAATGCTATTATTCTTGAACATAACAAGTCCCTTCACTATCAGGTATATCTCACATTACTTCACTTTTTATTGTATGAATTGTGTGTGTTTTTCATTGAATCATTTGGGGGATATTTTTGTGCACTGTTGTGCTACTAGAACTACTATTTATGTAGAGTTCTCGGACTTTCGAAGCTCAGCAAAGATATTGAGGCCGTAACTACGATTCTGTGACGTCACACTAGTAGATGAAACTCGGCCGCGGTTTAACACGCGTTCTTATGGGAGAACGCTTGCCGCGCGATGATTTCTCGCCGATATCTCTTTCAGGGTTGATCTGACGCAAAATTTCATAAGAACCGTTTAGAAAGAAGATGAAATTTCACTTTAGAAAACTAACTAGTTCATTTGTGACATTGTCTAAATATCGAGGAAATGAATGCGTAATACCGAAAATCGTTACTCCACTCAGATTCAAACGGGCCGCTCGCGCAACTTCGGCCGATCGAGAGCCACTCTGATTGGTCCACGCAGCGACTGCCTCACTCATCGATGCACTGATGACCCGGAGATGCTTGTTGTTTTCGGTAAATATCTACTAGCTTGACGTCACAGAACTGACTAGTTACGGCCTCTCCATTCTCGTAGGCAACGGCTCAGCAAAGATACCTCACTTTCACAATGAACCTGAAGGCAAGAATGAAGGTGGCAAAGGATTTCATGTGGAGCAAAAATATACATGACACCAATTTATTTTCTTCTCCACCCTTGAAAATTAAACCCTTGTGAAGGTCTTTCAGTGATTATTTAGATATGTAAACCTCCTCTTCCCTTTCAATGTCATTTTTTACGATCAGCCATTTTTAAAACTGGTTACCAAATTTTCAGAAACATTATAACACCTTAAGATGTAAAAAAGACCCAAGCTCTCCATTGCTGCAGACGTGTCACTTCGAATGAATATTTAGATTGCATTTTGCAAAGTTGAATCAAGAGCATTCCATTGTCGCTAAGACTGTGCAACTTTTTTACCCTGCAAATATAAACTGCTCATCTAGACAAGTTTTATCTTTACTCCCAATAAACTATGAATGCTAAACGAAAATTATCTTTGTAAATTTAAATTTTTGCATGATTCCAGTCGTTTTATTGCAAAGAATGTATAAATAAGTTGCACAATCCTAGCAACATTAAAATGCTCTATGGTTCCTTTTTGCAAAATGTATTATACCATTCAAAGAAAATTATGAAAAATAGATTTAAAATGGATCGCGTTTTGCAAAAAGGGGACCAACGCAATTACAGTGTTTTCAAAATCGAGCAAATTCTTCTGTTCTTTTAAAAATACTCAATATATGCACAGTTTTCAAATTTACACAATTATTTTTCTTTAAAGTAAACAATTTTTTGGTGGGAAGAAAAAACCATTTGCTTTTCTGGGAGATTTTTTAGAAAATTATGAAGAAGCAACGTTGCTACACTGTAATCACGCTGGTTCCTTTTTGCTAAGTGCGAACCAAGTATTTTCTGGTCCACTGGGATTGGACCACTTTAATTTACTTTACATTAAGTTAGTTTTTTCTGTGTTTTAGTGATCCACAGAAACTACTAAAATCAACACGACTGAAAGGAAAAAACTCTCCTCACTACAATGTTGGGAAAATTAGACCAAGAATTAAGGAATAAAGCTACAGGCACTAAACAACTCTCCCGCAAGAAGGCTGCAGAAGTCAGGAAGATCATGAGAAAAGAAATACTGAGAAAAATTAAATCAGGCTGTAATCTAAGCCAGGAATTCCCCGGCTGCGAGGGAGCAACTCCAATTCACTTCGCGGCTATGTGGAAGGACCTTCCTCTGATTCAAGCAATAGTCCAGTCAGGAGTGGACATAAACTTAAGATCACACAATGAAGAAGTAACCCCATTAGAAGTGTCAATGGCCCTTGATGATTTAAGTTTTACGAATAGTTTGTTGAACATGGGTGCAGACATTAATTCCAGGAATTCGCGAGGGGACTCAGTCCTGCATGCTGCAGCTGAAGGTGGAACCGCTCGCATAGCTTCGTTTTTAATTAGCAAAGGACTTGATGTTAATGTACAGAACTTTCAAGGAGAAACACCTTTGCACTTAGCAGCTAAATTTAATAACGCTAGTGTTGCAAAAGTACTGTTAGCAAAGGGCGCAAATGTCAATGCTGGTGCACATGTCATTTCAGATTACAGTGAGTTTGGCATGAAGAGGTCAGAAACTAAGGTTGATATTGGATCAAATATTACACCATTGTACTGGGCCGCATCCTGTAGAGCTGATGATGTTGCCAAGATTCTTATCGAAGCAGGTGCAGACGTTAATGCGCAATCTAGCTTAAAATATACACCATTGCATAATGCAGCACAAAGTGGGTCTATGCCAACACTGCAAATGCTTCTGAAGGCCAATGCAAATGTTAATGTTAAGAGCACCCAAACAGGGCGGACACCGCTGCATCTTGCAGCACAAAATGGCGAAACTAAGGCTGTTGAAGCTCTACTAAACATCGAAGGAATTGAAATCAACCCAGTTGCAAATGGAGGAGATACTCCCCTTATGCTAGCAATTTTAAAGAACCATTTGGATATTGTCAAGCTTCTCATTGGAAAAGGCACTCACATTGATGATCTCGGTGGTCACCCGTACTTCCATACTCCACTTCAAGAAGCTTTTCTTCACGATAAGGGGGATATTGCAGAGTGGTTGATTAAAAATGGTGCTGATGTCAAAGCCAAAGGTTGTTGTGCTGCCTCTTTCAAGCCCTTGCATGAAGCAGTCGAAAATGAGTGGGTCGGCGTAGTAGAGTGCCTGGCTCCCAAAATTAATGTGAATTCAAGATCATCTAGTGGTGGAACTCCCTTACTCAAGGCAGTCCTCCAGGGCCATCGCCGTATTGTAGAAATCCTGCTACGAAATGGAGCAAATCCTAATAAAACAGACGATAAGAATCGAACTCCACTCTTCGTTGCAGCCGTCGGAAATCAGGACAAAATTATCGAGCTCCTCGTAGAGCATGGTGGTCATGTAAATACAGTTTGTGGGGATGGCAAAAAGACTCCTTTATTCTATGCAACTTCCACAAATAATATGTCTCTAGCCTTGTTACTCTTGCGTCTTGGAGCTGATGCAAATGTACAAAACTCCAAAGGTTTGACACCACTACACAGTGCTGTAGGGAGAGAAAATTACGAAATGGTGAAATTGCTCTTGAGATACAATGCAGATCCCAACATCAGAGAAAGTGAAAAAGGTAATACACCATTTTATGTCGCCGTTAAATCTAAATGTCTAGATTTAGTAGAGTTATTGTTGGATTACGGTGCTGATGCGAACGCTGCCAATAAAAATGGTATCTTGCCCATACATGTGGCGGCCCATGCTTTAGATAAGGACTTGGTGAAAATTTTGCTTAGTCATGGAGCTTATTACAATGCAGAATCAAAGGGCAGCAGTACTCCCTTAAAGTTTGCTATGGTAGCGAAAGATGCAAAACTGATAACAATGTTGGAGTTAAACAACAAACTGTTCAGTGCGATAGCCAGGAACGACTCATACCAAATAGAGTGTTGTGTTCAGGCAGGTGCCATCTTAAATGCTAGGAATATAGACGGTGTGACTGCTCTCTACATGGCTGTGCACAGTGGTAATAGTAATATCGTCAACTTAATGTTGAAACACAAAGCCAATGTAGAATTAGGAACCAACAAAGGCAATCCTTTGCTCATTGCTGTAGCTAGTGGCAATGAGGACCTTATTCATATGCTTTTGAAACATGTGAACAAACTTGAACCAATCAAAAACAATAGAATCATAAACGCCACAACATCACAAGGATCATCAGCGGTGCAAATAGCAACAGAACTCAATAATATGCAAGTCGTCCAACTTTTATTGCAAAACGGAGCCATTTTCAACATCCAAGATAAAAATAACAAGACGCCCTTATCCTCAGCAAAAGATAAGAGCATTGAAGATTTATTTAAGTCTCTTGAAAGTCTTTTTGAAATAGTGAAAGACTGCTCGGACTCAGTGGAAGAAATTTCAAGAATTTTGAAAAAAAATAAGTCTGTTTTGAACGCTAGAGATGTTTCTGGAGGTGGTACGTTATTATACTGGTCAATTTCAAAAGACCTTGCAGCGATTGCTAAGTTTCTTTTGAAACAAGGTGCTGACTACTGTTTAGTAACAAACAAAGGGACATCTCCATTACACATAGCTGCCTCCAAGGGAAACCTGGAAGTGGTCAAAGCCATCGTTGCCAACGCAATTGGTTCAAGTCCTGGAGCAGCGAGAGGTATTGTCAATGCAGTCACAGTTAATGGTACAGCACCTTTACATGTCGCTTCAAACAAAAGAATTGTCTCGTGTCTTTTGCAGACTGGAGCCATTTACAACATCCGCAACAGGGAAAATAAAACAGCACTAGAAATAACGCAAGATGAAGACACAAAGAAATTACTCCAAACGACTCATCAAATTTTCGTAAGTATGAAAACTGGCGACTTTCAAGTCATGAACATTCTCAATGGCCTCAAACCGGATGATTTGAATGCTGTTATTGGTGCAAGAAACGCTGAAAGTCAAACTCTGCTGCAAGTGGCAGAGGCCAATGGGCACAAAAAAATTGCTAGAAGACTAGAACAAAAAATTAAGGGTCTTAAGGCTTGAAAATGCGTCAAGAATTGGATATTTATTCAGTTTCTAGGCATCAAGTTCAGCCAGCACCTCTTATTTTATTATTTATATCCTATGTATGTTCTGTGAACATATAATTCTGTTTGAAATAATAGTACATAGTTCCAGCAAAAGCTTTCAATTCATTGAAATACTTTATAAAGTAATCTATCTTATGGTCGGACCGTGGCCCCTCTATCATTCAAAATCACATTAAATAGGCTTCAAAACAAGGCAAACTTCAAGATTTAATGATTTCTTAAAAAATGCCTTGAACCTGCACATGTTGATTTCTGGAGTCACTCGGACCTAGAAGAAAAAAGAAAAAATCAAAAAAAAAAAAAAAAATCAAGACTTTGCAATAGAAAAGTATTCTTGTTTCATTCAACATTCAACTCTCTTGTTGAAAACGATAATTTTTCAGTAGGTATCCAAATGTTCAATTCTGTGTTTTTTGCCTTTGAATTTTTGTATCAGTTCGCTCTGATAAGTGTTCCGAGACGGTCGTCTCACAAAAAGTGGCTCTCTTATCTAACCCATTAATCAACGCTGTGCTTAAGTAAGCGAGTGACTGTGTGATATGCCGGGCGGTGGCAGGGCCCCCCTCCACCAACCTGGCCCTCCGCGGCAGAGTGCTCCTACTGCTAAGATAACCGCGCCAGCTACAGCGAAAAAGGAACACTTCGACCTTTTTGGCCCAGGTGTCACCCAGGAACAAAGGAACCAAGTGCTTCAAAGCTCAATCGAAGAGTCGTTTAGAAAAGCCCGGGAGTCATTTTCCTCAATGATTACTCAAAACAAATTTGATATCCTCACAGAAGAAACCGATAAGGAAAAATACAATTTTAAGCCACCTCCTATTTTTATACAAATAGGAATACAATGTGCGGACCATACTGTGTTAATTGACTTACTAAAATCTTTGAACATTTGTGCTCCAGACTTTCTAATCCAACTTGTGAACAAATCACAGATTAAATTAACTCTCTTAAAAAATGAACACTATGATCAAGTGATAACTTTCCTACGTGGAAAATCGTTAGAATTCTACTCATATCAAAAACCCCAAGATCGACCTTATCGCGTTGTGTTGCGTGGATTACCCATCAATACCTCTGAGTTACAAATTGCAGAATTTCTCAAAACGCATGGACATGAACCTGTGCGCATACACCTTTTAAGACACTGGAAAACAAAAGAACCTATCCCCATTCGTGAAATCGATTTAAAAAAAGCTCCCTCCAATAAATTTGTAATGAACATTAAATCATTCTACTGTGAAAACCAACATTTCAAAATCTCTTTTGAATCACCTCGCCCTAAAAAGCATGTAATCCAATGTTTAAACTGCCAGAAATATGGGCATTCACGAAACTTCTGTGCTCGTAAACCAGCCTGCGTTAAATGCGGTCAATCGCACAAATCAGATCTGTGTGACAAACCTAAAGAAGCCCCCCCCACCTGTGCTCTATGCGGTATCACTGGACATACCGCAAACTTCAAAGGATGCTCCATTTATCAAGCGATTCGAAAAAAACGCCTCGCAGAAAGCAAAACAGCTTTCATCAACCACCAACCCATTTCGCAAGTACAAATCGGCCTTAATTCAAAACCAAATAATGCTACCAGGACATACGCTTCCGTAACAGCTGCATCTAGAGGAGAAAACAATATCACCTATTCATCAGATGTTATCAATCTCTTACTACAATCCCAATCTCAAATTAATCAATTAATTAATCAAATTTCTAATCTTTGTTCTCTCATAACTAAATTACTCATGGCGCACGTTCACCCTTAATTGCCTGTTCCCTCTTTTCAATATTCTTGTCATTTCTAGAAATTTTGGCTCCTGTCGCTTGCGCTTGGCTGGGGGGTATCCCGTCGCGCGTGGGTGCGGTGCCCCTCCCGTCGGCGGGGGGCCTCTCCCCCTTTGCTTGGTGACAGTCAGTGCAGGTGCGTTAGCGCCTGCCGCGCAAAAGTAGTCAGGGTGACGGCCGGCTGTCGTCCGGGCTCTGGGGGTTGGGGGTCCCTGGCTGTATGGATTGGGGGCTCGTCTTTCTCCCTGCGTGCGGGGGGTTGCGCTCTCGGCTGGGCGTGGGCTTCAGGAGTCATTTTTGTGAGACTTAGGTCTCTATTTTCTATGAATAATTAACTACTCTGTCGTTAATTTTTACTCTTTTAATTACTAGTAGAAGAAATGAATGTAATATCCATTGTGATAGTTTTCAATAAATTTATTAGAAAAAAAAAAAAAAAAAAAAATTTTTGTATCGATTTTCTAAACTCTCAACTGCAAGCTATTTACTTTAGACCTATTTCCTGTAGTATACAAATATGTTTTTATCATCCCGACCGGGCCGTGAGATAAATCACCTTGAATCTTATCTTGCAAAAATACTAGGTAATAAGCAGAATATTTGATGATGCAAGATATTGTATTTTCTTGTCAGATTTTATTTTTATGAAATGGACGAATGAATTATGCTCACAAGAAAGGACTGATTCAGAATTTTTATTAACTGTGTACGATTTTTTTCAACCCTATTTAGAAAACTCAAAAAATGTTAAACTGTTGTATTTTAAAGATTTTTTTTTACTATGATTATTATTATTCATAATATTTTTTATTATTTATTATTATCATGTATTTATTTTATTGAAAATTGTAAATGCAGCGTTGTCAGAATCTCTTCCTCGGTAAAGAATTGTGATGTGACTGCAATGAAAATTGTTGTTTGTTGATATACCATCAGGTCTTGACTCAAGCTTCTCATATTTCCTTTCAAAGCCATACATTTTCCAAAGTTAGTTGAACATTTTTACTAAAAGTTGTGGTGAATTTTTAAAGAACGCCAAAAGATCTGCTGTTTTGTTCTTACATTGAAATTTAATAAAAGAATCAATGCAGCGGATCTTCCATCACACTTGAAATGTCAGCCAATTTATTTGGTGTGATCTCCAGGAACTATTTCTTTTGTTTTGTTAATATTCCGTTAACAGGCGTAACTTTCAGGGCATCTTCAGTTGTTACCGGACCATGTAAATAAGAACTCAAACAAAGGTGCTTAGGATACTTAAATACGCTAATAATAACGTGATATTGTTCAATTTATTTTTTGGAATTTGAAATGAAAAATATTTTTTTGATAGGCTGGTTCTGATGGCATTTTAACCAATCATGCTCCAATTTTAAAACTGAATTGTAAGGAAGTAAGAAACATAAGCTTATCCGTAGAAAATCGACCCCTCTGCAACTTTCATTTTGAACCACTTTAATGATACAGTGTAGCTTTATTGAATTGTAATCTGTGTAGTTTAAGAATTTTTACAGAGGGCCAATAGGTGGATGGACATATAGTTTGACATCTCCAACTTTTTGATTGGTCGAAGAGTTTTAAGATTTTGATGTCTTTAAAGATGCCCAAGTGGGTCATCTAAGAAGTGCATGCGTCTTCCAATATCCAAAATCAATCTCTCGGCTGAAATAAGATTTCTTTAGTGGGCCTTTTCCTTGTAGGAATTAATGTCTTGTTCCTTTTGCAGTATTTTTCACAGCATCTAACCAGTAACTTTCTCAGAGTTCCCTTGAGTTCCCTTTTGTGTAACTTGTCACATATTCATTTTTTTTTCTTTGTCTCAAAAAGAGGTATTTTTTTTACTATAAGAATACTCTAAACTCTTTCTCATGTTTCGTTTTAGTATACAGGAGTAACTCTCTATTCATAACTTTAATGCCCTGTCATTTTGAATGCCATGGAAACCTTTTGGTGTATTTTTTTGTATTATGTCGTGAATGCAGTTTTAATGAATGTTTTTTTTCTCGACATGACATCATCGTCTTTTTCAATGATTTGTGTAATTTTTTTCTTTTCTTGCATGTTTTTATTCTTGATTTTTGTTTCGTTTGCTCTCAAGTATATCAATTCCATTTTCACCCATTAAGTTTTTTTTTTTTATTTTCTTCCTTTGCCTATCCATCTCTAAGTGCAATCGCAAAGCGGCACAAATCTCATGTGAGGCTACGAAAAGATTCAACTTAAATAAAGAGTCTTAAATTTTCTCACAACCTAATTTTTTTTAAAAAAAACTATTGATATTTCTTGACATTAGGTAGGTATAAGAGAATATTTTTAAAGGAGCAAAACAAATTTACACAAAATTCTTTACAACATTTTCGATTGACTATCCTTTCAAAGCAAGTTTGTCAGATTTTGCAATTAAATTAGAATATTTACATGGATTTAAATGAAGATAAATGCTAATTTTTCAGCACTACCTGACAGAATAGTTTCCATGAGTTGAATGTGATCAGAAATGTGCAATGACAGAAACCAAGTTATGTGTTTTTGCAGTTTCACCTCACCTGTTACGTAGGCGTTGAAAGTTGAATGAATACTTTTCCTGAAATATTTTTCTTTGCTTTGTTTTCCTGCAAATATTAAAATGAGAATTATTGACATCGCCCTTGAAATCTTATGTTACAGTTCATCATGTACCTGAAATTTTACGGGAAAATTTCATTAAATTCCACCGTAAAATTTCAAATCCTTATTTTTCTTGAAATTTTCTTTCTTAGGAAAAAGCGTAACAATTGCCACCCTGACACACATATGGACAATTAGTGCACAAAGAGGTTAAAGAAATACCTCCTTCCATACATTTTGTCAAGTATGATGGAATAAATTCGGTAGTGACGCTGAAGTGCTGAAGATACTCATATTATCTTGATCAAAGTGATTCAAAATTTCTGCTCCCTCTGTAGTACATCATTTTTCCTTGAGAGTATTTAATGAATTTGGTCCGAAATGTTCAGAGACTATCCTCTCAAAGATAAAGAAAAATCCCAAGTTTTATGCACCAACTATAAAGTATCCTCTTCAACAATATGTTGTGAAATGAAAAGTTGTCCAAACCGAGATATCGATGACCAAATGAGAAAAATTAGTATTCCAATGGTAACATTTGAAAATCTCCGATCACCTAATAGTTGTAATCACCTGAAAGGAATATTAATGACAATTCTTTTTGCAAAACTTGCATTTTTGTGTGATTTTGCAGAGAATGGAAAAAATTCGCAGATTATTTCAGTAGAAATTACAGGTTAATTTTCCTCTCAAGGTCTACGAAACGCATTTTTTATTCAGTCATCGATATTTTGGCTCATGGTCTCACCATTCATAGGTACTCCATGTGTCTACTACCAGAAGGATAATAATGTACATAAATTAGCTCTGTGCGAAATTGATGGATCAAATCTGAATCAATGATAAGCTTTTATAGAACATTGCCCTTGACTTGCTCAAATGAAACACCTCCTCAGCACGATTGATCAAAAAATCGGTCCTCGTGGGCAGGGGGGGAGGTTAGACGCTCGACCGTCGCAGGCCCGACATTTTAAATTTAGCGCTTTCAATATACGTATGACTGCTCTCTAGCGGTTGGGAGGGTAAACTTTATCACTAATTTGTTTGTTTTGAATCTCTGCTCAAGTGCTCCAATCCAAGAAAAGTAAGTAGCCGACCATTCAACGAAGAAAGTTTTTAGCCGGCATATGTAGTATTAGGTGTCAATTCTTTCCCTCGAATTTGAAAATTTCAAACTCTTGATTACATATTACATCTTCCCGTCAGATCTGTGCATTATATCTTGGTGCTCTTCAGGTACGAATATCTTCTTCGAAGAGACTGATCTGCTATACTGTTGCACTTTTTACTACTTATTTCAATCCATTATTGATAAGCCATCATTTTTCCCTCCAACATCATTATCAACCTGGAATTTTGGATTTTTACCATACACTTTCATTTAATTTTATAAGGTTTTACTCGATAAAACAACCTTAAAACCATGTGTCAAATGCGCTCTGTGCTTAAAGTGAAAGTGAATCTACAACGGAGGTAAACATCAAGGTATCCAACAGATTTTGCCCAATTTAGTACCTCGGGGCTTCGCTTAAGTTTTCGGCCAGACACGGGCTCATCACCTAAAGAGTTACAGGTTAACTGTTCCTCTCACAAATATAAACCTTACCGTAGAGATGTAAGCATGCAAAGTAAAATATTAGTAAATTTGAACGATAAATTCTCTCATTCAGACAACTCCAGGTTTTATGAGAGAGTAATAATCAGCTGAAATATGCATCCATGCATGACAAATTGATTTTTCTTTCAATCTTGAAGTACCTAATGTCAGTATTTTTGCAAAGTATGAAAAACGATTGATACCTAGGTATCTTGATGTTTGTTCACTTCTGCTATAGGTTCACCTCAGTCTCAGGTAACTACAACTGAGGCATAGAGAAAAAAAGGAGGTGTTTGCATCTTGAGGTTTGTTTACCCTGTGACGTAGGTCGGTACAACCTGGCCAGAGAAATCCGGAATTCGAAGTATGAAAAACGAACCATAATGTCCCATTTTTTTTGCTTAAATCAACTCATGATATAATTTCAAGCACTTTTTATGGCTAGACTTTTTTCCATAAATTACACCATTTCTGAGAAAATTGATGATAAAAGTCGCTGTACCGACCTATGTCATCAAAAAAATCCAAGATGCCCGAAATGCAAACACCTCCTTTTTTTTCTCTATGCAACTGAGGTCAGATTGTACCAACTGCTAATTTCAAAGATATTTACACATCTTCTTTTCTTTGACTCAATCAGAATCAAGGGCAACCATGAAACTTGGCGATATCTTTCCAAACTTCGAGGCCGAAACCACCGATGGTCCTATCACATTTCACGAGTGGCTGGGTGATTCGTAAGTTGCTTTTATTATATAGGTTGAATATCGATTGTTTCCCTTGGGGAACTGGAGAAGAAGAATGGGTGCAATGTTATGCAATCAATGTGGAGGACTGATGGAGATTTGCCCTTTGTCTCAAAAATGAACCATCTGAATGTATTTTGTAGAAATCAGGGAAATTGACTGTAATTGTTATGACACTCGATGAGCTGAAATTGCTCTGCCTGCGAGTCTAAAAGGCCTAAAAGTTATCAAAAGTTTACCGAGTAAGCTTTTTTTCTTGCTCTCAATTTGGTCTTGATTTTTACTAAAAATCTGCAGAACTTTTTTAGCAGAGCATAAGGGAAGGGAAAGACTTCAAAAAAGCAAGAAATTCATGTCGTATTGTAATCAAATGATCCTTTGAGGTTCTTTTTATGGGCATTCTAAAATATTAAAATCTTTGATGTTTGAATGAACTTAGTTTTCTGAAAGAAAAAAATCCTCAGAAATCATTCTTTTTCTTTTTAGATGGGGCATTCTTTTTTCACACCCGGCAGACTTTACTCCTGTCTGCACAACTGAGCTGGCTAGAGCCGCCACCTTGCATCCAGAATTTGCCAAAAGAAAGGTCAAGCTAATCGCGTTATCGTGTGATGCTGTATCCACTCACAAGTCATGGATAAAGGTAAGTTAGCCTCTTTTCTTGCAGGTCGGCTAACAGTTTCAAAATGCAGGCCGTATGCCGCATTCTGCTGTTTTTGCCTCCCAACAAAATTCCAAAGCCTCAAGGCAAAATGTCCGATTTGCTTCATTCTTTTTAAAGTGACGAGCAAAGGAAGAAAAAGACCATTTCATAAAAGGGACTAAAAATTGTAATTTCCAAGTCAGAAGCGCAAAGCCATTGCATTATAATAAGTTTTCAAAAGCTTAAAAATTGATTTTTGGCACATTAACTCAATGAAATTCCTTCTCCTGAAAGAATTTTCGGCCTAACTTGAGCAAAGATCGCTCTCCTGGAAAGGGTGCTAAGGTACCTTCTGCTGTACATGGAGGCAATTTACTAAAGGATTTTCTAGTTTCACGGTTGGATTACAATATCTGACATAAAATCAATCTTAAAATTGCTATTTAAACTAATTCCCCTTTTTACTTTGGGTATCAGGACATCAAGGCTTATGGTAACCTACCACATGAAGGAAACTTTCCGTTCCCGATCATTGACGACGTCTCTCGCAAATTGGCAGTGGATCTTAACATGCTGGACCCTGATGAGAAGAGCAAAGATGGCCTACCGTTGACCTGCAGAGCTGTTTTTGTCATTGATCCTCGAAAGAAATTGAGAGCTAGTATACTATATCCTGCATCCTCCGGTCGAAACTTTGAGTAAGCTCTACCATTTTGTTTTTGCGGATTTTGATGGAAAGTACCATCTGCCAAGACAGTTTATGTCCTCTTTATTCTAATAAAATCATTTTTAAGACGCTTGATGGATGGGGTGAGGATGGGGAGTAAGACGGTCGATGGGCAGGTGTGAGGAAGAGGAGTTCAAAGGTCATAGTTTTAATAGAGTGGGGTTTTACTCTTAGAGGCCTTTGTTTAGTCATGGACAGCTATATGTGGCCCTGTCAAGGTCGACTTCCAAAAAGGGCAAACGGCAAAAGTCAACGGGCAATTTCGACGATCTCCCTGGCTGCAAAGCAGCTTTTGGGGACGCGCAGCGCCCTAGGGGATGGGCCGCGTAGCGGCCAGGGGGCAGAGCCCCCTAGTGGTTGATTAAAAATGGAAAGATGTATTAGACTTAAAACACTGATCCTTATCTGAATCGTATTTAGCAAAAAGGAACCAGTGTGATTACAGTGTTTTTAAAATGGTGCAAATTCTTTTCTTTTAAAAATACTAAATATATGTACAGTATTAAAATTAACACAATTATTTCCCTTTAAAATTAACAATTTTTTGATGGGATGCAAAAACTATTTGCTATTTTGTGATATGTTTTAGATAATTATGAAGAGGCAACATTTTAACAACACTGTAATTGCGCTGGTTCCTTTTTGCTAAATGCGATTCATCTAATACTTGAGTATTTTTTCAAATTTTTTGCTACCACCCTAATTAGGATTCGCTCAACCTTCGCAACAATCTGCAGACTGCAAGAACGGTCATTTTCCGTATCTCTAAAAAATTCTTTATTTTACGCACATTGTCAAATCTGCTCTCATTTCTTGCAGATTTCCTTAATCTTATTGTAGCAAATAACCTTTAAAACACAGTTTCAACTTTCATGTGGAAGGAAATTTAAATTAATGAACAGTTGTTTTTGTTTAATTACCAATTATGTTTCATTTTTTTACAGCGAGATTCTGAGGCTAGTTGACTCCTTGCAATTAACGGACCGCCATCAGGTAGCGACTCCAGCTGATTGGAAGGTGAGTTGAATATGCTCTACAGCTTCAGTTCAGGAAATAAGTTTTTTCTATACTTTTAATGAACTTTTTTTTTTTTTTGGTCCTGAACAGAAAATTCTATCGCTAATGTTTTGATTGAAAATGCTCTCTAGTGTTTGAAAGTTTATGTTACAAGCAATTTAATTCACTTTTGTGCTACTGGAAGGAGTAAAGTTGTGCTCTAATTTAATAATTATGAGCTGTGCCTTGGCAGAATAAATTTTTGTTCGCTTCAATTTTCAACTCTTCTTCTTTCTTTGAATGGGGCACAAATCCTTTTCATCCAGACACTATTGTATCAGGCATGTGTAGAAGGAATAAGATGGATAAAAATTTATAAAAGTCAGTCATTTTTTTCCACTTCTGAAAAATGTATTCTGCGGCCTAAGTCACATTGTAAATCCGGCTACTTTTCTAAAAACTTATCTTCAGAGGCCAGAACGGTTAATATTGTTTTAATTTTTTCCTTAAAAATGTTGCTTTTACTTGTATGAAATTTCTGGGGATCAATAGTGATGATGAAAAATACATCAGGTAAAAATTTCGAGTGATTCTGATCGTTAGTTTTTCTGCAGAAAATCAAAAAGTTTGAGACGTTTAACAAACGGCGCTTGTGATGCTGTGGCTGGAAGGTGACAAAATAGATCTCAAGGCATAATTTTTGCCAAAATTTAAAGTGTAGCCATTGATCTAGCAAAGTTTCTTCGATATATCTACATTTTTTTTTGCCTTGGGTGCAGATCCACCATAATCATATTGATTTTGTTATTTCAGAATGGATTCAAGTGTGTTATTCAACCAACAGTCAGTGATGAAGATGCAAAAAATGTCTATAATTATGATTTTGACACCTACCCCTTACCATCCAACAAAGGATATCTGAGAATGGTGAGACAACCTGAATAGGTAGGCAGGAGTTAAAATAAAAATATTCACTTAATTTTTTTCTTTCTTGTTATTTGCAATGCAGTCATGTGTAAGGTCACCGCTACAGTACAGAAATCATATGATTTCTTAGGACTTTTGAACCAACTTATAAATTAAAATAAAACAACGAATTTGAATTTTCATGGAAGGAAAATGTTTAAATCATGTCAAAAGTTATCGATTTAAATCCTTGAATTTTCCTTAAAGCGTATTTTCGTTGTTGATTGGCTGAATATGAGCGCTGAATGGTGGCTAGCATAATCGTGCGGGGAAAGATTTGAGGTTAGGTTTTTGAAATTGATGCTTGTTGGATGCCATCTTCTGCATCGGGTCATTTCTCAATCCTACGTGTTTTAGAATTTACTTTTAGCTCCAATGTTTGCCAGAACTCCATCTTCTATCCGTTTGGTGAGTCCTGATTTGGTCCTGAAAAATTATGATCGCATCAAAGAAAGATACAAAATCTTATGATCTACCCATTTCGGCTTGACCGATCCACAACAAAAATACGCTTTTAATGATCTATGCCATTTTTGTAAAACTGAGTACCTAGTTGGAACAATTTTGCTTTTAAATGATAATGATAATTCAGATTTAAATTACATATTGATATTTTATTTTTGCAACACTTACGACCTTGATGTTGAAGTAAGTTTTCGTATCCTAAATCCTTTATTTTCTTACTCTAGCTTACTTTTCAATTCTTTTTTCTACCATAAAAATTTTAAAAAGTAGGGTATGACAGGAACTTTAGAGAACGATTCTTTAGACCGAAATAAAACTATTTTGTTCTATGACCAATTTGTGATTGAGCCATTTTAAGGAGGACTATATTTTTAGAGGAACTTTTTTGAAAAAACTTGAAGGTGTCATATCACTTACTTAAAATGATTTCAAAGAAAAAATTTTAAGGGACAAAAAACAAGCCCTCTTTACATCTGAAGAATCGCTCTTTCAAGTCTCTTTCACTCGACTCAGGCACTCAGCATAGAGTAGTAACATGTCATGTACTCCGTTTTTCATGGTGCCATTCACATAACTTTATTATCAATAAGCATTTGTTATTTTTTTTTTTCACTTTCCTATATCTATTTTTTCTTTTTGCGTTTTGTAAATTTATGCATTATGTGCTGGAATTTCTGTTATAAAATTTTACAGTACAAAAATTTGATGTTGTGGTGTAATTTTAAGTTATTGGAGGCATTTATTTTCGTGCATTTACTTGTTAATATTTTTCAATTCTACTTCTGAAACTCAATAAAATGTTTTTTAAAGTTTACGTCCTTTTGTTTAAATGTGCACAATTTACATTTAATTTTTAGGAGCAACTGCAATAAACAGCATTTGAACCTAGACAGTCGATAAAGTTCAACGAAAATAGTACAAGAAAACTTGGAAAATGTTTAAATTGGGTGATTCATTGTTGAGTAAGACCTGAAAGAACTCCTTTGAAGAGTCTATTATGAAAAGGAAAAGAACGTTGACAGCTTTTGACTTAGATAAGTTGCACCTTTATTAAAACTCTGATTCGTTCAACAAATTACAACACATCGCACACGAAGACTCGCTGATAGGATCACTAGAAAACAAACTGCATTCACTTAAACTAAACGTATCTATAAATGAACTCTGGTCTTGAGAGCTGTTTTGTGCTGCTGCTGTCATGCCTGAGGTTTCTGGTAGGAAAATCTCAAGAACATCTCTGGTGTAGGCTGGCGTAACTTTTTCCGGCATCAAAGAGGATATCACTTCTTCTGCCCCTAGGGCGGTGAATCCTGAAGTGGAGGGTGCAGCACACCCCAAATCAGAGTGTTTTTCCAAGTTGGGAAGTATTTTTTCACCACTTTCAGGCAAAGGGAAGGTAGAGTCCCCAAGGGTCAAGTTACTTGCAGTTGGTGTAAAATCCCCGAAGGTATTTGCTGGTTCCTCACTCGATGTGTTATCGAGAACCAGGTACGAGTTAGTAACGGTCAAGAAGCTATCTGCTGGGGCCGAATTGATGTTATTATTGTTATTGTCGCTCTCAAAGTTGAAATTGGTAATGTTTTGGCTAGGATTCCCCAAATTAGTTGTCTCATCGCAGTCTTGGCAGTTATTGTGAAGAGCATTACAGAGACACGGCTCACATTTGCAGATATTCGCGTCTGCAGTGATTTTCTTTAGCGTGAGTTTGTTGTCAGTTGACAAGGTTTTTGGCTCTGGTGAGGGTAACTTCCAGTCTACATCTACAACTTCAGGGTTAATTACGATGTTTGGTAATGGAGCTACGTCCACCCAAGAATTCTGTGGTAAACTGACAGGAGCGAACGACTCCACAATTTTTGGTACTCCGAAACTTCCGGAATTGCCGCTGAGAGTCTCCCTGACATCGCTCAACATAGCACTGAAACTTTGAATACTGTTGTCGGTTTTCAGAGGGTCGGCTGTGAAGTCAAAGTTGGCCGGAGGAACTGATGAGGAGCTGGATGGGTTGAAGCTGCAGTTGACATAAACTGTGTTTTGAGGTGCGGGAGGGAACATTCCTCCACTGATTTCGGTTTTAGCTTCATCTTTGTTTGACACTGAAAAATGACTGTTGATGTTTTCGGAAAATGTGTTCGCAAGAGCCGAGAAGAAAGAAAAGTCTGTACTTTCACTCTCTTTCTGCTTTACATCTTGAACTGTTGATGTCTGCAGAGCGTGATGACTAATTTCATTAACATTCTGAACTTCAATACTCTTTGAATCCGAATTGTTTCCTGAAAATATGAAGAGGGTTTAAGTAAATAGAACTGCAGTTTCCTAATGCTTTTTTCACTTAATGTTCAGCTGCCATTGAACATGGTTCAATGATATTATGTTAAAACAGAAATTAAAAAATCTCAAAGAATTGTGAGTGCTACCAATTGGAGGTATCAAGACCTTTTAGGCAGGTTACAAGAGAAAATTTACGATACATTTTTTGCAGTCAGTATTTGACAGGTGTAAAACCAGTGATATTGACTGTGAAAAAAAACCTGGGACACTCAGTTTAAAAGTTTTAATGAGGTCACAGATGTTATTTGACCTTTCTGAGGTCTTTATGACGGTGCAAAGGAAAGGCCAATCATTCCAGCGCTTGAAAATAAAAATGTTATAGGACATGAAGTTCACAGTCTTTCAAGCACAAGATAATTTGCTTCATCAAAGACTTAAAAATAGAATTCAAATACTCCTATTTCCCAGAATTTTTCATTGTGTTACAAATTCTGTATGAAACAAAAAAAATCAAACTGATAAATCCTGTTGATAATCCTCGGTAAAAAGTATAACAGCAGCCTGATAGTTGAAATTTCGTGTTTGTCAGGTAAACATAGATGACATAGGTTAAAAGGTGGATCATGATTGGTCGGCTAAATCTTATCGCTGCTTTATCGTGCCTTTGTCAAGTGGAATGGACAACATACTGTCTGAAACTTAGGAGGTGCCGTTAGCTTGTCGTGAATTCCACCCGATATAGGCACAACAAAGCAGGTATAAGACATAGTCGACCAATCATGTTCCGCCTTTTAACCTATGCCATCTATGTCTACCCAACAAACACAAAATTTCAACAATCAGGCTGCAGGCATCCTCTTAATTTTTACTTCCAGCAAACAGCAATTGGATGGATTTTACGGAGATCGACCTGATTATATCAGATGTTGCCTGATTTTCTCTGATGTGACATTTTTTTGATAGAAAACTAACAATCATTGAAACTTGAAATTTTGGGATTCAGGGAAATTCATAGAGAGTTTAAAGGCGTCAAGTAGTTCAATGCTCTGTTTAAAAAAAGAAAATAAAAGAGAAAATTAGGAATTGTGAAATGCAGTTACGCCAAATCCCTTTAAATCCACCCAATGAGCTATTGCACGTATCAAGAATTTGCAATTTAAGTATAAACTCCCATGTAAAATTTTGCGAGAAACACTGTGGTGCCACTAGTTTCCTCTGAAATCTACTCCAAAGCTTAAAAAAAGTTCTTAAAGTTGAGGCAGTAATGGAGGGGATATTCCATGCTACCCTGAGAGTCCACCTCTACATCAAGACAAAATCTCTACGCAAAGATAGAGGTGGACTTAGATAGAGATGGATGGAGGTGTTTTAATAGAGAGGTGGACTCTCACTAGGTTTGGAGTTGGGATTGAGTTTTTACGGAGTGAATACGCAAGACAAAGCTGCCTCTGACAACCCATCATAAAAGCAACTTATTAAAGGGCAAACAATGACTCAGGTCTGATCAGTCGATGATGCCTTTCTATTTCAACATAATTTTCTTGAAACCTTTTTGGAAGGATAAATAATTACCTAACTTTTCCTTTCAGAGCTAGGTTCAATTAATATAATGCTTACCTTCTGATGGTTGCAAGTCCTTTGGATTATTGGCAGAGTTAGGAGCTAACGATGTTGTGCTGCTTTTCTTGCTTGTATCTATGATGGCCGGAATATTTCCTGAATTTTCATCTTTTTCATCAGTTTTCTTATATGAAGCAGAAAAAAATTCAATCTTAGAGCATAATTAATTAAAAAGTAGTAATAATAAAAGTAGTAATAATAGTTTGAAGCTTTAGATGATTGATGATTTCCATCTTCAATAAGGTTATACATTGTGATGTCCTCTTAGGTGAAATTAAAAATTGCAGAGACAAATAGAGATAGAGCACGTTGGATTTTCAGTGAGGCACATCTAATTCTCGGGGGTCCACCAGAACAACAGTCATGTATTTTTTGATTTCGCCTAATGTTGACTGATGCTGGCCTGCTGTTAGCATTATGACGGGTTGTTTCCATTCTTCCCAATCAATTGCAACGTGGAAAATTTTCCAATTTTTCCTTTGAAACTCTTCCAAATTGTCATAAAATGACTTATTACTAGGTAAAAAATTTATTCACCTCTTTTACTCAACATTTGTGATACTTTCGGTGGTTTCACTTTATGTAGTGAGAAGCAGATTCCTCGAGACTCTGAGCCTGGTCCTGGTTCAACTTCTTAATGGATAATTTTAGTTATCGAACTTTCTTTTGACTTTAAATGGTGTACAATTTTTTCTAGACAGTATTAATACCTTATGATCAAATTCTCAATCTATTAACCTCCATATCATGCCGCAGGATAGAGATATCAGATATCTTAGCTATCGGAGATCTGTCCAGAACCTGATCACAGCTGCACTGCCAGTCTTACAGATACACTGTAATGAAATTTGATGAAAAAAATGTACTGTCTATGTCATAAGCTGCTCATTATGATAAGTATTAATCGTGGATCAAATGTTTGATGTCTCCAACATCCTATCTCTAAGCCTGATGTACTGCGTTGAAAGCGAAGTGTTATGGCTGCGAAGCGTTGATATTTGTTGTTGAGGAGGCGTGTAAATGAAACGGTTGGATGAGCCTATAAGCAGTGCAAATTCTTTTGTGTGTGAAAAATAACTGAATGTCCAGAATTCTAAACATCTGACCGTATCTCAAGTACCCGAAGGAAATGTTGGTCAGGTCAGAGTTTGTGAATCCTTGACAGCAGTTAATGAAATTTTCCTACGTACTTAACAACTTCGCTCATCAAAGTTAGTTCGGTAAGTAAGAGACCGCTCAGATCCATCATATTATGCTTGTAAGTATTAGTCCATAACTCCATAGTGTGAAAAATCCTTGGAGGGTGAAGTGCTCATCATCTGATGGAGTTCGTGAGATTTGTTTATGAACTTTTCTTCCAGATTTTTCTCTCAATTTTACCAGAATTGTCTCTTCCACCACCATCACAAAGTATTTCAACCTTGCATTAAATGAGGAATGATGTACACGCTATCAACTTTGCCTTAGAATTCCAAAAATTGGGAGTCGTGAAACAAATAAAGTAGCTTCACCATTAACATTTGCTAGCTTAGTTGGCAGTAAAACTCTAATTAATTCGGTGAAAATAAAAGTAAATGTTTTTCTTCGCTCATTTCGATGAGAAAACACATTGAATGCATATAAATTGTGATACTGGATGCAACTAATACTACTTCCTGTAAAATTGGAAAAATGTATAACTCGAATAAAGGAAAGAGGATCTCACCAGGGTGCTCTCTTACAACTTATAGATCAAAATTCGTGATATTTCGAATTTTAAAGGTTCTTTCATCATTCAGAAATAAAGAAACTAAGTTTAGTTTGAACAGGCATCTTTCAAGAGAGAAATGTGACATCTTATTTACAGTTTTTAACTTTTTCATAATGCTTCGAATCTACCCCTTGACGAGAACAGGCGAAGATTCAAACCGTGCACTACTTATTGTTGGTTTACATTTCTCACTTACCAAACTTTAATGAGCAAAGTTGTTAAGTGCGTAGTCGAATTTCATTAACTGCTGCTAAGGATTCACAAACTCTGACCTGACCAACATTTCCTTCGGGTACTTGAGATACGGTCAGATGTTTAGAATTCTGGACATTCAGTTATTTTTCACAAACAAAAGAATTTGTACTGCTTACAGGCTTATCCAACCGATTCATATACATGGCTCCTCAAAAGACACATATCGACACTTCGCAGTCATAATGCTCCGCATTCAATGCATTACATCAGGCTTCGGGATAGGATTTTGGAAACAGAATTATTTACAGAGAATTATCTTGAAAAAATTATACACCATTTACAGTCAAAGAAGATTTCGATAACTAAAATAATTATCCATAAGGAAGTTGAACAATCTAAGGACCAGGCTGTCTCGAGGAATCTGTTTCTCACTGCATTAAGTGAAACCACCGAAAGTATCACAAATGTTGAGTAGAAGGGGTGAATTAATTATTTACTTGGTAAAAAGTCATTTTATGACAATTTCGAAGAGTTTCAAAGGAAAAATTGGAAAATGTTCCGCTTTGCAAGTGATAAGGAAGAATGTAAACAACTCGCCATATTGACAAAAGCCCACCAGATGCGACTAGCACCAGTCAACATTAGGCGAAATCAGAAAAATGATGACTGTTGTTTTGTTGAATCCGCGAGAATTAGATGTGCCTCACTAAAAACACATTGGTGGAATAGGGCATGCTCGGTCTTTATTTGTCTCTGAAAAATTGTCAAAATTAAGCGCTGAATTTAGATCATCAATTTTCAAAGCTGTGTTACACAGCTTATGTTCCATGGAAATAGAAACCACAAAAAGGAACAATTACAGTTGAAACTGTATAATTGTTCACACAGAGGAAAAAAATCAAGGTCTTCAGGATGATGGTTCAAGGTCATTTCATTTAAAAAATAAAGGATGACAGAAAGTCTATATGCTGAGATTTAAGTTACGATAGTTTCACCGTCGAAATATATAATACGGATTACGCATGTTCAAAGAGGCCAGTCAAAAATTTAACACTGAACATTAGTCGAGCAAGCCAATGGTTCTGATAAATTTGGGATCTTAGTATCTTAATTTATGGGGAGATGAAACTTACATGACTCTTCTTTAGATGGTTTTCTAGGCTGTATTTTGATCGATAGGAACGCTGACAGCTGTCGACTGCACAAGTGTACGGTTTATCAGAGACATGAGTAAATTTATGAGTTTTTAAATGATGACTAGCAGTAAATGATTTTCCACAACCTTCTTCAACACACCTGAAAATAAATTCACAGCCACATTTAGGTTCCCTAAATTTTGCTGAAAAAGTTCCAATACCAGGAGCTGAAAATTATAAATATGGAAATGTATCGCTATAGACTTCAAGAGAAGAAGAACTACTGCTTTTTCTACCATTCACAGGATCAAAATGAAAAAAAAAAAATAAAAATAATAATTAACATTTCCTTCAGATAGACTTTCCAACATTTTTAGTGACAAATGGCGAATATGCTCCAAAAAGAGAAGAAATTGAGAACTGATTTCTAAGTTCTTAATTTTCCTTTAATTCTGGATAGTGATTTTAAATGGACCACTAAAAAAGGTGTGAATTTAAGCACTATAATCATTCCCTTGACTTTAGTTGTTATGAAAACTCTCAAGGTCTAGGAAAAAATCATAAACTTTTCCAGGAAAATTCTATATGATTCTCTATTTTCCTCGACATTTTCGGAGTAAATTTTTTTGCTTGTTTCTCAGATTTTTAACTGTACAATGTATAAAGTAATTCAGCTAACCACTGCAAAAGAGACGTAGTCAGACACTGCTGAACTTGTTACTTTCCTTCGGAAAAATTAAGAATTTTCAAATCCATTGAAATGTTGATTATTGTATTATCAGGGCTTTTGGATTATCCATTAAAGTGTTTAACCAAAAATTGATGGGCGCTTGAAAATTATTTATGACTCAAAGTAAAGATAGAAAAAATTCTCAGATTGTGACTGTTTCATAGATGTTGAGTGAGGTCAAAATGCTAACCCTTGTACGGTTACGGAGTAAATTGAATGTAATTTTCTTCAATTTACCTGTAAGGTCTTTCCTGTGTGTGCACCCGTAAATGTTTTTTGAGATCACAAAATGTCGTAAAATGTTTGTCGCAGCCATTCAGGGTGCAATTGAAGGTTTCACCGTTATGAATTCTTTGATGAGCCCTGAGCCTGAAAAATGACAATTGATACAAGAAATTCAAATTAAAAAATGATTTTACACAGGGCAAACATGATTTTTACTGTTTATTAGATTTTATGGGAATTGATTTTAAAAAGGCATCTTATGAAGAAAGACTGAAATGACCTACAACAACTACAGCAAATTTATCAAGTTCAGCAGAGTTTAAGAATATTAACTGCAGACAAAAATAAGGGGAAAGAACCTGAGTTAATGTGAGTTGATATTTTTTATGAAGATTTTATCGCACCATTAGTTTTGAAGTAGCTAAAAACTGAATCAGTGAGAACGAAAACACACCAACTCGAAAATGCTCAATTTTCATTATAGACGGTCAATTTTCATCAAGGTCATTGAGTTAGCTCATCTATTCCAACTTGGACCTTTAAAGTGTCCTTAAGTATTTGTCTTTTGGCACCAAAAATCTTTTTCTTAGACTAACTTCTTCACCTACAGTGCAGTTTAGTGCAAGTCTTAATTATTCTATTTTTTCAAGTTGGTGTGTTTTTGTTCTCACTGATCCAACTATCCAGGGAGGCAGAGGGTTCTTTGGAGCAAAAATAAATTGCGATCTATGCCTTAACATCTCCTCATTCTTAAAAGCGTTCCCCACTCCTCAAAAATATTAAAAGTTGAGGAGATTTTACAACGAACAGTTGATGAAGATAATGAGATTATTTTTAACAATTCAGTATGAAGAAGCTTTAAGGATCACAATGACTGAAAACATCCTGCGAGGAATAGGAATAATGAATTTCAAAATCTGGCACGGTTAGGCTTAGAAAAGCATTTTCACTGAAAAATTTCCTCATGCACCTGTAGATTTTCTCATACCAAGTAGGTATACACCAATGATATCTGTTATTGTCCTTTTTTGCCCCATGATTTTACTGTTGTCAATGTTTCCTAAAAGCATGAAGCAAAATGGAAATTTATAGAATCCTCCTCCCAATAGAGGAGGGCACAACGCAAAACAGAGTGCGTTGATAGCGTATTGATAAAATTCAATTCAACAGTTCTATTGAAAAAAGCCCTATATGGTTACATACCTGTAGAGAGTGTTGAAAGATCTCTCACAGCCGTCATGTTCACATCCAAATGGTTTATCCTTGGTATGAACTCGAATGTGGACCTTCAAGCTGTAGGAGGTTAAGAATGCCTTACCACAAGATGACTCGGTACATTTGAATCTGTACTCACCTGTAAATTGAAGACGAAATTGAAAAATATTGTTACAGTACTTTGGGAGAAACAAAAAAACGTTTAGGCAATTAAAAGGGTTTTCAGCCTTTTCATATGTTCTCCGTGAGTTTTGAAAAGGGAGCATCTGGAAAATTTGGATTTACTGACAATGAGTTTCCTGAGGTGCTATTTTCTCCCAACAGACAGGTTCTGTCAGTAAGTTGTGCTGAAGAACATATTTTTCTTTTTTTTGGGGGGGGGAGGGAGGGGTTCCATTTGCAGATAACTTTGAGAAGGGGCCATCTACTTGGAGATAGGCCCTTCTCCAGATTAATCGGCAGTATTGATCGACTAAAATTATTGTCACAATATGTTTTCCTCTATCTCCCTGAAAATTTCTGGGCTGCTTTGATTTGCATTTCATCCCTGGTCAGACTGGGAACTGAACAGTATTTTCAACCTGCAAAATCAACTAAGACTATTGTTGCCTTTTTTCGTTAAACTTGTTGTCATAACAGTGCGTTCTCTACTACCATAGTAAAAACTTGCCATTTGGTGTGCGCACAATCTTCGGAGGCCAAAAAATGTATTTAAAATACTTTTTTAGGCCGTTTCAAAATAGATTTCACTTCAGCATGCGATGCGTCTACTCCTCAGCAACCATAATCCGCCGTGAGTTTTGGAATTAGAGTGACACTCAGAGCATTGAACCCCAAACCAGACTTGAGAACCTCTTGTTTTTGTAGTGAGTGAACAACGCTGATGTTTCCAGATTTTTCAAATTTCTAGTATTTTCTAAAAACTTTCTAACTTTCCCCCATTTTCCTGATCTAATGAAATTTCTGGACTATTTCAGGCCTGAAGGCACCCTGGTTTGCTGAATTTTCGACTGACTGTCAACGTTCAATTATTATCAAAGTTTTTGATGATTTAATACGCTGTGAACTTGTCTGACCCCAGTATAATTTTTAAAGACAAGCAAGAAAATTTGTGTCCGATTAAAAAATGTATCAAAATGATAAAACTATTACAGTCAGGAAGTTCTCATAAAGAATGAATGACATGAATTAAAAATAAGGCCTTGTAAATTTAAAATGCCCTTTTCTTCCTCTGTACAAAAAGTTGAAGGAAGAAGTTAGTGCTTCAAAAATATTTATTTCACTAACACCTCCTACAGCAGCCTTTCCAAGTGAAATCATGTTGGAATCAAGCAGAGCTACAGAGCAAAATAGAAACGACAGGATTCAAGCAAAAAAGCAAACTAGCTACAATATTCTTGCGGAGAAAGCACACAAATAACGCTAAAGGGAACTTAATGTGTGACAAGACAGAACATACAGTTTCAAAAGAAAATTTTTCTCTCTTCAGATGACTAAATACTTTTAAAGAATTTTCTATTAATAATACGCTGTTCATAAAATTACATTAACTTTGATGGATTTTTGAGATTAATATTTACAATCGCCTTTACTTTACTTGTCTTTTAATTGTCTGCGGTCTGGCATGCTATGGGCTACACTACCTCACATGGGTAAAAAACAACTATGAGATCAAAAGTTAAAACCCCAGCACCAAGAACCGTAATATTTGCAAGGCTAATTCAGCTTTGATTCTGCAATTGAACTTTCTCAGTATTTCCACTATTTCTCTAAGTTTCTTTAAATTTCGAGTTTCTTTCCCATTAATAAACCATGGGAAAAAAAAGAATTTTATTCACATCGGTGCATAGTCAGTGCCTATGTAACTTTGAAAATGAAGGCAGTATCAATGATACGACCCTTGATAACTGTATAGTTAAGAGCCAAAGAACAATAACTAAATTTTTACTGATTTGAAAATCAGGGGAAAACCATGCGACAGCTTCATTTCTTGCAGTACCTTTAGCCAATTCAATTCATTATATCTTCAGCCTGGTGTTATGTATCATAAGAAGTTTTTCTACAAGTATAAATCCTACCTCAGTATCGCAAACTGCAAAAACTTGTATCTGAATTTACGACGCTGCAGATTTTCTTTAATAGTTTATTTTCTGAATGGAAAATTTTCTTGAAAACTCCCAGAATTTTTTTTTCACTGCGTGAGAAGTATTCTATGATACTTTCAGGCAAAAACGTTGGTTACTCCTCCTCTGATAAAATAAAATGGAAGCAGAGATTTTGAAACACAGCAAAAGAGATAAGTGGGTGCTCTTGCAGTTTCACCATAGGTATGTTGATAATGCAAAAAACTCGATTTTTTCAAAATTGTCGATCATGTTTCTTTTGTTCTTAACTCCCAATGAGAACTTAGCATTTGAACTCATTTTATTTCTTAAACTCATTTGATTACATCTCACTTTTTCTTCAAAAAGAGAGTAGGTGCTATTTTTGCAGTAGAGAACACTAAAATTGTTTCCGGAGGTACAGAGGTAAGAAATAAATACGACATGCACATTACAGAGGGGTTTGTTTCTAACCTTGGCGTTATTTGTATGTACTAAGCATTACTTTTTTTTAAAAAAGAAATATGGAGATAAGATTTTGATACACTGATTTTAATATTGCATTAAAGTTTAGTGTAGGGCCTCCTACAACAATGAAAAACCCTCATCAACTAAGGGGCTCAAAAATAGGAAGTGTAATTATTTTGACAACATTTTGCAATAAGGAGCTACTATTTCTGACTTATTCGTAAAAGCACCTTCCTGCATATGGGATTCAAGGGCACATGCATTGTTTCTAATATGAGCGGGAAATAGTGGTTCCTCATTGCAAAGTTTGGTTCATTTCATCGTGCCACATTCCAGAATTACATGCAATCTACTTCAGGCATTGAACAACGGAGATGTAAATACCTAAGGATGGAAAATGCCATGCTCAGATCCAGTCTAAATCTTCCGGTTCCTGCCGATTAATCAAAAAAAGAAGAAAAATTGCACGTTATTACCTTGTTATTTGCGTTTCACACTAAGCAGTCGTAGATACCAGGAATATTTGCACATGATACACAGCAAATGACACTTGGCAAATGGACAAATTTTTAAGATTTGAAAATGAACGATTGAATCCAAGCCACAGTTGGAGTTAGTTTGATGCCAAAAAAGATATCTAAAATTCGAAAGTTTATTCACTCAAAAACTCTTGCGTTACAACTGTGGCTCTTGTTCACATAATTAAAAGTTCAACATTGTGTTGTTACTTTGAAAAAGATTTTTATTTGGAATCTCTAGTACTTGAGACAATTTTCTGAGAGCTATGATGTTAGTATGCTTTGATTTTTCAACAGAGTAACATCTCGTTTTAAAGAGGAATGTCAAGAATTTGGTGGAGGTCCCCCCCCCCAAAAAAAAAAAAAAAAAAAAAAAAAAAAAAAAAACGGGGGTTAACAATAAGGGGGTCTTTTTATCAAAATTAATTTAAACATTACATGTATTTATTGCCTTGCTCTTTCTCTCCTTAAGTCTTTCAGATAAAAAGGCCTGTGATCTTCAGCTATACGAAGATAATGAAAGTGAGAAAAACACAATTATATGGGAAAAAACATTTTCTATGTCTTTGACTAGGTAACTATGGGAAAATAAACCCTGGATTTGAAAAATGAAGCAAACGGTGTCTTTCCTTCAAAGAGTTTCTATTAGCGAAACTTGCCAATGATAAACCCAAAAATGAACAAAAGCAGAGTTTTGATGTTTGAAGTTTTCAGTTTAAAAAATGGAATGTGGAAATGTTCCGAGCTTAACATTGTCAGATTAAAATGCTACGCTCTGTATTGGATAAAAAATGATAAGTTCAACCGCACGAAACTATTCTCCAGGATGCTATGGTGTGATTTGTGTTAAAAATTCAAATTCTGAGATTTTGTAAAGCTAGAAAAATATCGCATCTCTAAAAGATTTGCTTCAATGCTACTAAGGGTGCACTGGGGATCCTGTTCCTGTGGACCATCTTCTTGTAGAGGTCCTTTTAGAGACTAGGTATACACTTGAATGTTGACAGCTTTATCGAGATAAAACGAGATCTTACCAACTGTTCCTTCAAGTGCAAAAAGCAGCAATCGTATAATAACTGAGCACGTGATATTTCATGAGCTATATTATTGCAAATTTTGAACACAGATTTCTCCAACTACAAAGACATTAAAACTGATAAACCGACTCATATCTATTTTGCATTTTTATTATCGCATAAAAGAACTCAGGTGGGGGAGGAGATAGAGCTATTAGGTGTTCTACTTATCATCATTATGTTTCTGATGATTTTTGAGCAGAATATCAATAATGTTTGCCATCAGTTTTGTAAACTGACTATGCCTAGAAGGAACATGAGAATTCTGAATCTTGATGAATTGCAGTATGCTCAGACTCCCAAAATATATATTGTCACCAATTCCATAGTAAGGATTAATGGGGGCTAGGAGGACAAGGTGCATAAGTGCAGTTTTTGAAAAAATTGAGATGTAAATGATTTCAACTTCAACTGGTCTTAAAATACATAGGTATGTTCTGTAAAAAATTGACTACCAAATTCCAATTTTTAAGTATCAAAAAGTGAGTTTGAACTTTCTTTCCATCAAAAGGCTCCATATAATTTTGAACCTTTAACATGAAACTATTTCTCAAAAAAAAGGAAGAACAAAGAAAACTGCCATTGTGCGACTTGTTCTCCAAGCCCTTCAAATATCTCTAGCATGTTTGAAAAATGAATGTTATTTCCCAAGTTTTTTCACCCTTTTTTGCTATTCTTCCATCTATGGTGGCTCCCAAAATATGTCTTCATACCTATGAAACCCTCCATGGCTTCTCATGAGCAACTATTCCACGGGGAAAAGTCTAGGCAGCCCCCTGAATAAATCTCACCAAGGAGACGGAGAGGCAAGTGTGCATAAGCCAGCCCTGGTAAAACCATTACACACTGTGTGAATTCATATTGCTGAGACCCAAGGGGCTTATTCTCACTTGATAGTGGCTAATTGTTTATTTTTTTCCCCATTACAAAGTTCTACAGATCAGTTTTAATGTCTTTGTGATGGCTAAACAGTCATTCAAGCAATTTTTAGTTTCTTGGTGTTAATGTGGAAAAATGTTCAAGACAATTTGAGGATAGCTCTTAAAAATAAATTATTGACATGTAAAAAATGGTTCTATTTAAGATAGTTCACCTTTATGGGTTTTCATATGCGTTCGAAGGTTGCCGACAGTGCTATACGATCTTGGACAGCCATCATACTCACAGCGAAAACGCTTAATCTCCCGTTCCTTGGTTTGGGGATCCATAGTTTCAATCGTGATGGTGGCATGCGAAGGATGTTCTGGCATTGATGTGTTGAATCCTGGCCGTATGTGCACAGTAATTTCATCGTGCTTAATGGTGTGATGAATATACCTGAAAATAGAAAATTGACAGGATGATGATTCTTCTTTGATTAGCTCAAACAGAGGAAGAGATTCGAATATCAAATGAGAGGAATGGTAAAAAGAGTCAGTGAAAAAAAATGTACACCCCAGTTCAATGGTTCCAATGTAGATCGACATGTATCATATTCACGCTAAGGTGGTGAAGTGCATCAGGGTGTTTCTTACGACTGAAATTTTTGTTTTTGAGGAGTCCTTAAATGATTTATGAATTGAAGTCCACGATAAAAGAATTCAGGTATGCACTCGTAGAGTGCAATAGAAGATCAGCTATCTTCAGAATAGCGTTGAAGGTAAATACAAAAATCAAGATGCCTAATTGTCTGTTGCATCCTAGCATAAACTTATTTGGCATGGACTCTTACAACCTACTCAAACTTAACACAGAAATTGGACATTAGGTTATACTATGATATCAACGTTGGAACCATCAAAGTTGAATTACCTAAGATTGACGCAGCTACTGTGACAGTTAAATGGCAAAAAACTCAAATAAAACTGGGAAAGAGGATGGGGTTGCGCTAATTCGATCTAAGGTTAGGCTGCTAGAGCTCCCGCATCGTATGTTGAGACAAACGTCAATCTCCGATTAGCTCTGAATTCGCACCACTCAACAGGTTAATACATGTAGTCAGGTGGCACCACTGGTGAATGGTGACATAAACAATACTTTGACATTTGTCTCAACATACGATGCGCGAGCTCTAATGTACATCCAAGAACTAAAATTTCCTGAAACTTTCCATATGCAATGGAGGAAGCACACCCTCCGCACTCAGACTGTCCTCGCCTAAAGTAGCCTCCAGATACTAGACTCCTCTATCTCCTGCGGCTGAGGAGTAAAGTTTTCAGGACATTGATACTTCCATTGTCATACAATGCTGGTTAGCGATTCTCAAAGCTGAACTGTGTTACAATGAACAAAGAGCTTTAAAACTGAACTACAAAAACGGATAAAATACACACTCTGCGGTGATAAAGACAGGATGCTTAATGCGTAAATGCTGACCAAAAGCAGCGGTCGCTGGGTCGGCCGCAAGCTCGCAAGCAAGATAACCATTCTTAGGTTATGTTGAGTGAGATTTGATTGATAAGACGGAGTAATAAAAGGAATAGAAATTAGAGAGAAGGCACGGACATAACTGCTAACATACCCAGCATTCTTGTCATTCGCATCTATATCAGCGACATAGGTTGTTGTTGCCTCTAGAGGATTGACGCTCGATATCCGATTTTGATAAACGGGAACACCATCGCCGTATCCTAAATCAATAAATTGCAAATCTGAATCAATCACGTTGAAATTTAAGTCCTCTAAAACTTTGTTCCTGACATCGAAACGATGACTGTCCATCGTGAATTGGATTTACACAGCAAATTCAAACAAAACGCTATCAATTTCAATACTATCGATCAGTGATAAGGGATACCTCTTCATGATCAAATAATCACCAACACACTATCACACACACACACTCTGAAACACGTAGAAGAAATTTGAGAGGTGCAATCTTGTCATTTTGTCATTGATAAAAATAAGACCTGTTCACACTGACGTATATGTTGATGTTATTGAGCAGAAAAGAAAGCACCAATTTTCTTGATTTTTGCCCACATTAACTGCTCGAAATTTTCTTAAGTATTTCAGCTTATAGTATCACAATAAGCCGGCAAAATCACTGATCGCAATTAAAGTTGGAAACCGTAGAAGAGCGAACTTTGACATTTGATATCACTGTAAACATACCTTTGAAAACTTAATTTCAAAGTTGCCAGCTTTTGAACATCGTCTAAAATTTACTATAGCAAAAATTAAATATCCAAATCAAACTGGCAACTTTTCTCCATGTGGCATCAATGTTCTGCGGGTAGCCTATCTTTTCGGAACTTGTTTAATTTTCAGGTTAGGCTCGAAAAATCAACGCCAACGTGCTTATTTCCGAGCATATTTTGTTATTTTCAGTTATTAACGAAATTTTATCAACTTTATTAAATTCATAGTGTTGATTAGTTATCAATGATGAGTAAAAGCTACGGTTACGACGATTTTGAACATCCCAGAAATCTGAAAATTCACTATGTGCAGATCGAAGGATTGGTAAGAGCACCTCGTATTATCAGTCCTACTCATTTTGGTACTTTTCTAAGATTGTTTCCCTCTCATTTCTACGTTTCCGCTTTTAGTTTGGGCTCCACTTTACTCTTTTAATTACTCTAAGCAAATTCCCAATCGGTTACAGTAGAACTTAAGCCCCAAGTGACCTGATGGAAACCCAGTATATCGGCTGAGACACAATAACAGTAGCTACATTGTATGAGCCCTTTCAAAGTGCATCTCTTGATATGACTTGGGAAATGCAGACTCATGACGCATCGTGGAAAGCTCTGGCTGTGCATCCATTCTTTTTCAATTTTGGTCTCATTCGGATCCAAACAAAGTGCTTTCGCAGAAACCCTGATTTTAAGCAGAACCTATGGTGTGAGTTCATACCAAAGTGCTGTTCAGAAGGTGCCAATTTTTTAATTCGTATTTCAATCAAGATTTCGCCTTCATATGTCATTTTCTATGCAAATCCTGATAAATGATACGTCTCATAATATGGATTGTAGGTATAGAACCTGGTTTCAGGTGAATACCGGTGTTGCAACAGTGTTCAATGAAGGTTTTTGCGTGCATCTCTCAATTCGAATCACAAACATGCATTCAACCTTCAATCAAATGCTCCTATTAACGTATCCAGTCGAATTACCCAATCTAGTGCCGAGTTTCTCTTGAGTTGAGAGTAAAAAGCATAACTTTGGTAAAAGATCATGGTATTGACAGCTTAGGAGCCTGGATTTCTACGATCATACAACACCAGCCCATGAAACTTGGTTATGAAAAGAGCAGAGATTTAGAGGGAGGATTAGTTTCAATTGCTCATCATTGTTATTGCTGACTCTTAAAGCCAAGCGAAATGTTAACTTTGACAGATACCGTAAATTTCTCTATGAACTGACTGAGAAAATTGATTGTTGAATGCGTAAATTTTAATATTTTCTGTAATTATTCTGCTAGGCTCTGATGAGAATCATCAAGCACTGCCATGAAGAGGGTGATGGCACAATTGAAGTTGCCCAAGGAGCTTTGCTCGGAATGGTTGTTGACAATGCATTAGAAATCACTAACTGCTTTGCCTTCCCAAAGAACTACGACGATGATGAAGGTATGGTCACTTATCCAATGCTTACAGTGGCTCTGTTTTACTATTACTCCTCACCAGATTTTTATTTTTAGCGGTCCGATACTGATTATTATCAAATAGCTCTTCATGTCCTACTTAACTTTATCACTATACCAAAATAAGAAAATGCCTTTCAATTGTTGTCCGCCCCGCATCTATCATTAAATGTTATAATAAATGTTGCAAACACCAAGGCAGCTGACTATGGATTCCATCGAAGATGTCTAATCCTCTTTTGCTGAAACTGTGTTCAAGATTTGATAATAATGATTGCGTTCCACATACTCACCTGCACTGATATTTCCAAGTAGTAACGGACCGTCTTTGTCGATTGTGTAAACAAAATGTTCACTTGAACTAGCACTTTTAAGAAGAAGTTCTACTTTGTCACTAATATGAAATCACTGTCTTCACTGTTTGATCAACTAGAGTACCAGTTGGATATGATGCGGAACTTGAAATTGGTGAATGTAGATCACTACCACGTTGGATGGTATCAAAGTTCAGAAATCGGGAGTTTCTTGAGTCTGTCACTCCTGGAATCCCAGTTCCACTACCAGACTTCCATCGAAGAGTCCGTCGTCCTAATCTATGGTGAGTGTTCTTTTCAATAAATGGAACCACAAATATTTTAACGTTTGCTTATTTCTTTATTAATATGCAAGCAAGCACATTGACCTTGCATAATCTTATCTAAAGCAAACAAGTCGGTGTCATTTCAGAAAGGTTCACTTTTTGGAAGTGTAGTCACAGGGGTGCCAGTCTTTTTGATAAGTGGATGAAATTAGTGCTATTTGAAAGAAATTATGATAGCAATCTCTTTCGGTTGTTTACTCGCCAGTTCAGTTAGTGTAATGGATGTGCAATAGTTTCTTTTTTAAATGCATACTTTTTCTCTTTTTCTTTCTCTGAAACACAAAATTGGACGGAGACACAGATTCTCTCTTTGGATAGCACTTTATAATGCGACCAGTGATTTTGCTTTGACTAGTTCTTACAAATAGAATGAAATAATTGTAAGCCTATTATTTAGATGATTTTGTTAAGAAACCTTTTAACTTCATCACACTTTGCCTAGTTTTCTTTCAAATTTAATTTTATTCTTTTAACTGATAGCTGATTGACATACTATTCTCTTTGAAGTTTGCCATACATTTTTCCCAGATTATGAAGAATTCACCTGAAAATTATCATGTCACAATGTCGCTCTTCGTTGGAAAAGAATTAATGAAAGGAAATTAGGCAATGTTATAATAATGTCACGCTAAATCCAAAGCTGTCCATTGTATCCTCCCAAGTAGTACAAAGTGAATGTATGAATTTGAAGCCTTTTATTTACTCTGACTTAATAACGAATTGAAAAAAGGAATGAATTTGAATTTATCTTTACTCCTTCACTAATCCTTGAGCAGGATGCTCTTTGAGACTGTGTTGCTGATTTAATTATCACCAAACTCTTATCAAGTTTTGGTCAGAAATAAGAATTAAGTAATGCAGCAAAACAACGTAAAAACATTTAAAATTATTTGGTTGGGACATTTTTCTTTTGCAAATTGTAGTAACTAATTTAGCTGAATTTCTTGAGTGTGTGTTTGTGCTCTTTTGTTCGTAACTACTTATCATAATCAATTTATTTCTTAAGTAGAATGATAAATTGCCAACATTTGATTATAAGATTAGCAAATTGATCCATAGTTTTTAAAATGTTTGACTGATTGACCCATAGTTTAACATCAGGATTTTATTTGTGTGGCATAAGCAGTAGAACTTGTGAGATTCCATCATTCTGTATTCAGTTATCTCAAGATGAGTGAACGTGAGGATATTTGATGACAGTGTGAATCTGGTTTTGGTAAATGTTACTGTTCGATCAGAAAACCATCCGATTTAGTAGAAGCTGATACTATGATAATTGGTTAAAGCGATTCATATTGGGATTCAATTGTGCAAAATTAGCACGCGAGCATTGCAAGCATCAATGAGGTCAAAAATTATGGGAAACTTGGTTTCAGCCAAAAAACAGTATTAGTTTCTTTGCATGAGTCTGAAAAATCACTAGCAACAGAAAGATCGTAGAATTTGAAGGAATGAAATTAGGATTTTGCTACAGAAAAAGTGGCTCATCAGTACAGCAATTGATTTCTGTACATAACAGCTTCAATCTTGTGAGATTCTTATTCTAGGGTGGTCTTTTTCTCTCAGATAGTAAAAAATGGTGATCCATGATATCGATCCATCTAGTGTACGTATTTCAATGCCTTATGAGTATCATTTAATCTTACTCCCTTCTTGTTTCCAGATAATGCAAAAACCGATAGAGGGTTTTTGAGTCTGAAAGCTTACCGAATGACTCCGCAAGCAATTGAATTATACAAGCAAGGAGAATTCACCACAGAAGCCATCAAAACCCACAAAGTTGGTTACGAGAACCTTCTTGTTGAAATCCCCCTCAGGATACGAAATTCCACCCTTACGAACATACTTCTATCTGACCTTGGTGTCTTAATTCCTCCCCAAGAAGGACACAAGTTTCTTGATCTAGGAACTGCGTAAGTGTACATTTTCCTGGTCCTTGTAATCAGTTGAACAGAGTTAAACGCCTGGATCAATTTTTATGACCACTGCCTTTTTTTCTATTTGTCTTTCATTGCTCTTAAAATCTCTAACACAATGCACATCAACTCAAAATGCATGATTCAAAATTCACTCTCATTTTGAACGACCCTTGAAAATTTTAACCTGTTAATTGCTCATGATCAGTTGAGATTAGAGATTTTTCCCTCAACGAAAGAGCTGTTTTTGAGCAAGTGGATGGACCCAGGTAAGATCTCTCTTGATCTGGCTCAACAGCATATTTTAATTTATCAAGTTCGATTGTTTGGTTTGCATTGTTTTCTGGGGACAGTCTTTTTGGACTGATCTCTGCATCTGTACAATCAGTAGAAATACACCAGAAAGACTGATAGCGGAATAATCAGATCTGGAAAACTAGAAGCAACTTTTTCTCTGTTGGTTATTTAAAAACTGATCAGTGATTGTTATTTTTACAGCAATGTTGTAGAGAATCAGCTACGTAGTCTAATGGATTGTGTGGATGACTTGAACCAAGAAACAATGAAGTTCAACAGACATCAACAAGCAGTCGCCCGGCAAATGCAAGAGAAGAACAAATATCTTCAGAAAGTGGTGAGTGCAGGACCTTTTTTTCAATTTTAAGTATCAGAAACCGGACTTTGAGCGGGTGCAGGGGTAGCTTACTTCTTCTAGATAAAAATTAAATAGTCAGAAAAATGTATTTAAAAGTCTGAATGATGTTTGCTGCAAGTCAATTCCACAGTGTAAAAAGTTATGCCCATGAGAAAAGAACTATAGTCTTTTCTAAGACATATCTGGAAACTTTTTATCATATCATAAGAAAGTACAGTGGAATAGGTTGCTGGCACCCTTTTTTTTAAAAATTAATTTTCTATAAGTACGGAGTGAACCAAGCTTTTACGAATTTTTCAGATTTTTTTTAACTCTAAATGGCAAAAAACCCCGTTTATGAAGCTTTAATTATGTAGCAAGGCAGAGTAAATGGCATTTACTAATTTGCTGAACCAAGCTTCAGGCATCGTCTTGCCATGTCAACTCTACTGTCGGCCTTCGATCAGCTTTTCATCCCTTAAAAATGATTTTTTGAACAATTTGGTTTTTTCCCGAAACTGCATGTGAAAGAAACGTTGCTAAAATTTCTTGTCACTGCTTGTCATAGTTTAGGGTACAAAATGTTAACAAAAATTCTCTGAAAACCAACTCAACTCCAAAAGAAAATCTAACTTAAAGCTGTTTGCACACACAAGTTTGTAGTGAACAAAAGTATTAAACATTTTTTGCCAAAAGATTTTCAAGTTTGCAGTAAAATTTGTTTTTTTGACCAATTACCAGTTTTGCATGAGGAAGCTTATTTGCATTTACATTGCTGTTTGCTTTGCTGTTCTTGTAGACTGCAGAAAATGCTGTCCGAGCTGCGAAGGGTGAACCACCGCTTCCTGAAGAAGATCTCAACAAACTATTCAAACCTTTACCTACTCCACCCAGACTTTTACCAATGACTTTGGCAGGCAAGGTCGAAGCGTACTCTAAGAACCTCACCGAGTTCTCTATGCAATCATTGGCGAAACTGTATTTAATGGAGGCTTTGCACACAAAGAAAACATAAACAGACAAGACCATTATTTTACTGTCAAAACCGAAGGCCACGTTTTTGAACATCTAGTAATCGATTAATGTCATTTTGCTTACTTCCCCCTACACCATGGGATCCAAGAAATCATGTACTGGTATTTATTTAAGCGTTGCTTTTGTAAAAAGTGTTTTTTGTATTAAATTTAAATCAGTTTTGATACATATCTTTTTAGTTATTTATCACCTTATTCACTTTTGCTAAAGGTACAGCAGGCTCTGGAAGTCCTGACTGCAGAAGTCAAGATACACTGCGGCAACTTTAGGCTTTATTTCTGTAAGGAATGAAATTGTTTCAATAGTTTTCAAGTTTTTCAATCAAACAAACATTATTAAACTTCTTCAATTCTTCATTCATAATACCTAATATTAGTAGGTCCCTTCTTTGGAAAAAAAACCAATGATAAACTCAAAAGCTAGTCTTAATTTTTTATTTAACATATAAAAATATAACAGATGCATACTCAAATCACAAAATGTATTTCACTCCTCCTTTTGAGGAAGTTCACGCTGTTCAAACCAAACTCTTTGATACGTATGGTCCATCAAGTTCATAGCCCATTTTTCGATAATAATTCCTTGTGCCCACGCCTGCAAAAAAAAGAAAAATGAGTCAATGAAGACTCTCACCTGTTTTAAGTAAAACACAAAGCAAACAGAAAGAAAGAGATTACAGAAAGAAAGGTATTTTCTTTAAGGAAAAAAATTTGCCACAAAGAAACATAGAGTAAAGAAATGACATGTTGTAAATGTTTCATATAACTTGTTAACCTTTCTCTGTTTATCATAAAGAAATCCTAAAATAGTCTCTTCTTGCCTGAAATAACAGCAATCTTCGTTGAGCCATGCTCTTCCCTTGCTATCCTCTCTGCTTCTTCCATCAACAACATTCCAAAACCTTGATGCTGAAATTTGGTTGGGTCTCGTGCTTTGACAGGTACCACACTGCCATACACGTGAAGTTCGCGCACTATCGAAACGCTTCCTTTTAGCTCGGGCCTGCCAACATCAATACACATCTGAGTTACAACTGCTAATTAGTAGTAGGTACTGATGAATACAAAATTTACCATAAAAGATTTGATAACCTATTTTAGACTGAAGTGTGTAACTAATTGCAGCTGAAAAATGCCATTGACTGCTAGGTTGCACAGTATAAAATACAAAGCAGTGGAAAAAAATGCTGTATAATTTATTTTGATTGGAGAGAAATGTACAAAAGTCTTAGATTAATAAAGCTTTCTCTCATTAAATAGAGCTCAAAAAAAATATGAGCTTATTATCCTTCTCCCAGAGAAAAATTACTCTCTATAGTTTTCCTTCTTTTTTTTCAAACGAATGAAAATAAAAAGTAAGTGATCTTGTTGAGAAAATCTTTCAGTCATTAGAGCTTGGTTTGAATATTGAATTTTTTGCTGAGCGTAGAACTGAGAAAGAAATATTTCTCAAGATCATAAACCCAAAAAATTTTGTTGAGACGGTTGACCAAGTTCTGGGGGTTTTCTGATTTTCATTCTATTACAATGAGTGAAGAAAAATTAGTTACGGTGCTACATCCTATATGATTATTTACATTCTAAATTGGAAAAACCAAAAGAAGAAATCGCATGGACAGTTTGTTTTCTATTACAGATAATCTGAAAACAATCATGTGATGTTTTTCAGTGCAAGTTTAACTGCCTGTAAAAATGATTGTTTGGAAGTGGAAAAGTAAAAAAAAAGCATTCTACAGACTATTGTACCTAAATGTGTCTTGAGAACATTTCCTCAATCGAAGTAAACCGACAAGAATATCTTGTTCCGGATCCTCATACGACAAAAATGTTTCCCATCCTCCATTTGCAACATAGTCTCTCCGGATGATTTCAACCTGAAAAAAAAAGTACAAAAAAAGAAAGAAAAAAAACCAATGAGAAATACATAATTTATCAAAGCCCACAGGTTTTAAATGGGAAGAGAAGAGCTGGAGGGTAAATTTATAACTCAGCTTTTTTTTTTCCCTCTTATCGCAGTAAATATACTTGATTCTTCTAACTAATTGGTTTTCAAAAATTAATGCCATACTTCAACAATTCAAAATAGTTTGGCGATAGAATTTGACCAGAATTTTTAGAGAGAGCAGAACTTTTCAGAGAAACCTCGCAAAACAGATAAATAACACATGTAGAATTAAACTAAAAGAAGTTAAAAAAGACGAGTTAGTAAGTTATAAATAAGAATTTATCTCTCTTCAAAGTTGGTTCATAGGACACTGAGTCCAAAAACGAATTCAATAAAAATATAAGTTAACATCAATATTACTAGAGTGAAGAAGGAAAAATCACAATTATTGTTAAAGGCATACCTCATAAGGTTTCACTTTGTGGTGAATTTCTTGAATGCCTACTTCTCGTGTTCGGACGTCTCTGCAAGTGATTCCTAAATCGTTCATTCTTGCCAATGCTAATTCACGTAAATTACCATGTTCAACGCCAGAACTGGAAACCAAGATCAGACCGAGGGTTGACAGTTAAATAAAAATTGCAATTCAATAGCAAACAAAAAATGATATGGAATTGAAACAAGTAGCAAAAGCTACCTGCTGAGGGGGCGCCGCCCCCCCAGACCCCCCCTTTCAAATTATATATGTGAGACTTTGAGTATCATAGAAGTCGTGCGGCGACATGCCGAATGAAATGCCACAATTAAAATTATTGGATCAGATGATGAGCTGATAAAAGCCTTACCCAGTAATTTGGGAACATTTCTGACGCAGTTTGGTTGCTTTAACAATCACTTTGATTTGCGAAATACAAATCGTTTTCACTTCGTATGTAGTTAAATTTGATTTTGACTGACTTAGTTTCTGATGGATTCAAATTCATAATATACATTTAGGTTCCAGGGAAAGAAAAATGCAGATGAGCTACACTTCACATGAATATAGATTGATTAAAAATAAATAATCAGAAGAAGTGATGGAATAATTGATAATTGTTTACTACAGTAAATACTAAACCTAGGATTCATAGGAATTTTAAATAAAATCCCACCCATCACTAAAATAACCCATATGTATACAGGGTGTTCGAAAAGTCCCCTCCCC